ACAAGTTCAAGGTAAATGAATATATAAAGTTTTGCAAAATGGTGACAGTTTTCCAATAGCAATGGAGCCCTCTAAGTGGTTTTATCTTGTTATACAGTATATGGACTTTCGTTACTGCCTTGTTTGTTTTGGAACACTTCACTAGAGTCATTACCATACATCACATGGTATAGCCAGTCTGGGGTCTGTCTTTTCTGTGCTACTTAATTACAAATTCACTCACTGTTTTTGATGATGCCTTTATTCTTTCTCCAGGCAGTCTTGAACTTAGGTAGCAAGATCAACTCTGGGTCTCAAGCATTTTGCCAAAACAATTTTTAATGCCATGCCACATTGAAGGGTATCTACCAGTTGGCTGCAGAGTTTTAGAGGGAAGGTTGATCCTCTCACTGAGATATAGTGTGGACAGTACCCATCCGATCTGCTTCTTTTGTTTCAGTGCCTTTCCCACAAGGTCCATAGGAGTAGTGTATTCAGTCTAAAATGCTGTCTCTGCTGGATTTAACCTGTAATAGAAAGTATACAGTATATACACATTAATATCAACTTTGTTTGCAAAGGCAAATGTACACAGCATAGAATTTCTACTTACATATTCATTTGGATTGCTGTACACACATTCCTGATGGCCCTCTCTCCTTGTTCATTCATTATGTGCAAATTCCTTCCACATCCATGAACATAGTGTTCCATCCTGACTGCTTTGACTGAATGAACTGCAGCTTTCATTCTGCTTCCATGATTCAGCAGCAACCTGGACAGCTTTTTGTAGGCGTCATTAGATTCAGCCTGTATTTCATCACCAGATGCATCCAGTATCTGTTGTGGTGGCAAAGCATTCCACTTTACATTAACACGACCAAAGTTTATATTCATGCTTTAAGCAGTCTCACAGATCTTCGTATGAATAGTAGCTATTGATATGATGGCAAAATTAGGCTGTAGATCGTAACTCAGGTCTTTAAATGCTGGTAGCTCAACAACACCAAATGGCTGGTAACCCTCAGTGATGTACACAGTGGAGCACCTTGTCCATTATGAAGCACACATGATAGGACTTGCTTGCTTGTGGAACTAGAAGTGTGGGCTTTTTATTTTCCATGAATAAACTGTTTTTTACATCACAAAATATTTTTTCATTAAGCCCAAGTCTCATTGTTTAAACCCATTGTTTAAAGCTGAATCATTATTCTATAAATATTTCATTTATCCTTCAAAAATGTATTAAACTGATAATTTAAAAAAAACTATGTATGCACTCCTTGTATAAAACAAGTCATTTAGCAACCTAGTAACATGAACAGAATATATTGTACAGCTTGGGTTCATCCGGTTAAGGTGTAGAAGGATCAATAAGGACTAGTCCCACTGATATTGTTGTGCAACAATGAAAACTGTTATTTTTCTAGAAAGTTAAGCATTCCTGCAATATACTGTATTAGCACTTCTTTTACACTTAAAATTCAAAACATAATTGGTTAAAGATAATGATATTCTAAACCTACTAAATAAATCATTCAAACAGGTTTTTCAATAGAAGATGTCGATAATATTTTAATATTGGCAGCATGGTGAACAATTAAATCACTGTTTAATTTATTAAACAGCAGTGATTAGAGAGTGAACTGACACATGACAAATTCCAATCAGTAAATACAACATTATTCGTATAGAAAGTAGGAACATGCTGAAACATACAGTATGAAAGGAATGTGGTTGCTTATATAAGTTTGTCTATGTCCTAAATAAAACAGTGTTTGGAAGCAGTAAGAAAATATCAATGTTTTGTCACAGCATATAGAATTTGAATATGGGGCTCAAAAACGATATGATAGGCTTAGAAAGAGCAACAAGAATTATTCCTGGTTTCGGCTGACTGTGACGTAGACAGGTTAAGAGAGCTAATTTTGTCAGAACAAAAAAGATGGAGAGGCAATTTGACTCAAGTACTGTATATACGATCCTAAGAGTGAAGATACTAATTCACACTCAGTGACAAACCAAGGACATGGGGACACAATTGTAAACTAAAAGGAAATTTATTTTGGGTGGAAAACAGGCAATACAACTTTCACAAAGAATTGGGGGTATCTGGAGCAGCTTTCTCAGCCAGAATCCAGGAAATTGTGGGCCAAGCTCAGAGCACTTTTAAGAAATGGATCAAATTTATTTGCTGCTCTATCAAATGAGCAAGAAGGGCCAAATGGCCTGCTCTCATTTGCATCCTTTCTTATGCCCTTAAAAGTGCATCTTTCTTAGAACATATGTGTTACTAGTTGAAAAAGCTGAAAATCTATTTTCTCACTGTTTCATCTTTGTTTCACTATGTTCTTCGCGTGCTATGATTTAGTTTGGTAATATACGATACATTGGTGTGTCTGATGCTTGGCTGATGGAGTTGCTAATGTTGTGAATCCAGACAGTTTCACTCACATGGACCATGTTTCACTTCACCTGACTGCATTTTGAATTCACTGTACATCCCCAAATGTCCTTTGCAATGTTACAGGAGATTCATGTCTCTATTCAGTCCTATGGTTCCTCGAAGATTCTAGAAAATTAAACGTTTTCGGATGCTGAAATTCATGTTGAAAGCTGCAGGTTTTTTCAAATGTTTTTAATTCTTATACGAAAGTGTTTGAAAGTTGTAATTCCAACTTTGTGTAAGATTGTTTATATAATGAGACCTTGGATTAATGCTTCACATTATTTGGTTGCAGAAACAATACCTTCTTTATCTTTTCATGATATCAACTGAGGGCAACAATGTTATGGGAGTCAGAGTGTCTGCTACGCTGCTCTTGAGCTTGATCCTGGAGTGGGGGTGATTTCTGTGTGCAGTTTGCACATTCTCTCCATGTTTGCTTGTGTTTTCTTGAGGTGTTCTGGTATTCGTACAGTATGTTGAGTTTTTCTGCCAGTAATATTGCATGCACATACAGTATATACATGCACAGTAAAAAGTGTTGTCACCAAAAAGTGTATTTGGACTCTTGAAAGTGTACCACACGGTCAAGGACAGATGCATCCCCTTCAAAGATGCAGAAGCTCTCTTCCATGTTATTAGCATTTGTCAACGATGCATGTTGTTTGTCGCGGGGAAGTGTTATACTAGAGGAAAACACTATCCATCTTTTTTAAGTGCTTCCTCGGTAGACCTTAGTCAGTGGAACAGCTAATGACCTTAGAAACAGCTGCTACACAATGATTTGTATGCTCCACAATTCTTTTTCCAGGATTTGGTGTGACATTCTTTTCATCGTGATGGGACTGTGGACTGGAAATCATCTGACACATTAACTTGTTCACAACAGATGAGGGTAGTGTGCCCAGTGTAACTGGAGGCGTTTTAGCTTTTGAAAGATCATATCAGGTTGACTACCCCCTCTGTAATCCTTACCTTGGGTTACCACTCAGAGCAATTATTTCCTATATTGACTTACAGGATTTGAGAGCGGGCTACCAGGCCTTTTGCAGAATCATACAGCTTGAATCCTTTAGGTATACATACAATGTTAAAATTGACTTTGGCTTGTTCCTGCTTGCAAATTGTGAAACACAAATCATTTGTTCTTCTTGAAACTTGGAAGTTGTAGTACGTGGTATGATAGCAAAGGACAAATTATTATTACCGTAAGCTTCTCTATTCAACAGTTCTGCTACTGACTCATTGTTCTGAGCAGATTATGCTTCTTTTGCACTACACATAAGTTGCTTTAAATCATAATTTTTAAAGTAGGCTACCATGGAAATTATCCTGTTTTCCTTTTATGGGAATCCAATATGAATAGAACAATGAACAAAAAGGGAGTTTTATTCATGCTTTGTCTTCTGTTTTTGAGGCACGCAAGCCTTTAAAGCCGTAGTTACTTAGTTTTATCCTGTGAAGTTTTTCTTTGCTTCAAATTATGCTAAGCATAAGCACATTCCTCTGAGTTATGACCATTAAACTTTTTTTCTTTAGCCTTGTGTTTGGTCTCTAATTTGCAGTAAATCAGACAGAAGCGAGGTCTCACCTCTTTGTGTTATAAAGATTGTTTAGTTTATAGAAATCTAATAATGGTGATTTGCTTAATTGTACTATTTCTGTTTGAAGTTAAAATTGCCATCTTTAGGTGTCCAGAAAGAGAAGAATACATGCTGAATGTATGATTTGGGGCTGTCAGGTTGACTGTACTATCAGAACATGATGGATATAGGAAACAAATAGCTGAAGAAGCCACACTACACTCTATCTAGACAATATTGTAGCAAGCATCTTGAGAGTACATGTCAGTGAGTGTGATTTCTGAAAGAGGAATAATTATTTTACAAACCCAGACCGCCAAGAGACAACTCCAGTTTATTCTACAATTGGTTTCTTGAACATAAAAGTAAGGACACTGAGTATATTTCAGCAGTTCATTTACACAATTTCAAAACTGTCAGCAGAAATTATTGAAGGAATAAAGTGAGAGGATGGGTGTTATTGAAAAATTTGTGTTTACCACTCCACTAATTATGACCATTACATTATGTTTATGTGTGCAGGAAATATCATGTTCATGCTTTATAACAGCCTCCCAGTGAGTCTTAATATAGTTAAGAGTAGGTTGAACTAATGAAGCATAATAAATGTTTTTTTTTTTTACTGAGGGCTTTTCTTAACATGCTGTCCAATGGTTTTATGTCTTTTTATCAACAGAACTCATTTGCTCAGAAGACAATTAGCAATTTGGAAAAGAAAAGAGCTTGAATACTTTTAAAATATGTCTTGGGTTCCAAAGTTTTTTTTTTTTCCCCCAGAGTAAGAATTATAAAAGTATATAATAAGCTGGAGACAAATCCTTGATGATATTAATGTTTCTCACTTAAACATACATTTGGAATTATAAATGGTTTTATTCAAAGATTTATTTTGTTATATAAACATGTATATCTACAGTACAAGGTCAAGGTTGTTTGATTTAGTTAAAACTCAACCATTCTTTGTGTTTCTCTCTCATTTACATTTTTTACAGCAGCTGACTCACAGGCTAAATTAGATGAGAAGAAAGCCCCAGCATCCAATCGCCCTACTTCTACTGCATCAGGACAGAGCAGTAACACTGGAAATAAACAAGGTATAATACAGTTTCTACTGGCCTTTGAATCCGTCACTCCTCATCTTTCTGTGTGCAGTATTTATTCCTCTGCTCTTGGGTATCTTTTTTGTCGTTGTCTGCATCTAGCACTAAGAAATGGCTAATATGAATGTTTACCCTTTTGTTACTGCCATTTCATTTAAGTTCTTGCTGTGATATTAAAATGCCAAGTGTGTGAATTTCTCAATACATAAGTAATAAATATTTTTGCCCTCGAACACTAAGCAACATGAGTCAAATCAGTATTTTATAGGATTTTAGCTTTTTGCTGTTTTCTTTTCCTTCAGTGTGTAACCTAACAATTTTTGTCAACTGTCTCCAGAGCCCCTAGTATTAAAGGTTGATGAAAGGCAAAGACTAGCAAGGGAACGGCGAGAGGAACGCGAGAAACAGCTTGGTAAGTGACACCACCTTATCAGTCCAGACGTGTTTTATCTCAGGGGTCAGTAAGGCAGCAGCTTTTTCTGTGTGCTTAAAATAATTCCTAATGTTTTTTTCATTTTATTTCAGGAAAAATAAATATTTGTATGTATTGGTATACAATTTCATCAGACAAATAGCACTGCTTCTTCAGTTATGATTGTTGAGCATAACTGAAGTCATGAAGTCAAATTACCATTCAAAAAGGTTTAAAAAAAGTCTTATTTTATTGAGGAAGGTAATATGCTTGTAAATTTAAACCAGGAAATGAAAAGCAACACAGTCACAAATTGTAAAATACAGACCACATTAGAGCATAATGTTGGACACCTTCAGAAAATCAATGGGATATAAAGATTCACAGTATTTTAGTGTATCAGGGTAGAATTTCATATTGTAAAAGAAACTGCAGACGCCTTTCCAAGAAATGTTATTAGTCTGATTATTGTCACATGAGATGTTTGCAAAATGTTGAGATAATCTCTGTAATATTGTTTAATGCTTCTACACATACTATAGGTGCTACACTAGAAACTTGTTATAAAAAAATTGGATATTATCCCTGTTTTGACTGAGAGCTGGAAGTGTTTTTTAATAATTGTAGATAAAACAAATATTCTTGTATTTCTGAAAGTGCAATTAGTAGAATAATCTGGTGCACTGGAGATTTATGTAACTGCTTCCATTACCTGTTACACACTGCTCTTTCTGCCACTTCTGCTGGTACTATTTAATATACGGTAGACTTTGCTCAGCCTGAAGCATGTTGTTGAGTTCCTCTTTATTATTTACTGGAGTAAAATATTCACTAAAAACACCAGCCATTTGCCTTTCTCTTTAAACTATTATCATACATTATCTACTGATCCTGTACCTGTCCCATTCCATTTCTCATTAACATATTTTGCCAAAACCAATTCCTTAATTATTTAATTAATATTTAGCAAGATCAATATATCAAGAAAAGCATATGTTGAGGAGTCCTGGTCTGGTAGGTGCTCTCTGACAATCTGAGTCACTAGCCATGTCTTTTCTTTTCTTCAGTTTCAGTTGTTGATGTCTCTGTTGGATCTTCTTAATCTACAGTGTATATAAGTAAATTAAATACACATACTGTATGTTTATGGTTTAATTATATAAAACTGCATTACAATTCCTAACTGAATTTGGGGATCAATTATATACCACTAACACTATACAGTACCTGTCTCCTATGGAACCTTTCTGGCTGTTAAGCTTTAAAATTCCTGAATCATTAAAGTACCATGTGGAGAGGATCTCTCTGTTTCATGTACCAGATCAAGGTAGCATGTATTAACTTTTCTTTAAATCAAACTCATTTGAAATCATTAATAGGGCATGGTCAGTTTTTCTCCAGTTTATCCATTCTATAAAAAAGGGAGGCAATATCTAATTTAAAAAGGTTTCAATGCATTTCTGAATGCGTCTTTAGCTTTATTAACATTCAGTTCAACTACTCTGGATACTTAGAATTAATCTAACATGCAAAAGAGATATTAAAAGACTTCCTTCCACAAGGCCTTGGACAATATATAAGGTTAAATAGGCTGACAAAATCAATAAAAATTATCCCAAGTTAAATGCAATATGTTTAGTGTTTTCCCCTGAATATTGAATGACTGATGAAATTAGATTCTTTCATTTCAATGCCTGTAATCCTGGTAGAGTACTTTTGCAGAAGGTCAGTCCACTTCCTTTTGCCTTGATCTGCCACATTTTATTTTTTGTAATTTTTATTTTTTTCAATAATTGTTAGAGTTTTTACATTTTCAAATGTAAAGAAATCGATATTAACTGTTTGCTATTTTATTTTTTAATATAACAATAGTGACATTATTCAACTCTTATTACATAAATGCAATTATGTAAAGTCTTAATCCCTGTTTTCAGGTCAATCAGTGAAATCTAAAATAATACCCTTTTATTTTCCCACTTAAAACACTGTATTGCACTTACAAGAATTGATGCCAACAACACATTGACGAATGTAAATGAATGGTTGTCAGGCACTGATGACAAACATTTCTGGCAGTAATTGCAAAAACCTTTTGTGCTGACCTTTGTTCTTCGTTTCCTCTCCAGTTCTAGAAGGATAAGTCTTAGAACCATAGTGCAACTTTCTAGGGCAAAATGATGAATACAGTAGGTCACATAACTGTCTGCTAATGGCAGAGAATGAGAATGCTCAGAGTACAGTTATTGCTTGCAGTGTCTTTGCTAACCTCTCATTTGGAAAATTTTAACTTTAATTTCATGTAACATCAAATGCATTTAAAAGGTGTTCGGGTTTAGACAAAATTCTACTTCATCACACAATATCTATAGTTGCGTTTGAGCAGCTTGAATAACGTACACTTGTATGTCTGAGGTTTTTTGAGTATTTCATAACACAGATTTATAGAAATTATTTTTCAAATTACCCTGCACTTTGCCCATTTGTCCTTCAACACAGCAGTTCCCTTGTAATGAATGTTTCTTGTTGTTCGTAGAACCCCTTCTGTGATTTCACAGAATCAACAATGGAAAAATGTACCAATTTATGTATGTAGGATATTGTGTACGGTTTTGTTCACCACTTAAAAAAGACACTGCCGCTTGGAATCAGTCTAGAAAAAAGTGACCATACACATTAGTGGGCTAATGTAATACACTGACAGGCTAAAAGAACTGAACGGTTTTGGCCTTGTTAGTATTAGCATGAGAGACCTTTAAGGAAAAACAGGTTGCTAATCTAAGTGATATTGGTGGACCAGTAGGTGGCACTCTTCCCTCTGGACCAGAATGTCCAAAACCTGATGCCATGATGGCTTGGTTTTAAAATATTCTCAATATAGGGGTGTTAATCTCATTCCCCTTGGTAAATTCCACTCGCAATCAGGCCTGTCTAAAGTTCCCCTTAATTCAATCTGTGAAGCGATTTCTCATTTCTGTACCAGATCTCGTGTGTTAGGGCTGCTGGTGCATAATGGCCCAGGTAGGTAGTGTACATCAGTGGTGAGAGAAAATGGTTCCTTAAGATCTATTGGGATCCTTTGGATTAGTGAGGTTATTGTAAATGAAAAAATAGAGACAAATTCTGCCTTCAGGAAACACCTTGATAGGACTCGATTGCCGAAACATTGTTTTTTCTTTCTACTTTTTAACTTGGATTTCACATCTACTTGTTCCTTTGCAGTCAACATGCTGACAGAGCTCCCTCAAACCTCATTAAACATAGTTTAATGCTGGCATATAATTTCTTATTTAATTATGCACATCATTCTTGTCCAGGTGCATTTCAGTGCCTTGCGTATATACCTGTACAGTAGCTTTCCCTTTCTAATACTCTTTGTAATGAGAAAAACAGAATCTTACTTTATCAGGAATGTGTTACACAGACACCTCAACAACAAGAATGTTTCTTTTCATGTCATTATTGCTGGCCAATGTAGTATATAATGAATGTTAAATCTGCACTGTTTTAATTTGAAAATTAAGGTACCACCAATTCCAACCAATGTCCATTGGAACAGGAAATGCCTGTTCTTCTTGTCTGACCGTGTTAAAATCAGGTGCAAAAGCAGACCCCTTGCCTGTTTAACCCATTTAAATCCTAACCATTTGCACAATGGTCATAATCCTGCTTTAAGAAGTTGTCACCTCAGTATATTCATCCAGGTATTTTTAAAGGAGAGGTATAAAACGCACTTTAGAATTGGTCGTCACATCGTTTGATTGTAATGTCATAGTGATGATTTGATATAAATGTTTAGTTTTTGTTATTTGAGGTAGGCTAAGCTCTTGATTGCTGTTATTTCAGTTGAAGTCTTGTGAACGATATGCTTTGTCTGTTGTTGCTTGTCTCCGTTAATGTGGCACAGTGCAGTTGACATTTGTTTATTTCACCAGCATCATGTCCAGTGCCAGTATTTAATATTTAATAGTGTGTAGTTAAGCCTATCATGTGAAAATGATGAAAAACACTCTATTTTCATTTGTAAAGGGAAGCTCAAAAAAGGTCCTAAAATCAGTACATATGCAATATACAAAGCATCCTAATTAAGGACTGAGTTTTCTGTTGGTTTAGAGTCAGTACCTACCACAGTACCTGCAAGATCTTTAGTCTCTAGTAGGCCCCCTTTATTAATGTGCACAGTACAAGTCTTAAAGAAGACGAGAATGGAAAGCCTCACCATTCAAGGGAAGCTGTGAATTGCTAATGCAATAATCAAAAACTAAAATGTGTCAAATTATTTTTCACATTGCATCCGTCACAGCCACGTTTTAAAAAAAAAAAATCAAAGGTACTGTATAATTGGAGAAGTTTGATGCTATTATTGGTAGTATGATAATTGAAAAGTGCAGATTATATGCTTTCTAGAGACGTGTGGACATGTCTTCTACTATAATGTTGCAGCAGTTTAGTAAATATTAGAATATTAAAATTCTGAAGGTTCATTGTTTGGAAAAATGTTATGTTCAGCTTCAATGCTGTTCCACTAAAGGGTATGTGTCTTCTTTTTAAAAATTATGGGGGCGTGGTTTGGAAAGTATGCTCTGCATTACGTGAATCCTAACCTCACTGTTACTATTGAAAATATTTCAAAACCAGTTTAAGACAAAGTAGCAAAGAGCTTCACCTAAAACTGTATAAATCTAATGCTATTGAGTAGCCAGGTGTAGTGTTGTATTTCAGTGTCTTAAGACATCCTTCGACTTTTTTTAACTGCTAATATTTAAGGAATACCTGCATTTGATTCTATTCCGTTTCTTTTCAGCTGCTCGGGAATCTGCACTGTTAGAAAGAGAGGAGCGGGCGAAGCAGTACTACGAGAAACATCTGGAGGAGCGCAAAAAGAAACTCGAGGAGCAGCGTGTGAAAGAAGAGAGGCGGAGAGCTGCCGTTGAGGAGAAGCGGAGACAGAAACTTGAAGAAGAAAAGGTCTGCTTATCAGCGTCCATTCTTGACGGATTTTCTCTAGTCCTCTTGAGCATTTCTTGCTTTAATGCTTTAATTTGTTAAAAACTGCAATGTTTTATTGTACAGTTTTCCTTAAGGCACATATCTATTAAAAGGAGTAGAGGGATTGAGGCTAGAGAGTGGGAGCAAACTGCGGTCTTTAAGCTGGCTCTGGAGCATTGCACTCAGTTTCAGAGACTGGCTGGCTGTTTTTTTTTTACAAAAGGCTTTTGGTGAATCTGAATTACAAACGTTTAGTAATGTAAGTCCAGCTACAGTCATCATCACTTGGGGCATTACCGTTAACGCTTCTGGTATCAAGGTTAACTGTTGTAAAATAAATCTAGTTAAATAGTAATATACAAAGAACAGTAACAGTTGTAAATTAGTTATAGCACTTTGTAATATTTTCTCTTTGCGGTTTTAAATGAGTCCCACTCAAGTTAAGTCAAATATAAGATAATATTTTTTATTTATAATTGACAATTAAATAACCCACTATCAAAGAGATGCATCTGATGATGTTCAAATGTTATTAAGTGTATTATTAAATACAGTTTTCAGCATTATTACATAATTTATCCTGGAAAATACCAGTGTAGGAGGTTATCAGTGCATTATTAACATGCATACGTTAATATTAATATTAACTGCATAAGTGAAAAGTGTAAAAGTTTTGTTTCAGTACTCTGAAGAACTGAAGAAATACTGAATAATACTGCAGAAATACTCTGAAGAACTGTGTTTTGATCTGCCATGTCAGTCGATGCAGCTATTGGGGGGATGCTTTGTAGCTTGAATTGTATTGTTACTATTTAAATCCTCAAACAAAACATTAAAACTGCTGCCTGGTCTAGTATAGTTTCTGTTCTGTTCAATACTTAGATTTAGCCACTCTTTCTTGAGTTCTTTTTGTCAGGGAAATGTGTGTCAAGTCCTTGAATTATCCTTTGACTTTTTAGGGCTCTCTGTCTCTTGAGTTATGTCTGAAATCGGTCAACAGTCTTCTTAGATGAAGACAGGGTTTGAAAAGATTATAGCCAGCAGCAAGGGGTGTGAATGTTTCTCACCATAATACGAATGGAAAATAAGACAGCTAACATGAGAGAGAGAGGGGTATTTAAGTGATAAAAGAAGCAACAAGAAGCCTAAACTGAGCTCTACCTGCAGTCACATGAGAATAAGCGATGATGATGTTAGTCTTTGGTAGGACACCATTTTGAATAAAGAAGAAAGTAACATGGTTCGGGGCTGGATGCACGATATTTAGTGGATGTTTGTAAGATGTGATATAAAGAGCAAATTAAAATTTTAAATATGATCATCATGCCAGATCTTAGTATAAAATATTTTCTAATATTGAAAGACACACAGCCCATTGTGTGTTTAAGTATATTGATAGAAGTGCAAAATAAAATGTCAATTGATTATGATGAATCACATCACAATCACAATGTCTTCTTTATAAGAAACCTCTCCATATGAAACCTTGTACACTACATTGTGTTACATTTTTTTTAGTTCCTAAACATTCTCAGCAGCCTGTACTGTAAACTTTACTCCCTAGTTAATTTTCAGTTACTGATTAAACAAACATTAATTTTAAACTAAATTTGAATAACTGACCCGGGTGGTTTCAGTTTTTTTTAATGATGGCATTTGTTGTCTTAAATTAAAGAACATTAAACTAAAATCAATTTCATCCCAGACTAGTATATGATAAACTAGTATTATTTTAGACTAATCTAATTAACATCATTCTTAACAAATTCCATTAATGATCACAGGAGTTTTGCATATCTATAAAGTATGTAGAGCTCACTCATTCTGGAATTAATAGAAAACCCACACAATGTTTATTTTTCCTCTTTGTGGCTTCTGTGTTGCTTTGCGTAACATGATCTTTTGTGTTTTCTCTAAATGTGGCTTGGCAACTCTTTTACCAGCTTCCTATCTGGCTAAACTACTGCAGCACAGGCCCCAGTAGCCATAGGGCATTTTATACAGTAGATGTCTAGCAAATGGACTATTGCTGCAGTATTGCACAAGTATGACTGTTCTTGGATGGTTGCAGACACATTAATGACATCACTGCAGTAATTTTTTTATATATATATACTGTACTAATACTCCACAGATTTCGACACTTCTCAGAATTTATTTAAAGCTTTCCTTAATTGAAACTACTGTAAGATGCATAGGTTGCAAAAGGTGTTCCAGGAGGAAAAATAAATTCTACAAGTTGACAGATCTAAAGAACTAAACCATAAAAACAAACATTTTCAAAGCAGAGCTCTATTTAACTTTGTATTTACATTTTCTGAAATAATTATTTCAGCCGTTGTCTTTTTCATACTGTATATTCTATATCTGTTGAAGAAATCGGTATTTGTTTCATTGTCACATTTCCTGAGTGCATGTTGTACAAATGAGGTTTAATGATTTCATTAAGTGGGAAAGAGGTTGAACCCGATCCTACATGTGTTGTGTGATGTCAGTGCATAAAGGCTACAATGTTCAATACTCAGTTCTTATTTTCCAGAGAAATTCATATTTACCAAGCAGTTGCATTCAAAGTTAAGCTTCTGTAAGCTTGTTGTTAAGAGTCCGAAGTTATGTGTTTGTGCCATAAAAAACAGCTCCAATAAATTTGCTTATGTTTCTCATGTTTTATACACCAAATAACACTATAGTACCATTTGTTAGTTTAGTACTTGTTTTTCTGTTTTTACTTTCAAAGCAATCATTTTGTCATTAATAATATACTGTGCATAGTAAGGATATGGCTGGGCTCTAGCTGCAGATTATGATCTCAGGAGTTGAGGCTGAAAGGAAGGATTCAAAGAGCATTGTTACCTTAATTCCACATGTCAACTGCCAGCTGGAATTCCTGTGTGTTTTTCCAGGAGCGTCATGAAGCCGTTGTTCGGCGGACAATTGAGAGAAGCCAAAAGGTGAAGCAGAAGCCCAGCCGCTGGTCATGGGGAGGGGCTGTTCCCAGCGGTGGCATCCATTCCAGTGGTAAATTACACCTCAGACACTTTTAATGTCTCTCTTCTTCACATTGGGGCAATCCTTTTGTTCAGACTGTGTAGGAAATCAAAGAGGAAGGTAAAGAAACAGGTGTGCTTTCAATCAGTACAAGCTCATCATTACTTTTAATGTGGTTAAAGAAACATAAACATTGCAGAGTATTCCTTTCCTGCATGTTTAAATTGTTTGTTTTTTTTTACCAACAATTGGCAAAGCATGGATTCTTCACTAGGTTTACAGGCTGGTAACTAGATGACAAAATGATGTTTCTAGCGCTTGCTTGCAACTTGTCTTGAGCCCTTTGCTTTGAAGAATATATTACATTATGTAAAGTGCCTCTCTGTTCTGAGCTGATCTTATGTTCTATCTGCTGCAGTATTGTTAATTTTGTTCCCTGGATATCTAGATCCCATTGAAATTAAAAACACAAACAGACATACCAAGAGCTGTAAAAATAAGAATTTGGTGACCACAATAATTCCTTGATACACAAATTAAATTGTTTGTATGTAAGGAATACATAAAAACAAATTGCTGTAACATTTATAAATACTTGTGACAAAAGAAGTTTGAAATAGGATGTTCTTGTATAGAAGATGCATCAAAAACAACACATTGGCACAGTTGGGGGGTCCTTTATTTCAGAAGCTTTTGAATTACAGCAGCAGAATTTATTCCCTTGATGATAACTGGTGGTGTTTCTTACTGGGTATCACTAGAAGCCCCCATTAGTGCCACACTGTAGGCTGAGAACACAGGCTGTGAACACAGGCTGGTGGCGAACACTCGTGTTGCTGTGCAAGTGTAACCCACATCACTGACTGGTTTTCATCTTGAGGGCAGGACAATGCCAGTGAATGAAGCGCCTGGCTTCTGATTGACGCTTAAGCCCCCCCCCCCCATTTTAATTCCAGTTTTCCAGTGTGAACCAAAAAGGCAGAGCTGGTAACACGTCTCAGAGGAACTGTGGGCCTCTTGGAGGGCCTTCCTGGTCTTTAATGTTATACTGTATAAAACCACCCCAGGATTCTTAATTTACAGAGGAAACTCTGGTGGGATTTTGTCATGTAATTAAAGACATGAGAAATACTTTTGAATTAAAAGTTTAAGAAATTGGAAATCTTTGAAACATTAGTCTTATATTCAGTGTAGTGTTTTGCTGCAGTATTTTTAAGATATGCTTTCAGCAGCAGTCTTTTATGGTTAATTAGTACTTCAATAATGCCTTAATGTCCGTCGCCATCTTTATTTCGCATTCTGTTGCATGATTATGATTTGGTTTGTCACTCTGAGGATCATTCATTGTCTTGCATTGGCTGTTCCTTTTTTCTCTTGTCCAGGTTTTGTTGAATCCGCTTTCCTCTTTCCTCTTGATATAGCAGGCCTGGAGCACCACTTCCAGGGTGCTTTTGGTGTTCGCAGATATGGTACAAAAATGCAATGTGAATATCGATTCCTCATCAATGTATCTTACCATGTAGGAGTACGTCACCTGGTAGCAGGCATCTCAACACTGTGCATGATTTACATTAGATACCATAGACTAGAACTATAGAAAGCATAATAAACTTACCACCTAAAGCAGATTGGCTCATGTTATTTGACATAACTGCGCAGGTCTGTGAACAAACTGTATGCAGTCCAGTTTGAGCACATACTTGTTTCCTGAGTTAGCATTAATGTTCCACAATGAATGTTCTGCAACAAAAGATGCTGACCACAGAATTGATATTTTTGGTAGACACATAATCAAGCCATGAAAATGTGATTCATATTAAATTGCAAAATCTAATTAAATAACTGTGTATTCTTTTTCCTGTGATGGTTCCCCTTGGTTGGCATTTAATCTGTGCTTTAGAAAATTATTAAACGACACTTTTTTCTGTTTGATTCACTGTGTGTTTAAATTGTCATGGTTTGCCGCACTGTGGATATATTCTTTTTACTACAGTTTAAGTCCATAGCAGGGCTGTTATGTCAGATAGACAAGGCCAATCTGCAGTTGTTCGCAATTCACACCTCTTCTAAATTGCTTTCTCCATAATACCTAGTAGTTCCTGATGAGTAGGATAGAGCAAGAGCTGAGTTATTGCATCAGGGTGTCACTTGCCAATATTTCCATTTGTTTTAGATGCAGACAGGAGGTCAGTTTCCACTGTGAATCTTTCGAAACATGCAGACCCTGTCATTAACAAGCGGCTCTCTTCCTCGTCTGCAACGTTGTTAAATTCTCCAGACAGAGGTACAGTTCCTCCGATCGCTTTCAGCGTAAAGAATAATATGTGACTATGTATGAGCAGCTAAATTCTTTTTAAGACCATGAAGCAGGCATAGAAAGCTGGCATCATTGAGATTTATTTTTAAAAATCCTGTAAGGGTATATCGGTTTTGTAAAGTCATTAGAAGCTGCATTGGACAAGACCAGGTGAAGATTTTGTCCATTCTCTTACCCTTTTCCTTCTTAAAAAGCTGGGGTGATCAGCTGGGAAGTGGACGCCTACCAGTTCCACATTGCTCTTGGGCTTCGGGAGGCCATGTCTTTGTCCTCCTACAATATAGTTTATTAATAATGTAGAACAAAATAAAATGCATTCAACATATATTTTCTGTGCAATTTATCTTGCTGGAAAATAGAGAACATATACTGTATATCGGCAGCAGATGATAGAATATTTTTAGAGCCGTCTTTGAATATACAGTACATAGTTTGACAGGTCAAATTTGGACAGTGTATTAAAATACATTGTTTTATCTGTTATACTGTTATAATCAATCTTTATTGATTTCCCTCACGGGATCAATAAAGTATCTATACATCTGCATTTTGAAAGACTTGTCTTTACCGTCATATTGCCTGTTTAACTATGAGTCAGGAAACACTGGTGTAATATGTCTTGAGTTCTGATGACTCATCTGTGTTATTGTCTTCATCACCTCACATCCATTTGCAGTTTGTTTATTTTACATTTTTTTTTCATAACACTGTTTGTTTCTGCTGCCTGTTGTACTGTATGTTTCATGTTGAGACCTTCCTTTTTTGTTTTAGATGAAATTATGGAACCATGAAGAAAAATAATGCAGCAATAGTACAAGCCCGTTTGCAAAGAGAATAAGATTAACATTTTCTTTAACAGCTTTTGAACCTCAGCTTCTTTATGTGCATAACTATGATGAGAATTGTTTTGTGTATTTTTTATAATGTTAAGGCTCTTGTTTGCTTTACAGGTGCTATACTCTTCATAGCAAAAAAAGACCCAAGAGGAGCAAAATGTTTGTACATATTGCACATAAGCTTCAATTTTTCAAAATGTGGTTACTACTGTATATACTTATACTATGTTACTAAATACTATGAATGATGGAAATCATTCCAAGTTTCCTTGTATATTACTTTTACAATGACGGTCTTTACCAGCAATCAGGCAGTCTGTAAAGGTTAGTTCATAAGGTTCCTAACTTGGTGAGTATTAATCAAAGGAAATGCAGAACTTGAACTTTTCACAAGGTGTTCTTCAGTTATCAGATACTGTACTTACAAAAGTGAATGTGGAACATACTGAAACTCCCTTCCAGTGTGGTGATTCAATAACTTGTTTGGTTTGTTTGCACAGCCTTACAGAAAAGAACTCCCTTCCTTAATAAACCTCAGTCAAAGCCACACACCTCCTCCAGAGAAAAGCCCCCTCAGGATCGACGGCCAGGTGTTTCTGAGGAAGATGCAAATTCGAAAGTGCTTTCTAAATCAATCACTGAAAGGTTTTCATATGAAACTGGCTGGAGATTGCCAATTACATTCTAGATTAATACATTTAGGTTTATTTAATGATATGGCCATATTCTTTGCTGTGAGTATTTTTTGGAGAAAAAGTGAAAATCGACATCTGTTCTTCATGATGGAAGTATTAGATGTAACAGTTGTGATTACTGTATTTACGAGCTTTAGGCAAATCATTACCAATGCATTCCTACAACTATTTTGTTATCATAGTGATCAGTGTCTTTATTAGGATTCTGATTGTTTTTTTTTGTTTTGGCTCTGACAATAAACAGCAACAAAGAGTACAATACAGTGTATACAGAAAAAAAGATTACTTCAGTTAATGAAGGCCCGTTCAGCATTTTCAAAGTGTCTTTTGGCAGATTTAAGGAATGTCTGAGACACGTGTTTTAACCGATTCACTGGCCCTCTGGGAGGTGTATGCAATTTCCAGCTCAGTTTCACCTCACAAGCCTTCAATGATAATCTGTCAGCTGAAACCATCAATTGCTTTCTTTGTCACCACACGTTAACCAGGGCAGATGCTAAGCTTGCATTCCTTATTTTGTAGCTGGGCTGTGGTAGCTCTCGAGACTATAATAACTGCTTTCTATAAGGAATTCTTAAATTACTCTAGCTGTCCACATTAACCCTCAAGCTTAGCGATTTGCCAGACTACTGGGAAAATATTTATCTAAACTGTGCATCTTTGTATTTATGATTTGTGCACTGCAGTTAGAGCATCCATTATCACTTGATGCATGTAAGATAGAGCTCAGCAAACGTGAGATTGTGGAACTGCACGATATTTTATGTTTTGATTGAAACATTTCTATTTGCATAGGATATGATTTGCAATACCAGCTCTTTCTTTCTGCTTTTTTTTCCAGCTATAGTTCATCTGGTCACCGTCAATGCTTATTTATATTTTGTTTGACTGGCTGCAAGTCATGAGCTCTCATGCAGCTGCTCCTGCTGTGTCTAATGTGTCTATGCGGTCCTATAACTCGCAGCTCGTCGCCTGCAGCTCAGTGCCTGGGAGAGCTCCATCGTCAGCCGGCTGCTGACTCCCACCCATTCCTACCTGGCCAGGAGCAGAAGTGCTGTGTCTTTGTCCGGGGAGATAGGTAGGTTTCCCGTTGGTGGCAGTTGTCTGAGACCCATGTGTGAATATTATATATGTTTACTGGCTAATACTGTACATGCATTGAAAGCAAAACTGACATTCCAGATTCTGGTTCCTGGCAGTGATGACTCAATCGGAAACATTTTTGAACATCTGTATTCACAAACGGCATGATAGGTCCATACGCCATAGAGCTTGGGTTGTTTTCACGAAGAAGTGCTTTTTTTTTTGTATTTTCTTTATATGGAGCAGGTTTCATTTTGGCTTTGAGAGCAGGTGAACTTGGAAAACGTTTTAAAAGAAAACTGCCAATATAGAACTTCTTAGGAAGTGCATTTCCAGAAGCAAAATATTTGACAAAATTCAGCAGAATAAAAATTACTGAAACTGGGAATTTGAAGAGTCTGTACAAATGTGTACTATATATATTGACCTTCACTGATTATGGTTTGCATGTAAGATGACTTCTTTTATCTTATGTTTCTAACAAAGGTAATTCAGAAGTGCTGATATTTTTAGATATTTGTCCTCTTTCTGAGCAAATTCAGATGAGATTGTTTGGGTTTTTTTTTTTAAAAAAAGGCACTAGACAAAATTGGTACATTTCCTGTTATGGATTCTTTGCTGTGCACTTCGATAACACACCTGGTAACTTCAGCATTTTGCGTTTTCTAATGCTTGAAATGAGTGAAATTGTGTTGTTTGGAGTGAGAGGAAGAAATATGCGTAGCCTTTCCTCTGTTTCTCTTGTCAACTAAGGGGGATTTGCTTTGCTGGTGCTGGTGTTGCCTTGTCTGTTTTCTCCAGTTATTCCCTGCCATCAATAACAACCTTTAAGCTGCATGCCATTTCTTTTCCAGTGTGCAGTTCTGTTACTGATTTAATTACTAACACTTTTCAAATCCACAGCAGCTGCAGTGTGTAACTCAGCCATCACTATGAACCTAACCCCCTCCAAAAAAGAAAACTACATAGATTTGGAGATGGTTCAGATGTGGATAGCTTGTAGAACCTGGCGAGGGAATACAGCAGTCTCCTAAAGGGGCTCATCAAAAAATGCTGTTGGTAATAAATGACAAATCTAATGATTTGTCAGAAAATCTGCACTGGCATTTTCTACAGTACTGGTTTGCTTTTCAGTTTTTATACAAAACCCGTTCTGGCAAGCTTAGTGTACTTTGATGCCAAAATTCAGATCAGAATGTGTCAAAATTAAGCATGAAAGTAGGTGTTCATTGAAAAAAATGAAGATGGAATGGCTTCATTCCTACCAAGACATTAATCATCTTAAAACAGGAAAAACAGCAATTCCATAAAAAAAGATGTCCAAAGACATGCATTATCCTGTTCTTTAAATTAAGAAGAGATTTAAAGTGATGGTTCTGGTACCCACATCTTTTTGCATTTTGTAGCTAATCTAATAGTCGCTTTATTCTCTCTTTCTCTTCCCTTTTGATGGTTTTTCATCTCCACTCCCTCTCCTCCATTACTTAAAAAAAACCCACTGTACAGTTATCCCCATTTGTCCCCGTTCAGCATCTTGCAGTCCTATGACCCCAGTGTCCTACAAGTCTGTCCACTGTAGGAGCACTGAGCGGCCGAAAGTGACCATAACCAGCTCTGACACGGCTTCACGCAGGAGAACTGTCCATCTGGCAATGGTAAGATTGTCTCATGTCTGTGCTAAGTCAGCGTAGAATATTCTGAGAAATATTCTTGGACTTGGAAAAACATATTTGTGAGGATGTGAATTCCTGTAAAGCTTTTTTAATGTTAAACGTACCCCCAAATGCTCATATTCAACCAGTTAATGTTTAGCATCTCATAACTAGGATGAGTGTAAATACATGTTTCTGCATAGTTGGATGTGTTCAAATGTGGCAATAAAAACTGCCCCCCTGACAGCTTGACGTTTTCCTGCTTTTAATATATTATGTTTACCCGTGACAAATATAAAAGGGTGATGTGTAATTAAGACATTTACTGTATATAAATAACCAAATTGTTTACCTGGTGCCAGATACAAAAGGGATGATTGATAATTTACAGTACAGTATATAAATACTACTTTATTCAAACATTTAACTTCTAAATCTTATTCCTTTGTTCTTATACGGTATGTTGCTTGTTAAGTTAAAAAGTGCACTGTCCTCACGGACCTGCATCAATGCAGTGTGTTTGGTTTGGCCTTGGATTCAATCACCTGATCCCCTATGACAAAAAGCCAGCCTCTTCGCCCTTTCCAGAGTCCTGGAGAGTCTGGTCATAGTTAAAGAATTGTCTTACACTGAGTCCAGCCATGTTAAGTTAAAATGGAAAAGCAGCTATGAACAACTCATATTTATACGTTTATATTACACAGGTATAAGACAGTGTCTTTAGTGTTTTTCATGAAAAATGCTTACCCTGCTCTTGTTTTGTGAGAACCACTGGAAACTGCTGACCTGTGACTCTGGTTGCATAACTAATACATTATTGTAAAGTCCTGTGCTATTCATTTTCAAGCTCCCTTCCTTTCATTAATTATTGTTTAACTCATGCCCTACAAAGCTGAATTAATTTTGAATGTTTCCATTTCTTTAAGACAGCTTCTGACAGCAGGCATTCACAAGTAGTCTGTTATACTGTATTATGAACAGGATGGTCATGTGACTAAATTATGCCTCAGAGTTTGTTTCCTTTGTTTGTTTAAAACTAGAATGAAACAGAATGGTACCTTACTGAGAAGTATTTGTCTATAAGTACTTGTGATTTATTCTTGTATTTGTGCATCTTCAAATGATGTTCACCTTCAGCAAGACAAAAAAGCAGGTGGAGTGCAATTTTGTTAAGTCACAAACAGTCATGTTAGGAAAGGTATACATCAGCCTGAAGTAAATTTAAGAACCATGGATCCCCAAGCTCGTCTTAAGGATACTCCGTATTAGAGCAAGTAGATAAGGTTCTGATTTTATCATTTTCTGAACGTACTGTACACAACCCTGACCTGGAAGATCAGGCTTGTAGTACAGTAGTTATTGGACACATTAGGTGTAAAGGAGCACAGAAGAAGAACAGTTCATTTTCAAATTAGTAATATTTCTGTAATGCCACTCATTTAAAAACTAATAATGATTTGTTGTTTTTACTGTTTGTGAACTGAGCTTTCTTTATGAAAAAAAAGATGAAGATCAGGTTATTAGCTGTATGTTTGCAAATGCCTGCTACAGGTATACTGTAAGCTCAACTCCAAAAGGCTTTTCTGATAGTCCATCTGTCTTGGTGGAAGGACTTAACTAATTAACTACTTAGGGATGGGATTTTGGCCCTATTAATCAGTGTAGGGTGGGTGACGCAAACAGTCTTCATCGCATCTGTTCAGAGTGGTTTCGACTGCGAAAGAAAAGACTATAATTTTTCCATTTTTATATTTACACAATATACTGTTGCAAACATAATGACACCTTATTTCTTAGCTTACAATATTTGATTTAATTAACACTTTTACTAATGAGATCAATGACAATGATACTGGATAAATACAGTTTAATAAACAATATTGTGTTTAATGAATCAGAACATGATCATGAATAGTATCTCAACAGAACTTAGTTTATTTCTACAAAGTCTGGATTTTCTGCAGCCTTTTTTTCCATCTGGATTGTCACTATGTGACTGAAATGTGAAATGCAGTTTTTCCACAGACCCTTTTTGTGCTTTATTCTATTTATTCTATTCTAACTTTGTCAAATGTTAATACAATTTTGTATTTTTTTCAGTTCTGTTATTTCTTATTACTTTTTTAATGGAACAGAGAGTGAGTCTATTTCCAGTTAGCTGCACTTTGATCATGTTCAGGACTTACTGACCTATATAATTTCAAATTTTAAGTGGGAGGATTCATATAAGAGCCACTATTTAGTAAATTATTGTTTATAATTAAAGCACCATTTTTTACCATTTATCTTGAGACTTAGGTCATGAAACATTATTCATTAATATTAAATAACATTATTCAGTTTAGTACCACATGCTCAAGCTGAACATATTGGTCTTAATAGAAAATTCAAAGACTGTTTTTAGAGCTAGTCACTAACTATGAAACCTTTTACATAATTCTGTTCAGATGATTCCAGAAGGCTTGGGACAGAATGCTTTACATGGTAAATACAAGTTTCTGATTACCTCTTTTAACTTAATTAATTTGTGGTTTAGGTTGCTAAAAAAGAAAAGGATAAATCCTGGACCAACCTCTCTACCCCTACTCCTGCAACAAGCAGGAGGTCTCTATCTCCCTCTAGTGTGAGGAGCAGAGCAACAGCACCCTCTCCAGTACGGTAAGATTACTGCAGTCAATCAAATCTTGCATTCAGAAGTGTCATTAAAAAAAAGATCCATCCTCATGGTCCATCAATGTTGTGATTATTGCAAATTGTATACTTGTTGCATAATTGTCCAGCTGCTTTAATTGCAATTGTTAAGGTTGAGGTGCCACACTTACATCATGCGATGTAGTGCTTACACCTTTTAATGTCTTTTAAAATATTCAGATGCCCTTGGCTGGATGCCCTATATTTTGGGATGCAATGGAACTTGTTTTCTTCCAGTAAACGTGAACATAGAGACATGTTGAATAATAGCTTTAGTAAGCTTTTCAATGCAAAGTTGAAGACATATCTGACAGTTTGGAGAAATGTGGTTTGAACTTAAATGGCTTATACTGTATTATTGTAAAATAGTCTTCCACTGTTCAATATATTTATATATATCACTGTATATATAAATACTGGAAATAATCATACTGGAAACAGGATAAATATGGTATATTACACAAAAGACAAATTGTAGAATAATATATTTTGCTTTTAATTTAAATGTGGCCCTAATGCAGTGTTCCAATACATTATCGATTGCCTGATTAATCTAATTGTGCCAAACCAACATACAAGTGTAGATAAGAGATTAATTTAGAGTTTTTAAAGAGTTTTAAACTTGCAGTGAATATGATGGCTCCTGGGAAAGAAGCCACATGTGACAAGCACATAAAACTCAATGTTTTAGCCAAAACAGGTGAATTCCCTTCAACAGATTTCAGCCAGACTCATTTCATCCTGTGCCATTAGCAAGACCCTGAAGAGTGTACAGAAAATTGGTATTGTTGACAATAAACGTGGTTGAGAAAGAAAATCCAAACTATCCAGTATGTTCCTGTGTAAATAGTCTACACGGCAGGTGACATTCCAGCAGAAATTTTGTAAATGGTCTTGCTGCAAGAGCAACCAGATGCACATAAACATAAAATGTTCACAGTGATTGTGCAGCTGCACAGAACAAAAAAGACACCAATGGGCAGCAGAAATTAAACAATGAGGTGATGAAACCTGGAAACAAGTGCTCTTTACAGACAAGTCCAGGTTTGAGCTATTCATCAATAATCAGTGTCTGTACTTCAAAAGGTGCAGTATAATATATTATAAAGTTCATTCAAAGACAGACAGGAGAGCTGCATTACAATCAGTGCACATAAGCTACAATAAAACATTGGGATGGATCAATACAAGTCTGGAGTTCTATCAAGTCCAAGGCTATAAGGAAAATAGTAATGAATTTTAAATATTTCACTCTGTAATTACATTGATACATATTTCTGTACTGCCTTCAGAATGCTGTATACAGTAGTGATGGGAGAAGTGCTGCAGGAGCTAAATTGATCACACTGTTACCTGTTCACATTGTATCTTTAAATGCAAATGGTGAATGCAAATTATTATTATTATGTTTGTTTGCACAAAGCAGTCACACCAGCTTTAATTTGTTTTTATAAATATACTGTAGCATTACGCCCCTCCTGGCATTGGACTGTCCCATGACCCCCACCCTGTCAGCTCTAGCCAGACTCCTCTGTTTGTCCACGTCTGCCCAGAGTATTCCTCCCTCTCTCTCACAGCCCCACTCACAGTGCCTCGCCCACCGGTAATCCTGAAGGGCAAGTGATCCAATGATCTCATCTGTTGTTTTTTGAAAGAAACTTGGGTATGGGCTCCAGCAACGGGGACATGGAGCTTCCCACACAACCCTTTGTACAAAACTGTGCCTCCCAATCTCAGGTTTAAATGCCTTAGTCTTCTGGTTCATGTTTCACTTTTGTTTTAGTCCATTGGGTTGGCTTTCCTAAAGCCCTTGAGGATATTGAATATGTGATCAGTTCCCCTTGTAGTCTTCTTTTGTTTAAAAAAATTGTAATTTAAGCCTGTAAGTTTAAGACATGTGATTAAACCAGATAATGTGTCTGGTTGCTCTTCTCTGGGCTGATTCCAGAGCAGCAGTATATTTTTTGGGATGTGGTAGCCAAAATCTTGCACAATAATCAAGGTCTTACTAGTATATTGTACACAAATATTAACATATAACAACTATAATGGAAAAACAAAGAGCATGTGATGTGGTGTATTTAGGTTTTCTGAAGGCTTTTGATAAAGTTCCTCATAAAAGACGAATTCTAATACTCTAGTCAGCAGAAATTAAAAAACAAAGGTAAGAGGTGAATGCTCCAAAAATATTTTAGCACCTCTGCAGTCTCATACTTCTGCATTTTCTAAATGAATCTTATTAAATAGTCAAGGTAAGTCATAACAAATTAAGTTGACTTGTATGTTTCATCATAGAGCGGTCCACAAGGCACCTCCAGTGATCAGCATTCCAAAGCCAGTGAGATCTCCCCCTGATCCATCCCAGGAATCTCCTGGGCAGAGCCACCCCCTGTCTCCTGGGAACGTGCGGCCAGTGAGGACCGTGCTGCAGAGTCAGACAGAGGAGCAGGAGGACGGAGCTGAAAGTGCAGACAATGTGCAAATTTCAGAAGAAATAAATCCTGAGCTACCATCACCTGCTAAAGACACTGCACCTAAACATGAGCCCGCTAAAGGTAAGAGCCTGTGCTTTCAGCAGCTCTTCTTTAGTTCTGACTTAGGTTTGCTTAACTGGGCAGTGTGGCTGGAAGACAGAGCGACTGGCCTGTTTCTGTCGTGGTTGGCATTTAGACAGAGACAGCCGGTTCAGTAAAACAATGGTTGAAAATGTCTTTCCCCTTTAGTGTATAGAAATGAAAACCTTTATTCGTGTTGCAGAACAGCCTCTGGGCAAAGTAATCTCCAGGTATCCATTGAAGGAAAAATAAAGGAATTCTTCTTCTCGCCAGAGCCTGGTCCAGCTCAGCCACAGCTGCAGGCCGTGCCCGCTGCAGGAACCTCCCCAGCCGGTGGAACCAAGCCCTCGGCGGGCACCACTGACCCTGAGGAGGCTACTCGTCTACTGGCTGAGAAGAGGCGCCAGGCCCGTGAACTGAGAGAGAGGGAGGAGCAGGAGCGCAGAGAGATGGAGGAGGCTGAAAGGTAGAATAGAAGGCCTTTGCACAGTTAGGGGTCTGGTGGCTGCCTCATTCTACCTTCCCCCGGTTCTAAGTCATACACCATAAAGGCTTGTTTTTGCGCCCTAGTTCTCATGCGTCTACCACCCTCACGTTTGCTTTCACAGAATGACTGGAGAATACGCATTCACAGTTGTTGCTGTGGGTGTGGCTGAACTACGAAAGGCTTTGTCTTTATTTGTAGTCAGGAAAGCACTGTGGAAAAGTGTAACATGATATTTGTGTAAAAGCAGATCATTTTAATCTTTTAAGTAAGTAGATAAGTCAAATTCTCATTTACAATGATGACCTGGAGAGCACCCATCCTACAGCAGGGCATTTACGGCAGCAAGCATCTTGCTCAAGGGTATAACAGCAGTGACCCACCAGGGATTTGAACACGCTACCCTCCAGTCCAGAGGTCACAGCCCTATGCACAATTCCTCTCAGCGGTCAGACAAGAAATTTAAGATCTTTTCTTGCCTAGGCAGGCAGGGATTGCCATCTTTTCGGGTAACCAATTATTGCTTCAACCAATCATGCCGCAGAAACGCATATTTAATAATTGCTTGCATAAACTGGCAAAAGTGTTACTGAAATACAAACAAAAATCTCAGAAATTGCCTCAAATTTAATATTATATGTTGTTCCTTGGAGATTTGTCATATCCAAATGTCCATAGGGACATTTCTGCCAAGGCAGACTCATGTCTGTCTCTCGTTCATTCTGTTCCCCGAAAGTTGGTTTTGGTTCGCCAACCATTGTTGTGCGGATCCTGTCCTGCACAGGCGCAGCAGGGAGGAGATGGCGAGGAGGAAGGCAGAGGAGAAAGCGCGTCGGGAGGAGGAGGCTCAACGGCTGGCAGAGGAGAAGAGGAAGAGGGAGGAGGAGGAGAAACGTGCTGAAGAGGAAAGAGCACAAAGGGAGAGAGAACTGGCCGAGCGCCTCCAGAAGCAGGTGAGCTGGAAGGGGAATAGATGAGCAGGAAGAGTCCACAGGAGGGAGTAGAATGGGCCGAGGACTGTAGTATTTTAGAAATAAAGAGAATTGGACTGATTTAGCAGTTATTCGCTGCTGCAGTAAATTGTTTAACTGTTTAATTGTTTCTCTAATTTGCCTAGGATTTGTAATCTGCCTGAAACTGTTCTTCAGTTTCTGGTGTTGTCATAAAGTAATTTACAGGAATTTCTCATTTCCTCTTCAGAAATCTGTCCTGCTGTTGTGTTAACAGTAGTAAAGCCACACCTATTGAAATGCAAAGCCTTGCATTCAGCTGTAATGTGGCATCTTTATATCATTTTTCTCTGAATAGCGCAAAGCCTGCTGTAAATGGTTTTATGACACTTTTAAAAGGCGAATAATAATCAAATAATTTGAATAGATCAGAAAATGCTTATTCTGCCAAGAAAAGGTTATTTGAAGAGCTGAAGCCCCAGAAGTATCCAACTCAAACTTGCTTTCACTCTTCAGAAAGAGGAGGAAGACTCTCGCCTGCGCGAGGAGGCAGAAAGGCTGAGGCTGGAAAGGGAGAAACATTTTCAGAAAGAGGAACAGGAACGCTTGGTGAGGAAGAAGGTATGCACTGTGTTGTCCGAGGACCTCCTGTAGGGGTCTTTGAGGTTTTGTCTTTGGGAAAACCTCATCAGTGATTTTAAGTTTGGTAATTTGACCAGACTGTACAAAGAAGGATTGTTCAGATTTAAAGTGCTCTGAGGTATTTCTGTTTTCAAAAATGTCCATCAAAAGCAAAGCTGTTTTCATTTATAATCTCTGAATATGGGTTTTTCACAGAACTGACACATTTTGTTAAGATGTGTGTTATTGTCTTTGACTTGTTTATATTTTGAAGTTACATACATTGACATCAGTTTTCTCTTTTTTTGGTGTTAAATGCAACTGAGTTGTCCACATCTTCTGTGATAATTGCTAATCTTAAGCATAAGGGAGGGGGAAATTGTTCTCTGGGCTTGACGTCGTGCCTGGTGGACTGTGGTGTAATTGAAATTCAAATGAGCATTTTGTGTTTTAGCAGATGTTCATTCATAAAGGCTAATGACCTCCCTGAAAGTGTCATTGTAATGAGAGGAGATACAACATGGCAGTGCTACATATTAAATTACCATTTATTCCAGAAAACCTTGCCAAAATCCAAATATCTCCTTTTAATAATAAGAATAATTGCTTATACTTATATAGCGCTTTTCTGGACACTCCACTCAGAGCGCTTTACAGGTAATGGGGACTTCCCCCCACCACCACCAATGTGCAGCATCCACCTGGATGATGCGACAGCAGCCATACTGCGCCAGAACGCTCACCACACATCAGTGGGGAGGAGAGCAGAGTAATAAAGCCAATTCATAGATGGGGATTATCAGGAGGCCATGATTGGTAAGGGCCAATGGGACACCGGGGTTACACCCCTACTCTTTTTGAGAAACACCCTGGGATTTTTAATGACCACAGAGAGCCAGGACCTCGGTTTTACATCTCATCCGAAGGACGGCGCCTGTTTACAGTATAGTGTCCCCGTTACTATACTGGGGCATTAGGACCCGCATGGACTGCAGGGTGAGCACCCCCTGCTGGTCCCACTAACACCTCTTCCAGCAGCAACCTTAGTTTTTCCTAGGAGGTCTCCCATCCATCTTCATTGGGCTGCCAGTTGTGAGTTGCAGGGTGATATGGCTGCTGGCAGACCATTTTTAGACTGGAATTTTTATCCAGTTTTACAGATCCAGTGAGTGCAATGTTTGTTTTAATAATATTAAACTACTTGTAGGTAACTTAAACAGCAGACTAGTTTATTACTTCCAGTTTAGAATTGCATTATTTTTAATCTATTCTGCTTCTGTTTTTTAGCGTTTGGAGGAAATCATGAAGAGAACAAGGAGGTCTGATACTGCTGATAAGGTAATAACAGCACGGTGGACACTACGTGAAAGTACATTTAAATATGAGAACAGGAGGCACTTCACACAAAGGGTTGCAGGAGAATGGAACTCGCTACCCAGCCATTTTGTTGAAACTGAAACCCTGACTTCTTTCAAAAAATGGCTGTATGAAATGTTTTGTTAGATCCCTAACACAATGGTCTAGATTTTAGGATTGCAGAATTGCAGAAATTAATTCTGCAATTTCCCTCACGGGATCAATAAAGTATCTATGGGTACAATGGCTCTTGTTTTTAGCCTTTTTTAATTTTATTACACATTGATTATCCTGTTCCTCTCAAAGGATTATGCTTTCATTTTACTCTTTTAGAAGCCTGTTTCCCAAAGGAATGGTGAAGTATCCCAGCAGAATAAAGCAGATGAAACAGGTATCTGATTAATTGGACATGACTCTATTGAGTTTGTCTCTCTTGTGGCTTCCTTGAAAATTAATATTTCCATGACATTGGTTACCTGTATTGTAGATTGTTCCTGCAGCAATGGAGATATTTGCATCCTTGTGTGTTATGCATCTGTGAGGATCTATCAAATGCATTTTGGACACACCTTGATCACATTTTCTTATCTACTTGTAATGAGGTCAATGGGATACATCTTAATGTAGTGTAGCAATATATTATTATGTTGTATGTTCTATACATAGAATATATTCAGGCAAAAAGTATTGCTTGGTTTAAATATCATGCATATAGTATATGTTGCAAATACACATTTTATATAAAAATAAGGAAAATCATTTATATCTAATATCTGAGATTTAGTACAACAGTCATAATTTAGTTCTTTCTTACAAAAATAAAAAACATAGATATCTTCCACTGTCTTTGCAAATTCCATCTGTTGAATATTTTAAAATATACAGTATGTGCATATTTTCCAATATTGGCAATTGTACATGGCTTGCTTACAGAAGTATATTTCTCATTCATCTTTGTTACTTTTGGGTTTGGGTTTGTTCTCGCCTATGAATGAAGCTAGTGTTTTTTTTTTTGTATTTGCAGCATCTTATCAGCCTTCAATGCAGGAAACGCTGTCTGTGACTGTGACAGAGCAGTATTCAGAGGAGGGTCCAGGGACACTGTACGCAGGCAGCAATGGTCATGGGGCCCTGGGCCCTGGACTGCCACTCCACACAGCTGGACAGAGGTGAGCATGCCCACTGGGCAGGATTGTGAACATGTGAGCATAGTTTATTTTACACATCTGGTTATTTACACTGGTTCCATTTCTAAATCCTATTCTCTTCTGTTGCCTATTGCACAGTACTCCCAGACACATCAGCTTCACCATTTCTTTCTGTGGTGTCAAGAGTACAGCACAGACATCGTTGAAACAGTATAATGAAACATATTTAATATCTGTCTCCATCAACAGATTATACCATTTGATTTAATTTAATGTTGTTATATTGTTGTTGCATAATACATAATCTCAGATATAACTCATTCCGTGCAACAATGGGGAAGGAAATATTCACTGAACGTCATTATAAAGACGATCTTGTATTTCTGGCTTTTATGCTGGAAGTTCTTCTCCTGGCTCAAAAGGTCCTCATCATGGAAGCAGAACAGTTTGACTTTAAGATGAATTGGGACGAAACCAAGATCTATGTGGGTGTACATGATACTAATATTCCCACACAAGTCTCACTACAGGGCTGTTCTGTGGAAGTGGAGTCCTTCACCTGACTCAGGAGCCAGATCCCTGACACAGAAAACAGCGAGACAGGATAGGAATAACATGCACTGATAGAAATACCTGGCACTCACCTGTATGACTTATCACAAAGGTTCAGATCTACGGTTTCTATTTTATTCCTGTATTATCATACGGATCCGAGACCCCTTCCTCCCCAAGCCAGATCAAAGCCAGATGTGGTTTGCTTACTTAGCCAATGACCTTATCACTGGTTATCCACTTGAGCTGTGGGGTGTCAAATGACAGCACAAGGAAGCTAGTGGCAATCGTGCTGTTCTGCACCTCTGCAAGCATAAAATAACTCTTCAGAGGCTGGTGGACACCGTTTTCATTTTATAAAAAGACATTGTACTGTAAAACAAATTGATGTTTTTAACCTTCATTTAATACTCATAGAGGACTTGAAGCAGTGTTGCTTTTGAAAAAACTCAGTGTGGCTAATAAAGATAAGTTTTTACAGCCTGGGGGTTAAACAATATTAATCACCTTATTTATTGCAGCAGTTTATTAATAGAAACTTGAAGGATATAGCACAAAATATTTTTGTTGAAGCAAATTAGAATAAAATTATATGTGCTTCTTGAGGCTTCCTATCATTATTGTATCTAGGATACTCCATGTTAAAGCAGTGTCTATAAAACCTTTAATAAGATGGCACAATATACTTAAATATACTGAAAGCTGCTGTTTCTTTTAAATACACTGAAAAGTTATTGCTTTATTTTTTCAGCACTCCAGCAGCTGTAACACAACCAAAAGAAAATGGGATTTCTGTGCAGAGTGACACGTTTGAGGAGGTGATCAACCTGCCTGTGGGGTCCAAACGGTCAAACCTTGACATGACTGGTGAAGATAGTGAGGATGTTGGCTCACTCATCCCCGTCATCGCATTCAAAGAAAGGGGCTCTCTGAGAACCCTGGCTAATGTAGATGATGTTCAGTCACATCAGAGAGCAGGTGAAATGAATTTATTATTCTCTCTAGTAATATGTTGAAAAACAATGTGATTTTTGGGGACTTTGCTAGCAAAACAATTTACATTGATTCAAAGCAAAATTTTGATGGAAATAGTTTTGATATGCATTTTTAAAAAATTATACCAAATAAAACTAAACTTTATCTTCTCCCTCCTTTTCAGAAGTAATCTGAGATCGTCTGCTGAAAGAGAGCATGCAGAATTGGATTATGAAGCTGTGACTTTTCTACAGAGGAAATACTGCAGCTATTTACTTTGACTGGCACTTTGGAAGAAAACGTTTAAACACATTTTTGTATCAAAGAGGAATTAAAGCAAACCGTCGATCTATCATTTTTCAGTGACCGGAAAATGTTTCTCAGTAGTTAATCATGCTTTGTGTGCTTTTGTGTTAAAACAGCTTTTCCAACATGCTTCTTTTGACAGGTGATATTTTCTGAATTCCTCAGAAAAATAAGATGAAGCGTTTTGTGACTGTGATGTGGAGACGGGGGTGATTTTGTTGGGTGTTACTAATTACTGTAAATTGAAAATCGGCTATAATGTCCTCTAATCTAATACTTGAAGACACCTCATGCTCTAGAAATAGCAATGGATGAGGCTACATTTGAAACCTAGTGGTTTAACTGTAATGGCAGAGAAGTAAGTGCATTGGGGTAAAAGACTCTTGCTGTTTTCTCTCATCAAACCAAGAACTGTTTGTAAAGTGCAGATTTCTCATAGTTTTTTAATTCAATGTAAAATGTTGAAAATAGGAGAAATATTTTCAATTATGATTAAAGCCATCAGCTTTAACAAGTCGTTATTAATTGTGTTGGCAGAGCAGCCATGAGATGTATCATATATGCATTCAATATCCAAAATAGTATGATTGTGGGATTTAAATCATATGGTCCAACAGATTTATAACCTACAAAAAAATAAAATTTCTTTAAAGAAATGCTGCTACTTTATAAATTTCCTTTGCCTTATCAGATCATGAGAATAAATGAGATTTGAATGATTTTTGAAAGTCAATGACTTTTGCTCGTTTAAGAGCAAAGGGCTTAAATGGACACAAAGCTAAAGAAATGCATTCCTAAAATGACTTTCACACATTTTTGGACTCATTATTTCTGCAACACTTGAAATGTTAATTTCCATCACATTATACGCATTGCTGCTATCTAGCATGGTTCTCAAAGCTTTGCACTTTTACATAGTTCTTTAGAGAACTACTGAAGCTCCTTTCTATGGTACAAATGATTTACTGGTGATTCACCTGACCAGTTATGTGGATTAGAACTACTGAAAAAAACATTTATGCAGGGATCTTTTATTACGTCTCTTGTTAAAAATGTGCAGAGAGTAAATACATATATAGAGATATATAAATACAAAAGGTTAAAATGTATATTTTATTAAAATTAATAACAAGGCTTTGAAAACAAAGGACAAATGTATCCACTACACTTAAAAGCTGAATAATACTAAAGCCATTCAGTGGTTCGTTTTAGTAATAAACTTAAGTGATTAAACAATTCTAATTGGATTCTGTTTTGTTTCCTTACAGTCTACTCCTGTCCATGTACATAGAAATTTAATAATGAGACCTTTGTCAGAACTGTAGTAGTTTTCATTGATTCAGTCTGTATAGCATGTAAAGATTCAAATAAACTGTTTGAGAAATTACCTGTCTGTTGTTTGCTATAGAAGTGACTTATACTCAAGCTGCAGTTTCTCATGTTTTCTGAAGTTAATGAAAATAAAGCAAGACATTTTTTTACGGATAACCTCCAGGTCCTGCTTTTAATCCAATGATCCAAGTAAAAATACATAACATGTCTGAAGCTGTTTTCTAGGATGTTCATAATACCAAGTACATCTTTGGAAAACAATTACAGTATCTACAAAACAGTAGGTTTTTTAATAGTCTCTACAGCATTGACTGAATTTCTACATAAAGTAAATTATATATTTTTAAATTGTGAGACAGGCAGCTGATCATTCAGTAAGTCTCTTGCACTGTAGGGATCTCCTGTTTCTGTAGGCTGTAACCTCCTGATGGGCACAATTTGAATGGTTTCATTAAAGCTTTAAACTCTTTAACCAAGTGGTGGGATTAGGATTTGATGGTTTAGGAGGGTTGATCATACAATCATGTACTCTAAGAGAACAGCGCACACGACTAAACCTTAGGCCCTGTTGTAAGCTCTTTAGAATTCAAGACCTACAGTATAGGGTGGGTTTGCTATACAGATGTTATTGAAACAGAGAAGGTACACTATAAAACAGAACTTGTGATTGTCAAGTCACCACACCAACCTTTAAATGATTATGTCCTTTTAACACAATCAGGTTAAAATGATGCTTAACAATGCTTAACCTAAATTTAAGATAGCGGTGAAGTGGATCTGTATGAATCCAATACAGGACTACTTTATTATAAAATAATGCTACAAATAACAGACACATGGAAAGAATTGAAGAAATGGCCAAAAGGGGGAAAGATACAAAAAGTGAAATTTACTAAGATATATTACAAGTGTTTTTAAAAATTCAGATTTTAATTTGAGGCAAAAGTCATTGAATCACAATTACTTTCCAAGGTAAAGATTGTACATTATCGCTACCAAACACAAGGCAAAAGTGAATTATTCTTCCCTTAGAAAGTGTGCAGATTAGAGACTTGGTGCGTTCCCATCGCTGGTGTTCTGGGTAAAGGGGAAGTAGGCATCACCTGATCCTTATCAATTTTTCTGTGCAAGTCAAGTATGAACTGGCGTGGAGCGACCCTGAGTCGGTTGCAGGTTGGAGAGGGTAGGGCAGTGCATCTGACTTTGCTTCCCTGGTCCTGTGGAGCTCCTTGCTTTCCTTCTTGACTTCCAGCTTTCCCTGGTCTTGACTTCCACACCTTGCTTTCAAATTCTGGGTTTCTCCGTTAATTGGCCGTAGACAAAGACATCCCAAAGTCTCGTCTGCCAGAGTTCTAGTTGGCCACTTTAAATCTCGGATTAGCATATTTTTGCCTTCAGAAATTGCTTCCTTCAGAAAGTCCTGGCAAAATGTCCTGCATGTGTTAAAAGCTGTAACTTTTTTTTATTGAATATGCGATTCTCACAGGTTTGATATTTATACTTCTGAACTACTCATGTTTTTCACCATTTGTTTGATACCAAACAAGCATATTCCTTTAATATTCTGTAAAATATTGGTTTGTTATTGTGATTTAGTGTACCCTTTTATGAAAGAATCAAGTAAGTGATATGGCCACACATCCAGTACTTTAAAAGATGACCTATTGCTTCTAAATTCTTATTGCTAGACATGCAATAGGTGTTGTACCTCATTATGCCACTAGAGGGCTCACTAGGTATTTTAAGCAGGACCCTTAATCCATGTGGTTTAAATTTGGAATATTTTGTTCTAAATTCGACATCCTTTCACTACTGCTTGTTGCAATCACAACTCTGACTGTTTCACCTGCTTTATTATAAGTATATTTTAAATTTCAGACCCAACATGCCTTCAATTTTCTGACCCCAGTTTTATGATCCTGAATCTGGAGCAGGGGATCTCTTCCTCCTGGCTTGAGTAGTCTTATATTAGTGTCTGTACAACTCTTACCTTTCTTCTTTGAGGAACCAAATATGTTCCAATATTCAGAGAGTATAAGTGGGAGAGGCATGCAGACTTGTTAGCCAGAAATGAGCACATATATACTAATATCATATAATATGACATACAAGGACATGACAAAACAGACAAAACAATGAAATCTTTTTAAGTTCTCTTTAATAGAAAATGTGCAGGGTTTGTTAATTAATAATACTACAATAAAACAAAGAATAAAAACAAGGAGTTGAAAAAAGTGTTTCATGTTGTGGTAATCACCACTAATCAGCAATGTATTCTCTTCTGGATTGTCAGGGAAGTCAGTTTTGGTTTTAGGTCTCCTCTGCAAAAAATGGTACAATCAATGAACTGCAGTATCAATTTCCCCTTTAGATTACTGAAGAAAATTCCCTTACACCATCTTTTGCAGGGAGAAGGCAAGCAAGCCTCCATCTCGGTCTCCTCGAGTGCACATATGGACATATTCCCCCTGGTGTAATGCACTGAGCCTGCATTTGTTTAGCCCAGCACAAATCAACTGCCCTACAGGTTTTTATAGGGAACCTGTGCTCCTCAGGGCAGACTGGAAAGCTCTGGATGAGTTGCAATGAACACAAGTCAAGTAAATCAATTCAGGTAGTGGGTCATTAAGACTGAAATCTAAAAATGGGACTTGGGACCAGATCACAGCTCTAAAGGGACTACACAGATCAGTGGGAAGTGAGCCAGTCAATGTCTGTGGTAAGGAAAGGCAACATCATCTCTGAAGGTCTACAGGCTTTACAGGTACTGTTTCATTAACACCTGAAACCAGCTGATTCAACAACAGACTCAAAAGCTTTACAGAATTAAAACAAGAAGTAAAAAGAGATCAAAGGACCCCTTGGGTCCTGATAAATCCTCCAGGTTTCTAATAGCTGAGGATTCTCCTATCCACTTGATTAGAGTGATTTCCTTCTAAGAAACCCAAGGTATTTGTAATTTTTCTACCTGTATCACCTGCTTTTGACACTTTTGTAGTTCAAAACACAAAAAAAACTGCATCTGCACACTCTGTGATGATACTTCCACCTCAACCAGTTAGGACGAATTGTTAACAACACAAAACCACCTTAACTCAGTTCAGCTTAGGCAAAAATCAAAGCTAGAAAAAACCTAGTACAACAAGCAGACAGGATTACATGCACTCACTACTGCACCAATGTAATATAATGTACTGTATGTGCTTGACCACAGTAAATACCTTTGCTATAGCACTCAATTCATTTTTAAATTTTGAAGGCATATGTTATTCCCAAAACCTGAAAGTATAAATGCTTTCTATGCATTAATGGTAATGAACATTACTGAGCTTATATTAGACAGAGATATAAAAACATTACCTTGTAACTCCAGCTGTCTGATAATGGATGCCGAATTGAGGGAAAGTTCATCATTTTCCTTCTGAACCTCCAAACTCTTCAGACGTGAGATATATTCAGCAGTCAGTTTCTCACATATGTGCGATTTCAGTAATTCTGAATTCAAAGAAGAAACATAATTAAACAGACTGCAGACACAGGACCCCTCGTTTCCAAGGAACACCAGCAATGACAAGATGTCAATGTACAGTTTACAGTACTAAAGTTTATTTCTATGGCCATCTAGGGAACAGAACAAATGCTGTGTCTTTTGCTCTAAAATAGTCATTTTCAAGGGCTTTTTACAATCCAAGCATATCCCAAGTCAACCTCTTGCGTTACCTTAAATGTCATGTTTAGACAAGAACTAAATATACTGTATATTAACAATAATAACGATGATATAAAGGAACAGTGTAGGAATAATTTAAACACCAACACCTAATGTACTGTAAATTCTGATGTCCTGCTGTCTGAGAAAACTACAAACTGTCACTGGTGAACAATAGGTGTGCTCCATGCTTTCATCGTTCTGCTTTCTTAACATAAAGGAACTTTGCCTAACTCTTCAATTCCAAGAGTTTTAACTCTTTAAAAAGTCTGGGCTAACAAGGCTTATTCACATTAACCTAAATTTCTGTGTTTCTTTGTTCTGTGTTTTTTTACTTTACTTTATATTGTTTGTCTGGATGTACACTGACTCATTTTGCCAGAGCTTCAGCTGGGAGTACCAACTTCACCTACTAAATGCCAGACTTAGACCATGCATTTGCTATGGCTGGGAGCCCTTAGGGGCAGTGGACAATTGTCAGAGTGTTGCTAGGAATAGGCTGAGTGCAGTAAGGGATTCCTTAGCATGCAGCATAGCAGCATTGTCTTTTACTTGCAAACCACACTTAGCCTCGTCCTCCACATTAATGGTCCTGGCTTGCAGTGTGAATAGAGATGGATAGCTTGAAGAGGCCCATCTCTCAGAATGTCTGCAAGCCGCCTGGACATCTCATTCAGGAGCATTCAAGAACTGTGTCAGAACTTAGTTGTCTGTACCAAATTGAAGAGTAGAAAAGAAAAAAGGAACTTCCAGTCCTACATTTAAAAAGGCCTGCTTACAGTATGTTTTTGTTTGTGATTAACTTCTAGGAAAGACATACTTTGATGATCTACTGTGCTGAGCAAAATAATATATTGACCCATATGCTGCTGTTGTCATATTTTATCAAAGTATTGTAAGTCACATAAACTAATCAGTTTATCAGACATATAATTACCATACTGTACAAGGTGAAGGTATCAGCCTAAATAACATTTTAAAGGCTATGAAAAGTCAATTGCACCTCTTTAGGCAGGTAGCAAACTACTTATGTGTAGTTATTTATTAACAATTAAAATTAGTTTATAGATTCTAGCATAACATTATAGTGTTTATACAGATTCAGAATGAAGTTTTTTTTTTATTACCTATTCTTATGAATTTATTTAAACATGCAGTCACACAAAGTAGGGCTTCTCCTGTATCAGCAGAAACAAGGGCCTGAAGCAATCCGTTCAAACACCCACTGTCAATCACAACCTAGATAAGTGAAAAGAAGCCAGGATAACTGTGCTGTTAATAAGGCAGTTGATCCAAATAATTCAATTTGTAAAATGTATACAACATATTATAACAACTAGCTTTCAACCTGTTTCAGCAATGTCTGGAATTTTGTGTTTTACCTATAGAATTAGACAAACTCTCTTCTTCTTGTACTGTAGCTGCTGAGATACAGTAAAAATGTACCTTTTATATATTTTCTAGGCAACAGTAGAGCTATAAATAAAATGTAATTTTTTTAGAGCCTTATAATATAAAGTCTTCCAAGAGAGCTTCAGTATGTCTTACAAGTGTCCTTGAGCTCTGTATTACCTGAGCATTGTCACTGAGACTCAGGTTGTGTATTGTGATGGCACTGTGACTCAGGACAGTAGAGTTGGTTTTGTGATGAAGAAGTAGCTCTCCAAGAGTCTTCAAAAGACCCTCTTCCACTATGACTTCCTGAAAAAAAAGCCGCATGGGAAAAAACAGTTACAAATAGTGTAATGATTCTTCCTTCAAACAGTGAGCGCTGTTGTGTACCCCATGATGACATAACAATTAATTTTGTAATTATAAAAACCTACTGTTTTTCTCTAAACTTCAAGCACAAAACCCAAGTATCCTAATGTGCTTAAATACTTATTCATTAACCTAAATCTTTAAAGTTTACTACAAAACATAGGTGCCCTGTAGTATCCTGCCAGAGCTCTTGTTTCCCCTTTGCACGTACAGTATGTCTCTGCTGTTGCACATATATTCAAGCCGGGTGTTCACCTTAAATAAACCTGCTCAGGAACAGCAGTGAGAGCCAGATGCCTAAGGTCCTGCCACAGGTGAAAGTGCTTCAATTTCTAGCTTGTATAGACCATGAACCAGAAAGTTCACCGAGTCCCCAAATTCCAGTGGTCCAGACAATGACAGGATGCTATTGGATATCTCTACATTGTGAGGGTAGGTAACCATGTAAAATAATGCCATCCAAAGATGAATGCACTGCTGCACTGCAGTGTAGCTCCAACTACAGTTGCTCTTATTTGAGAATAACAGGCAATCTCCCCCTTAAGTATATTTACCATATACTCAAAATTAAGAAAGAAATACACATTTGAACAACACATTATAAAAGTTAGGCCATTAAAAACTTGTTTTGTTTGGAATCCTAATCAAATACTAATGCTGTCTTAATGAACCTAAATGAGGTTTCACAACCTCATAGTTATACAACAGCAAACTCTGCCAATAACATTTGCATAAGCGATTATCCACAAAGTTAATAATGATTAACTCAGTGAGTGCCTGCAGGCTAATGCAACACTACCTCCAGTTCTATGAAGTCTACATGAGAAGCTTACAGTTGAAGGTTTATTTTTAATCCAGGGACTTTTTAACAACTAACTGTCAGGTTTCAGTGGATGTTGCCTGTACATTGAACTAAGAAATCAAATTACCGATTGGCTGAAGAGACAAAGCAGTATTAATTAAATCTGAGGGTGGACATGAGGGACTACAGACTAAATTTCAAGCCTTCAGCTCTTAGCTCTCATTATCTCATAATTTCTTCACTACATCACCAATGATGTAAATATTGGAAAACTGTATTGCTATAATAAGAGGAAGAGGTGATTTGCTTACCCTGTTGGGTGAGGTCTCTGACAAGGCACAGAGCAATGTGACGGCAGCCTCTGCCACAGGCTCTGTGGAGGACTGGAGCATGTCTCTGAGCCGAGGGACACAGCCCAGAGACACCAGCTCCTCCTGTGTGCTCACTGGCATGAGGGAGACCCAGACAGAAACACTACATAAAAGCCAGACTTTGGGGAAAAAAAGCTTTTCACACCTGTGCGCTTCAGTATGAAACATTCAAAAAGGCAAACTAACTCATTTATCTCCAGCTCAAGAACAAACTATCCTCATCTGGTATTGTAAATCTTTTCACGATAATCAAGTTAATGGGCTAAGACTTCCCTGATCAGCAGAATTTATGGACTTGCCTTTGCAAACTATAAGACTGTCACTCTTTTATACAAAGAGAAGTGAGGTTGTAGTATTCAACATTACTTGAATTATATATACTGTACTCTTATTCTAGTCAGTACTTGAATTTTTCATACCCTTCACCACTTCAGTGAGCAATTAAGAATGGAAAGACATGGTAACAATACTTTTGACCTGTCATGTCTGCTGTGTGTGTGGTTTTGAAATTGTGTGGATATAAGAAATCCAAGTAAATTTGTTATCAACTCAGATTTATCCTGAGCACTGCAATGTCACCATAAACAGAAACAAGATACTTCTAATTTATATAAAATCGATTGATTTACCTTTCACACACAAGTTCGTGAGGCACCTGCAAGCTTGACAGGAATTCTGTTTAAATTGAGAAAATTTTATAATGATTAATTCACAGAGACCTAAAATATACCTAATCTTAAATCTGAATTTACGATTAAGACTCATGATAGTTCATTAAAATGCAGAGCTTGGCTCACATAATACAAATGAGAGGGTGTTATGGCTAAACTTTTTGTTTATGTGCAAAAAAAAAAGAGTATGTATATATTACAGGAATGCTTTCTATAATTTAATGCATCTGATAATACTCTGATGTTATTAGATAGGCAAATGATGGTTTTATACAGGGAGTGTACTGTATATATTGTTTTATTTTTACTTAGAATTAAGATTTCTAATAATCTTTGGGTTGCATTGACCAAGCAGCTTGGGCCTCTGTGTAAATGCAGCAGAATGTAGCTTAGAGGCCCTTATGATAAGCGACATCATAAAATTGCATCCAGTGCTGAACCATCTAATGAAGTATAGTGGAAATGGGCTGCAGAGAGTCTGTAGTCTGTTTCTCCCTATAACACAGGTCCAAGGTCACCGTCCTCAAACCCAAGGCAGATACACCAGAGGGACCCACAGGGTGGAAACGTGGACCAACCAATCACGAGCTGTGATGTTGCACCTTAAAAGCTAGCTCTCATTTTTCATTGGTGAACTAACTGGCTCCTCTTTCCTCTCCATCCAACTGTCAATCTGACTTTTGCAACCCTGTGACCAAGCAGTCTGGGTCTAAACTGTTCTCCAAGCTGCCAGACACTGCCAACGTTACACACCAGTTTAGTGTAATTTTTGTCCAGTCTTCTTGGCAGATTTCCTCAAGCTGTCTCAAGGATCCTGGGATTCACTCATAGTTATCAATTTTCAGGTCTTTTCACAGATTCACAATAAGATAATAAGTCAGGACATTGACTGAGCCACCCAAGGACATGCACTTTCTTGTCCGTAGGCCTCTCCAGTGTAACTTCATCCTGTACTTTGGGTCATTGTCGTTCTGAAGGAGGATTTTGTCTAGTTTTAGGTCTGAAGCAGGTTTGCCTCTATAATTTGGCAGTACTACTTTACAGTGCCTTCCATAACTACTGGGATAGTGAAATCCAAATAGTTATTTTTGCTGTATACTCAAGCAATTCAGATTTGAGATGAAAAGACAGCTGTAGCAAGGGCTTGGCAAAACATCTCAAAAGAACCAACCAAGGCTTTGGTGATTGTCAATGGGTCGCAGGCATGATGCAGTTATTGAGTGCACAATAATAATCTAATTTACTTTACATTAATTTGTCTCAATAATTTCACCTGAAATTGGTTGATTTAACACAAAAAGCGGTATTATCATAAAACAGGACATGATATGGAAATACCCAGAAATAAATGGTGACATTGCATACTTTTGCTTCACCTTTTCATCTCAAATCTGAATTGCTTTAGTATACAGCACAATAAAATTTTGATAGCAGTGTATGTTTCCACCAGTCTTGACAATATTCCTAGTACCATCTGATGACAATGTTGCCACCACCATTTGTTGACGGTTGGAATGGTATTAACTGATGTAATGCATGATGCTGGATTTGCATCAGATAAAATTACTTGCATTAGATCAAAACATTCAATTTGTTCTTCTCTGACCACAAAACCTTTTGCCATGTTTACATTATCTCTTAAATTCTCTCAGCCACTAAATTCTGGAACTATTTCAACGTCACCATTGGCCTCAAGGTGTCCCTAATCGGTTTTCTCCACGTCTGATTAATCCATTTGGACAGCCTGACGTAGGCAGTGTTTGGGTGTCTTCTACATCTTAATGATTGACTTCACCATAAGATAGGATCAGCCAAAGAGATATGGAGAGTCTTTGAAACCGAGTCTTTTTGAGATGTTAAATTGCTAAAAAAAGGAATATGTCATCCAGTACCTTCTGAACGCTTGAAGACATGAGAGAAAGCAGGGCTTTGAGCAGGAAACAGTCCCCTATCTGCAGCATGGTACGGTGGTACTCTGGCTTGGTAGCAATGTTAGTTAGAGCAGAGCAGCTGTAGTACTGCAGACAAAAACATAGTTAACATAGGTAACAGTGTATTTCTGAGCTGAGTCTTCCTAACCAAAGTCAAAAGTAAAATAAATAAAAGTCAAAGGCGTTTGATTTTTTTTATGACAAATCATAAAACAGACCAATACAAATGAAATATATTAAACATTCAATATATTTTTTTAAAAGCATACAGAGGGAGTTTCTGGAAATAACTTTCCTTCTCGTTACCTTTCTTTAAAATATATACTGATGGAAAAAAGAAATGCAACACCGCCTCTTCCACACTCTGGCCCTCCCTTCTGCGTGGAACAGGCTGAAGAGTGACTCATCCATGAAAAGGACCTCTGTCTGGCCCAAGCCGGTCGGGTGTTATGTCTAGGAGGTGTGAGCAGAGGGCCTCTGACAGGTCGTCTTGCTCTAAGGCCAGCAGCTTGGAGCCTTACTGTCCTGTCACTGATGCGGGCATTTTGTCTGCCAGCAGTTTCAGCAGCAGTACGGGTGGCAGATCTGAAATGATCTCTCAGAAGGACCTGTCTGATGTGTTGGTCCACTCTGGTGTAGTCACTCTAGGCCAACCGGATCTTGGACGATCATCTGTCCTGCCAGTCTGCTGAAACCTTCTCTGAGGTCGGTACATAGTGGAGCAGCTTACTCCATAGTGTCTGGCAACGTTAGCACAAGACATGTCTGCATGCGACAGCATGCCAATGGCCCTCTCCTTTGCTTCTGTTGACAACTGAGGCATTAAGGAATGCGCAGAAAAAAGTGTGGCCTTTTTCTTGCAGTGACCTATGCTTTGAATTAAAGCTTTTTTAAAGGTGACCTAATCAGGCATTGTTCCACCTGGAACTCATTGGGTAAAAGTGCACCTAACGAGCTTTCGTGGGACTGGTAAGTTGCAATGCCTCACTGTACAAGCTGTTTTGCTGGTCAGAGGGCATCAAACAAATTGACAACTTTTTGTGAAAATACATAAGCAATAACTATAGTATTCTCATTCCATAAAATGTTACGTTTCTTTCTTCCATAAGTATATGTGCAAAGGAAAACAATGAGTCCTGGATGAAAGCAAACTCAAATGCTGCCTGCTCCTGCATCATTACTGACACCTGTGGTCATATGAGTATTCTAAACATGCTATTAAATATAATGTCCATAATAACCATATTCTCAACACACTCATTTAATCTTCTTTTCCTCACTTGACTTCACCAGCATCTCTAAAAAGTGCTGGGATAATTGATTAACCATTTTCACATCACTTTACAGCACTGTTAAACAACAGACCTGGATTCCTCTTTTTTTACCTTGGCCCAGGTCAAATCAAACTTGGACCAATCTACTAATAAAAAAAGAAAACCTGTTATCAACCCCATACTTAATGGCAGCTTTCTAGGGACACGGGGAGCAAAGGAAAGGGTGTGAGTTATTTACCTGAATCTCTGAGTCGGCAGACTGCAGGAGGAGTGCCAACACAGGAAGAGCACCTTCTCGACACAGCACACTTAAAGAGCTCTCTAGCACACAAAATACATAATTGCAAAAGTTACGCTAAAAAAAGGTTACTGAGTAGCAGACATTAAAAAAAAACATTAAATTTGTTTAGTGAATGGGACCTGAAATGCAAATATTAAATGAGGAATTAAGCCCAGGTGTATCTTTTAAAAACAATTAACTAATACTTACAGTATGTGTAAATGCAGAATTACATTTTGAATATAAACATGTTCCTGTACCAAGCTCTACAATGCAGCACATGATTAAATGAGTAAAGATGCTAATGTTTGTTTAACATTGTATAAAACCATTAGTTCAAATTCCAAAGTATAAAAATTTCCAAACCGTTGAAAACTGTTAAAAAAATGGCATATAGCATTGTACAGTATATTATTCAGCATTTACCATTTCTTTTCCTACATTGTTAGATAATCAAAAACATTTTAAAAAAATACGTATACTTTATAATACATACAGCATGAAATACCAAAACCTATAGTCCTCTCTAAGAGGAGTACTTGAAACGTTACCTGATCTGGTGAGGTTCAGAATGGCCCCAACAGCATTCTGCTGGACTCTTGGGTCATAAGACTTTGTGAGAACGAGAACTGGCAATACTCCACCAGCAGACACAATCGCTTCTCTGTTTGAATCTAAAATTAAGAACAGGAGTGGTTAATAAACACTCAAAGTTGGTCAAACAGGGATGACCTCACATTGTGCAGCACAACAAAAACACACAACAAAAAGCAGTTATTTTCTTGACTGTCTTTTGATGCGCCCTATGGTGCCAGCGTGACGAGGAATGGAATGTGAGCTCAGCACGTTCGATCAGGTGTCAATTGGTCCTGATCCCCAGGGAGTTTCCTTAATTGGAATAAAGACACAGATGTACCAGCACATTTAATGGAATTCTCACTATCTATTTACGTGCATAAATTTCATTAATTGATAAAAGAATGCAATTTGTGTGGTGGCAGACTGAGACAGGTAATCAGCTAATTTACCGTCTGAGAGGAGACAGCTGTCCCTCCCCACGACCTTAATACCTGACGGTTGCCCTCCTCTCTATTTAGAAGTGTGCACCCTTTCTAGCAGGTGTGCCAACCAGCTGCGCTGCACACCTGGACTCTGCAAGAGACACCTGAGCCTGAGAAAGAGTGCTGAGAGAGCATGGCCAGACAGACAATGTCCAGGACAGACCTTAGAAAAAAAATAAAAGTTTTGCAGTGCCTGTTTATCCTTTTGGCTCTTCGGGAATGAAATTGTTATGCTAATTTCACTATGCCCCTTTTCAACATCAAATTTTTGGTGCTCTGTTGTAGTAGTTTATAAGCTCTTGTACTCAAATGTCTAAACTGATAACACAGTATTATTCTCAACATCTCTCCTGAAAAAGGAAACAGAAAGCTTGCTTTGTTACATGGAGATCACGTTGACATACCTAAATCCTATGTGCTGAAATACAGTTTCCACTAATGCACAAATGGATATTTGCAATTGTTGCTAACTACATCTGTATCACAAAATGGGCTATCGACAAAACGGGCTAAAACATCAGTTCATATACCATATACAACCTGGCCCTCATGGACAACAAACACCTATAGTCTCTTGGAATCAATGAACAAATTTGGTTATACTTAAAAAATCAATACTGTAAATCTAGGAAACTGTCTCCCAAATGAAAAAAATACTGCTGAAGCCTTTAAAAGGGATTATTTTTAAAGTACTAAAAAAATGAGCAATAACTGGAGATGTGTGTGAAGTAAAGCAATTATTTAGTTGTGGGTGATAAAAAGGGCACAACAAATACTAAATTAATATTTCATACATGTTTTCACCAAAGACAAGACAGCAGAACCTACAGGCAAACAATGTACATGATCTGTTTTAAAGGAAGATAACATGACAGACACACATTTGAGGGACTATGTTAAAAAATAATCCAAATCCATAGTACTTAAATTAACGTAGGATGTAACCCTGTACATGTAATGCTAACTATGTTAAGTCGTTTCTTCTTATTTCATACATTCCAGATTGTTGGTTTCGGTATGTGAGGTTTCTGTGCCATGATTTTGATTCAGCCTCTTCAAAATCAAACACCTGGATATTGCATTATTTTCCTTAACAAAGGTCTTCAGTTCTCATTTTGACTTTCAGTTAAAAAATACAGAAATCCAAGTGAGACAGACTGAGAGGATGTCTGCCGTTCTTTTATTGTCTAATTACCCAACAAAAACACCAGACCAACACCTGTCACCTGTCAGACAATTGTCTCAGCATTTTTGGGAAGAGCTGAACTAACTTTCTGTCAATTAAAAATAAAATACTTAGGACAATTGACAAAAATTGTCTAGTAAATCAGTGATTGCATTTCTTGTAATGATCAGAATGAAAATGTCAGTTTAGACTTTACTGTCCCAAAACTTTTGGCAAGCAATGCGGTGTGCACTACCGAAAACAAATCCAGTGAGACTCAAAAAGTCTAAAGAGCAAATAAAATAGCCAGCGAAAAGTTAATAGAGATCCCCCAGTTCAGCTTGAAAATTCTGTATCAGTTGTACATTGAAAATTGTGCCAGATTACATTAAATCATACAGACCTGAAGTTGCCAATGTGGCCACACATGCACAGGAGTTGCACTGCACTGTATGATCACCAGACTGGAGCAGTTCCAAGATAGGATCCACCATGTCCAGCTCAACAACCAGCTCTTTGTTCACTGAAACAACCAAAAATTCCACTAAACTCAATGCATCATAGAATCTGTAAAGATTTAGGATTCATGATAGTGGACGGACTATGCAAAGTCCAGTTTATGACTTGCTATGCGGAAAAATACACATCGTTTTACATAAAATAAGAATGTACTTCTTGGATGAATCTTCAGTGGTATATGAAAGCCTAATGGTAAAGACAGGAAACCGAGGCAGTGCTGAAGGAATCACCTGCCTTTCAAAGTGCTGAGGGTCTCGCTCTTACCGTTCTCCTCCACCAGAAGATTGACAAGAGAAAGGGAAGCGATTCTCTGCACCTCCAGATCGCTAGACTGCAACAACGCATTGTAAGGCTCCAGAAACTCTGTGGGCAAAGGGGTTTTCACTGGAAAAGAAAATAATCCATTCTGAATTTTACTTTTAAGAACCCGTATTTCCGTGAGATATTGATCCCTAGGCAAAGATTTTAAGAATATGATTTACTAGTTCAGGTGGGTAGCTGCGTCAGCATGCGCAGTCTGCAAAGGAACAAGTAATACCTGAAGAAGGCTTCACAGCCGAAAAGTTGTGTTTTCTCTCTTTTCTTTTCAGCATGGAATAAACAAATGATTTACTATGTGCTGTGGTATATGCTTGATTTTTTATTACTATTTTTTTCTGATTTGTTTTTGTGGTAAACTTTTAAAACGTGTACATGTCGGCATTGTAATTTTATTTACAGTATTTTTTGGTAATTGCTTACAGTACGTTTCCTTTTTTAATTTTACAGAATCATTTCTCCTCATCTCACAAAATGGTACCGCACACACTCCACCATTAAAGGTAGTTTTCTACCAAAAAACTCATCAAATAAAGTCAAACAGCAAAATCATACAACAAGGATTTGGTTGCATCAGTGGCAGCACACCAAGAACCTATCCAGCAGCCTCCTCATTGGTTGGGTACAGGAGATAGAAAGCTCCATATAAATGTGAAGGCAGGACAGCATCCAGCGATGCCAGTGGAACAAATGCAGAGGCTCCCAACACAGTATCAGCCTCTTGTTAACTGGGTACTACCTGCAACCAATATGTGCTACTTATATACTCAATTACACAGATTAAATGGCAGACTTACTCTCCAGTTTCCAAAATATAATGCCTAATATTTCTTTGAGAAAGTTGGTGCATGCACTTTTCTCTCGCTTTAATTCTTCATTCTGCACTTGTAGTTTGAGGGCTCACTTGGTCTGTTTCTTTAGGGGCCTAACTTCAATATCCTACAGCCTTATGATTGGCCCTCAGCCAGGTGAGTTAAGCCAAAGCTTTTTCTGCCTAACTCTTCAACAAGCACTCTTCAGTGCAGTTTCTTGCAAGTTATTCCTTGTGAACCTCGGCTAAAACAAAGGAGGAACAGTCTGATCATCATGGTGCCACAGTGGATTCAAGTGGCAGTGAAAGGACAACTAAAAATAGCACATTAACATTTCCTGCAAACTCGTTTCACTAATTCTCAGGTGTTGAAACCTTCAGTAATATACAGAGTTGCTCACAACTCTGGGAGATTAGACAAAATAAATGCCTGTAACAATCACAAACAAGCTGTCTCTATCACAAAGTACACAGTCAATACTTGAAAAGGTAAGCATTCAACTTCAGGCTCCCATGTACGTATTCAGACCAGACTGCGCACACAGCATGCTTTGGTTAAAATCAGAACACCAGTGACTGGTAAACTGCTGTCTTGAAGTCCCACAACTGCATTCATGTTTTAGTAAAGACAATAAGCACCTATTCAGGAAGCATGGACCAGTTCCAGACTTTTGTACTGTTCTGTAAGGTGCTTGAACACTGATGAGTTCATAAGCTGATGAGTTAAGTATTTCTAAACTTAAGGCAATACTAAACACAACAAGATTTTTTTACAACAAGTAATTTAAAATTTAAGCACCCAACAAGGAAATTTAATTTCAAATATGACTTAAAAAGGCAAAGGCGTTTTTACACACACTATTTAGAGGAGGTCCACCATATATTTTTTTCCATAATATTAGAAGAAAAAAAACTTCCTAATCACATGAAGATATTTTTGTTTTAAATTTCCATACTACTTTGAGTCTAACCGTTCACAGGGATTGTCACTCCAAAAGAGAGGGCGGTTTGCATGATAACCAGAAGAGCAAACCATGGAAACCTGTTGATTTGAATACCTTCTGTTCAAACTTACACAAACCTAAAACAAGACAACATTATTTATTTTAGTACTGGCATATTGCTGAATCCCAACCACACTCTCAGAAAAAGGGTTACCCTAAAACATTTCAAAGCGTGTTAGAAAAACCCTAAAAGGTGACTACAGCCTTAAAGATTAGGGGATACAAATCATAATCACAGTAAACAAGATATAAACGTAAGAACATAGAAATTAGAATTTTGGACAGTCTCTCAAGAACTACACACCCATCTCCCAATTTATGTAAATGCTCTGTTTCACACGTCTATATAATCCAATATTAAATAAGACAGTAGCAATCCGTTCTTAGCTGTTGAGTGAACACATACTGTACAGAGAATTACAATTTATAATTTATACATAAAAACATTTCACTTGAAACATGAAAAAATATGTGAAAATACTATAATTAAAATAAACACTAAAGATAGTGAACACTTTGGGGTGGCACAGTGTTAGCATTGCTGCGTCTCAGTACTGGGGCCCTGGGTTCAATTCTGGAATTTGTGTGTTGTCTGTGTGTAGTTTGTATGTTCTCCCTGTGCTTGCATGGGTTTTCTCCGGGTACAGTCCAGACATATTGGCAGGTTAATTGGCATCGGGGAAAATTAGTCCTGGTGTGAATATGCGCGTCTTTGTGTCTGTGTGCCCTGTGATCGACTGGCACCAGGGTGTATTCTCCCTTGAACCAGTTGCTTGCCAGAATAGACTCTGGCTCCCCCCCAGACCTGTTCTGGCTGAATTGGCTAGAAAATAGATGGATGGATATAGCATTTAAACATTTAAACAGCATACAGAAAATAGTAATTAAAACAAATTATAAACTCGCTGATATGATTTAATATGGGTTATTCACAAGTCACAGTGAGAAACTGTGAGATGACCTACAGAGAACATCGCACAATGACTGAGAAAAAAGACTGAGAAGAAAACGAAGGTCTGGTGGAAGCTGATGATGACTGCGTACTCAACACTACTCACGTGTGAAAGGAACTCGCCACGCTATTTGCTCTTTATGTCATGTGGTGAGTTTCACATTACATAAAGAGCAACAGTGCGCTACTTCATTGCCGCAGAACATTTAATGTAACAAATGTAAACATTTTAGAACTAGAAAATCTATTAAGAGAGAAAGTTTCTACTTGAAGTCAAATTTACGCATGTCGAGTCTTATGTAACTTGGGGATGAGGTGTGGTTAAATTACCGTTAACTTTTAAAAATGTGCTTTACGCATAACATAGATAACTACCGTTATCATCAATTTTGCTGTACTTATACATAAGCAACCTGACATACTTACACTGTTGACTAATGTGTAAATAGTAGATTGCGGCTGACCGCTGCAAGTCAGAGTTTTCAGAAACTGCTAAAGTCTTCAGGGCCTGCAGACATTTGCTATCCAGGAGTGGTATTTCAGTACCTGACAATAAATAAAATATAAATAAGAATTATAAAGATGATTTTCAAGTAGAATTCCCTGAAAGTGAAACAAAGGGTGTTTTAGTTTTAACATCTTGAGAATTGTGTTCTATTAAGAATTCAGGCAGCACAAACACATGGTGGTCAATGCAACAGCCTCACAACTCTTGGGCCTTTAGGTCACTTCCAAGCTGTGGCACTGCCTGTGTTTCTGTCCTCATTCTGAAGACACATGTGCGAGACGAATTAGGATCTTGATTTTGTCCATGCGCGCGCCTTGCCTTCAGCCTACTCTTCCAGTATAGGCTCTGGGTTGCCGCAAATCTTTCCAGGAGTAAATACCTTTCTGATAATGGATGAACTGCTTTTACTTTTCCCACGACAGTGGAAAAAAAACCCTCTAACAAACAAAAAACAAAAACTAAGTCTTTGCTGGTACTGCTATTAACGTCATTTAAAACTGTTACATGAAGCAGATTTAATAGGGCCCATGATACTAACGCTTTTAAATCTGTATGTTAATGAATAACTGCAATTAGATTTTGTTTATTAAACAAGACAGTTGGTGGTTGGTCACTGTAATGTATGGACATTATTTAGATTTGGGTTCAGCCTCTGATTCACCCACCTACTGTGGGCTTGATGCACATGAACTCTACTACGACTTCCTTCTTTTACCCAAACTCTCATTTTTCTCTGCATGTTATGTCATTAAAGTATATGGAAGGGTTCTTGGATTTTCAGGTTGCTCACGACCTAATTCAAGTCATGTGTATTCCTCTACATTTACAATAGCACTCTCTGCCCATTAAGGTAAAATATTTCTCATCTTTTTTTTTATGTTGGCTTTCTGCTAGAAGTAGGCCATTTTCTTACCCCTCCAATGAATCAAGGAACAGCTGCAGATTGTAATAGAAAAGTATGTTGCTGCACTGCGACAATCTGGGAATCGTCACATTATGCTATGTTGTACCTCATTCCAATACTCTTGTGGCTCCCTGGATGGTCTAGTTCAAGGACCAAGTTTCAATAGACTGTGGACATGTTTTCGGGTGCTTTTACATTTCCACAAACCTTCCACCTTAACTGGGACAATCCAAAGAGATTATATACATCATTGTTATGATGCAAACAAGCCTAAAGTAATTACAGTATAATATAGGATAATATTACTTTGATCTTCTTTGGATGTTTGACCCTCATAGGAGTTGTGTTAATTTTTACACAAAGTTCATTTTCAAATGTATTTATTTCTAAAAATGAAACTACTCAGTGCTGATTCATGTAAGGTCTGATTAAAATTAAGGCAATATATTAAGGCAAGTCCACACATCTTAAACCTTTATCAAAGTACCGGTTTTGTTACTGACATAGACAAGGCAGCACAAAACAGTTCCTGAGACGTTAACAAAGGTATCAGATACAAAGTGCGCCTTTTATTTTCGTGAAATAAAGGGTAGCTATTCTGCTCCCCATGATCTGGCAGTGCTGCTAGGTTACCTGTGTCCAGGTGCTGCAGGAACTCCTGTGCTGCCTTTCTTTCGTGCTGCCGGAGTACAGGTTTGTACAGTTTCCCGATCCCTGTAGCCTCTCTCTGCAGGCAGCAACACTCCGAAATAGCCGTTATACAGTCCCTGACTTTCTGCGCAAGATCAGCCGACATTCGTCTCACAAAAGCAACGAAATCCTTCAGTAGCTGTGCGCACCGCTCGCAAATTTGTCCACCTCCCATCTGAAATAAAAAGATTTAGCTCAATAATATGCGGTTTTATGTTAAGTGAATGTATTTAATAGCTCGGCGCTTTATTTTAACTTGTTTATAATGTAGAACGAACGTAAAATATAAGAGATCTGGTTCAGGCTTTAGAAAAATTATAAACCCACCGCATTAAAAGTACATCAGTTATAAAGTGGTGTACACAACGTAAATAGTATTACTTTGACGATTCAGTGATCCACATGTAGCAGCTACACGATTGAAATATACAAATTGTAAGTTAAAACAGAGAATAAACAACAGTTTCAGCATGCAAGGTGCTATTTAAATTATGACTGTTTTTGTTCTACGGTGGCTCACAGTGGTGAGCTGATGTGCTCTGAAGCATATTCTGATTAAAATAAACTCCACATAGCTCAGGTAACAACGGTACTGATAAAACGAAAGTGCCTTAGTTTACCTTTCTGTGCATAAGCTCTTAAAGGAGCTCCTTAAAAAAATATATCTTGCCGTTTGTTTCGCAGCTGTGCCTTTCACAGCGGATCTGCATAGTTCTTCAGACTCCCCGACACCCTGCAGACAGGTCCAGCACCACGGCGCTCACCTGTATCACGTGACTTCACTCTTCCAGGACCTCGCCCGGTTTGCACAAAGGAGCAGGTGGAGTAGCGGGCCAGCAATGCTCCAATAGGGTACAATTCGGCTTCATCTTCTTATCAATACTCTTGACATTACGTTTACAAAATTGTTTAACTGGTTGAAAAAGACTCATAACAAGCAAACAAGAAATAAAAAATTGAAAACAAAAGAACACAGGGTTTAGAAACAAGGACCCGTGCTGGTTATAGTATCTAATTTAAAGTTATTCACACAACTGTTAGACTAGCGAAGCAAGTGTACCGGCTTCACATGGCTGGCTGGGTAAAGTGTAAAGAAGCATCTCCTGTTCTCGGTTTTAAATCCAGTTTTACAGAGTTGTTTCCATTTATTGTCCGCTGGTTTGAGGTTCTCTGTACCTATTGATCGATTCCACTGGGTTGGGATTAAATGTCTTTCGAGAGTACTTGGATCAGATCCCCTCGGAGTCTGCTCTGTCCCCTCAAAAGGTTAATTTTTTAGCCTTATTTTCTTGGTATCTCTGTTCATAGTGTTTGTTATTGTTCTTGTATTAACGGTATATTAAACGTAGACTGTGTCTTGCATCGAGCTGTCGGATTACGTGAATTGGTAGTGTGTATGGGCAGAGCGAGATTTGTATATATCGTTGCATGTCTAAGACTATTGTTTGTTTTAATGTGTATTTAATTATGATGTCATTTGTTTTTGTAGTATAGCATGGTAATGCCAAAGACATAAAAGACCCTTTTGGACGTAAGACGTTATTTCTTATGTTATCCCTTAATTTTGTGAATTTATGTTTGTATTTTGCACTAATCAGTTCAATGGCTTTTTTGTAGAAAAATGTTAAGGACGAAATCAGTGAATGAATACACGAATTCGTGAATTAAAAAATATCATTTGCCCTCATATATAAGTATAAATGTTATAGCTGAAAAATATATAACATCTCCTGAAGCTAGGACTGGTCTATTTTAGCATCCTAATCTTGTATTAACAGGTATATCCTGTTGTGTTAATTACGTTGCTGGAATTGCAGTTTCTGTTCGGCGTTATTTAACAGTCAAATGAAATTACGCCGAACACGGTTTATGTACCACGGCCTCCGCACGGCAGGTGGCGCAAAGAACAAAAAACATGGAATTGGATATCAAAACGGAAATTGTTCGGTTGCCAGGGGTGATCCAATGACTCCTTTGACCCTGGATTTCCGCTTGATTGATTGAGTAAATTTTGCGTCTGAAGAAAAACATATTAGTGAGGGTAAGAGGTTAGTGACTGGAGATTGCATTGGAAGCAAAGAAGAGAAATACGGTTGTTTTGCAAACAAACGATAAGGTTTTGTGCGGTAAGAAAAAAATGAATCACTGCTTTTCGTCGACGTTTATTTTTCCTTTGTTAGTGGTGGTACCAGGTGCTCATGGGGAACCGATTTCTCGCAAAATGGCCTGCGGTGTTAAATTACAGTTTATGAGTTGCAGTGTGAAAAGCGTAAACAGAAATGAAAAGAATGTATTTGTTATTTAATTTAGCTAAGAATAATTAATTGATTTCAAGCTACGTCTAGATAGAAAGAAGATGTACGGTACATATCGAAGTTTTTTTCCCCAAAATCAAGCTAGTAAATTATATTTAGCTGCCAATTGCTACAATTCTGGCATTTTATTTTTATTGTGCTGTTGGAGCCCCTTCACAACAGTTAGTACACTCGAACGGATTTGAATCACATGACGTTTCACAAGGTAGTTTTATGCTCTTAACAACTACATCAGTTGAATTGCATATAAGAGTACTATACTTTAAGTTAAAGCACCATCTATCTCTTTTAGGCAACTTTTAATACAATGCTTGGGAAAATAGCATACCGAAATCAGATCTGTCGATCATGGGATGCCCACGATCAAATGATGAAATATATACAACATTTACTTACAAGATCTTTTGCATTTTCATTTTATGTTTATATCGGGATTAATAGCCTTTGCAAATGAAAAAAAAAACAAGCAAACGTAAAACAAGGATTAGTTTGGCTCTTGATTCCGTTAATTCTGAAAATTCTTTTTGCTTTTGTTTTTCACGTTTGGGGCTTATCAAGAAAGTGTTAGTTGGTGAAAAGTGAATTTGACCGAGATACAAAAAATAATATATCGAGTACTAACAGTTTTAAGCGTTTTAATATCCTTTGTGCGTTAAATTATTACTTAATACTAATAAACAAATACTCGTATGATAGATGTTGGAAGGGTCCTTTGGGTAAAGCTGAAGTGTAAATATAGAGCTTGAGTGTGTTTTCGTATTTGTCTTTTCAGGTTGAAGGACGCTCAGTTCTCAGAAATGGTGCGGTCCAACTCCAGATCACACACTTCCAGGTCAAGGTCTGGGTCCCATTCAAGCTCAAGATCAAGGTCCAGATCACGGTCAAGGAAAAAGAGATACAGGTACGGGACCTAGGTCTTCAAACCAAACATAAAACTGTTGTTTATGGCAAAAGCCAACATTCTGTAATTTTGAGTTAAACTTATCACAGTAGGCTGCCTGGTGCTTAAATCAATCAGAGATAGCTGTCATTTGTGACAGCTTTGCACTGGGGGGTTGTGTATTTTTGATCACTTAACAATGGCAAATGTGAATATATTCTTAATATGAACATTTCTGTGTTGACAGTATTAAATTATATTCCTCACTAAATAATATACATTTTCTTAGCAGTGTCTTAACATCAGTGGAAATAAATGAAAAAGAACAATAACTTTGCATAATACATAATGCACAGGTTATTAGAACAGGTTATTATTTGATGTGGTTATATTCACAACCAAATCTGTGATTTCCTTCACTATGGAAGTTCCTGAGTCGGTATTCGTAGAACACTAATCCACACAGGTAGAGAGGACTTGCCTTCAGCCTTATTTTAATGGATGGATAGCGTCTTGCTAAGTGATCTCACAAATAGTGTTGTTTCCACAGTAGCTCAGCTACTTGAGCTTAGCTCTTTTGTAAGATGTATTTGTATTTTTGAAGGTGTGGTAACTTGGTAAAAACATTTCCAAGCAATGTGTCATTTTAAAAAAATATATTTTTAAGTTGCAGTTTGCTGTGCTGTAAAGCAGGCAAGCATAGGTGGTTAAGTAAACACATTCCAGGAATCACAGGGGTCATTTTTCCTCTAGTGTCCTTTCTCCATTGTTGCAAACTGTTTGACGTTTTTGATGATGTTTACATGTTGCAGTGAATTGATTGATCTCTGCTCTAGCAGGAAGTTTAGACAATATAGAGAGCAGCATAGTCAGTTTTTCACGTTTTGTTGTTTTATTTGTAGTTCTAGATCCCGCACCAGGTCGTATTCTCGTTCCCGAAGTCGAGAACGTGAGCGAATCTACCCCAGGGATTACCGACGGGATTACCGCATGAACAGGGGGATGAGGCGCCCTTACGGATTCCGCGGCCGGGGCAGAGGCTTCTATCAGGGTGGCGGCCGCTTCCACCACAGGGGGGGGTTCCGGCCTAACTGGCAGAACCGGCGGTACTCCCGCAGCCCCCGGAGGGTGCGATCTCGTTCCCGCTCCCCGAAGCGCAGGTCAACATCGCAGAGGTCCCGCAGCAAATCCCACCACTCGGCACGCTCCTCCGCCTCCCGTCGCTCCTCTAGCTCCCGCTCGTCTTCTCTCTACAGCCGCTCGCCCGCCCCCGCTAAGAGCCGTGGGTCCCAGGACAAAGCCTCCAAGAAGTCGGAAGGGGGCAAAGAGGAGGGCTCGGGCAGGCAGTTGGAGGAGGAGAAGGGGGACGGCAAAGCTGAACAGCCGGCTATCGCCACCTCCGCTAAATCGGATCTCAAGAGGACACCAGCTGTAATCACTGAAAGCTGGATTGGCATTTCGGCTTATAATGACACTAGCCCCCATCGCAGCCCTTCTCCCATCCCCACTCCGCCGAGTCAGAGCTCTTCCCGCTCTGATACGGCGGCGCACCAGGTGGCCTCCAAGATCAGTCCCCCCTCCCTCCCTGCATTGCGCTTACATTCTCTGCAGCACAGTCCTGATGACCCCCTCGGTCACTACAGTCCCTCTCATGACAGTCCTCCATATCAAACGTCCCCCAGGAGGAGCCCTGCTAAAGCGTTCTCTACTGTTCAGAGCAGCAGAGGGTTTTTCCCCAACAGCGATGAGCAGGACCTCCCAAAAGTTGGGAAATACCTCAAAAGGTAATAAAAAACTCCATAGGTGTTCTCACGTCTCTGATTGTGTAACTATAGTTATAGTTGTTGGTATATAATATTTTGGGGATTTATTTTAATGTTTCTTTTCCAGTTGCCTATCATATATATATATATATTTATTTTCCAGTTGCCTATCATATATATTTTATAATGATTAAAATAACAAGGATTATCACACAATAATGCATGCCCAGAAATGCTATACGTACGTTCTTTTACCTAGATTTCCTCATAGCGTTTTCTTTTAGAAACTGATCATATAATATGTAAAAAATGTCTAAGAAGCTACCTCCTATATTAAGAAGACTACTATTTTAACCTTTGACTCATTTCTTTCAGGTATACTGAAGAAGATGGAGGAAGAGCATACCTTCATGAGAGGGGAAATGGGCGTGACAAAGAGCATCAGAAAGACAGGCTGCAGGAGAAAGGCAGGGGAGAGGGAGACTGGGGTGATCAGGGTGGCATAGATCCGGGAGTTAAAAAGGAAAGTGAAAAAGTTCCCTTCCTTGGGGACTCTCCTGATCCTGAGGAGGATGAATCCCAAGCTTATAGACAGCCATATCAATTCAAAGTGACCACTCAGGCAGAGCAGGTTAAAAACTACCCAGTGGAGTCCCGCTGGAATGTGGAGAGCCAGGAAGAAGGCAGTAAATACAAAATTAAAACATCTAAGGGTGAAAGGGATTATGAAAGGTTTGGGGAGGACAGGATGTTCAAATTTAAGAATCCAGGCTATATGTTAGACAGGCTAAACAAAGACAAGTATGGTGAGGAAGGAAAGGGCACTGACAAGTATGATGAAAGGATCACCATCAAGAGGGAGACTGTGTCACCACAGCAGGCCAAAGCTGAGAGGTTCAGAGAGCTCTTTGACCAGAGTCCTCTGCTTCAAAAGACGTTGGACATGAGGGAGAAGGCGGCCCTCAGGGATGAGAGCCCACCTAGAGTGAAAATAGTGCCCGGTGAGGCTTCTCGGCCTGAGGTGAAAGTGAAAATCGCATCTTTGGCGTATGATGACCCAAGGTAAATTATTAAGTTTTTTTCCTGATGTTGATAAAGAAATTTGCAGCTGTCCAAGAAGTTAGTATTTAGTTTGCTCTTGTCTGTTTTTTTTTTTTCAATTCAGTCCAGGCACTTCTTTAACAAGTGACAGGTCGCTTGCAAGTGCCCTCGTCCATTCCACCAAGAGGGAGCAAGGGTTCCGCTCCATCTTTGACCACATTAAGAGACCTCAGGCGTACAAAAATTCAGCAGAGTCCTTTATTCAGCACATTGTTTCCTTGGTTCACCATGTCAAAGGTATGGATCTTTAATAATTACACTTTTTTTTTTCAGTGTAACTGTAAAATGACATTAAAATAAAGCATAATTAAGAATAACATTGACAACATTTTTAATGTTATTTTGCAACTATGTAGTGAATGCTTCTGCAGTGACTAGTATAATCTTTGCTTTTCAGAATTGAAATTGTTCTTATTTTGTTGGAAATAGGAGCTTGTGCAGCACTGTTTGAATATTTAGCTTTTTTTAAGAGGGCTTTTTAAAAAAAATGTGCTACACTTTATTAGTGGTGATGTGCAAAAACTCATAGCTTATACAGAGCTGAGTTCGCCCAGTGATGTTTTCTTTTTCATTATAAATAGGTCATGGCAGTCCTGGAATGTGCATTGAATTGCCAAGTTCCATGTTACAATGTAATTACACTTGAAAGATACAGATGCCAAAACAGGCAAAGTTGAAGCTTCTGTGTTCCTGGCGTAAAATCACAGTTACTAGCTCCAATACCCCTCTCTTCACCATGTTGGGTTTGATTGAGTCACTACACTTATAGTGACTGGTTCACGTGTTAGTGATTGGTTATGAGACATTTTCTGGAAATGAGGCGGTAAGTTGAAATATGGATGTATTTGTTACCAAAAAAACGATTTTCTGTTTTTGAAGCAATATTACAGTTGTGTTCTCCAACCTAAGCCTTTGAAATATAAGATTGCACATAGGTTGTCTCAGATTTAAACTGATTTTTCTTTTGGTACAGTATATGTAATTAAAATGTTATGATTGAACTTAAGAGTCAGTAATTCAGTCAGTGATTTGTGTTAACAGATCCTAAATTTATGTTCTTGTGTTATGGCACTAATGAGGTTGGAGATCACAGTAAACTTTTAGATGGGTAAAATTTTGTGTTTAATCATTTAACAATATTCTTATCCATTTTTCTGAAGGGAAGAACTTTTTTATTGTGATATGATATTCTGTTTAGTTATCTTGTTTTCATAAAAGATTTTAACAAAGTAATAAAAGTAATTGAGGTTCAATACCTTGTTGCTGCTTAACAGATAACAGAATGTAGTTAAGCATAAATTGTGAATACTTTTTTGTCAAATTAAAAAAGCAGTAATTTGCTATTGTTCAGACTATTTTTTTCACTAAGGTTCTGAAAGTGAGCTGTGGTAATAGGGATTAATTACCAGTCTTTATACCTAAATAAATTATCACTGAACAGTAGGTAGGTAGTTTGAGCTTATATAGTTTGTGGGTTTCCCACTGGTTGTAATGTGTGCATACTTTTTGAAGCCTTGTAATGGGAAAATTCAGTATCTGTAATTTGTCTACTTTTTTTTCTTCTGCTAGGTATCTTGATTGTTCTTTCCTTTATCCGTCTCCACTGACCCACTATTGAGACGTGTAAATAGGTGGAATTAAAACTAACTGGGCAGTATTTCTCCTCTGCAACCAACAGAGCATTACTTCAAGTCAACAGGAATGAGCCTCCATGAGCGGTTCACTGCTTATCAGAAAGCTGCTGAAGGGCATGAAGTCAGACAAAAGAGTCCTGAGATCCACAGGTAAAAACTCTTTAGAACTACAGTCTGTAACAGACCTATATGTAATGTCTGTAATGTAATTTGTAACAGTGTTTGTCTGCACTGTTTATTTTTTCAACTAAACTTTACTTTTTTGTTTTTCCTCAGCATCATGCTCTTGATAAGGATACTTAATTTGGTTTTAAACATGTAAAATACAGATCTTGTAAAATTGCTTGGAAAAAGTGAAAGTTACTAGGATTTTCCAGAACTGCTTTTCAGCAGCCTGTTAGTAATATAAGTCATACAAACTATATGAATTAAAGAAAGTCTTTTATTTTTTCCTTTTCAAGGAGGATTGACATCTCCCCCAGTGCATTTAGGAAGGATAGAATCTTAAAAGAAGATAGCCACAAGGTAATCAGAAATACAGTCATGCTTGCACACAGGATTGCTTGGAAATGAGGAATGAATGAAAAATGTGTGGCTAACATGGTCTTATCTTATTGGAAAACTTGTCTTTATCCAAGTTTATGTAATGGATACATTATGCTTAATATCTTTACAATAATCATAAAAGTCAACATTTACACTTCTCAAGACTTTAAAGCACCAAGTAGGATCTGAGGTGTTTACTGAGTCTTAGGTGGTCTTATGACACTCAGAAAGACAGGGTAAGAGGACAGTGGAGAGACAGAGGAAAAGGAGAAGCATGCCAGGCGAGAGGACCTTGTTTGGACCAACCTTAACGATTATTTAAGATATAGATTTAACTCTCTCTGTTTTGGTTTTATACTGGGTTAGCAGTCTGGGTTTTTTTGGGTGTCAGAACATAGTCCTCTGAGACACCTTGCTTTGTAAATGGGGTAACTTGTGTGTTGTTTTAGTTTGTGTTATTGTTGGAGTTAATAAATATTTCTTTATCCCAGTTTGCCTTGAATTTAATATTCTCCTGCCTGAGTTATGAGAATCAAGAACTTGGGTGATTCAGGCTATACCAGCCATTTGGGTATATTCTTGGCATATCTATGACAATTGACGGTTATGATTATTTTAATTATTGATTATCCCACTTCCTGTTTGTAACAGTAATATTGTTTGGATGGTTGAAGGATTTCTCGCTGCGAGATTTGAGTTCTGAAGATGGGGAAAGTCATCCTTGGACATTCCAAATGCAAGATCATGTGAAAGATAATACTCATTTATCAAAGAGTACTGTTTGTTGGTGTTTAAGATACAGGTAGTGCTTAAAAGTTTCATTGTCAGTTGGTTTGACTGTTTCCAAAGATGCGTTAAATCCAGGTCAGAAAAACTGAAGATCCTGTTGTGCTTTCTAAAGGGGGAAAAAAAATCAAGGTGCGACGCAGCAGATTTGAGGCATGATATTGATCGCCGCCGGAAGGAGAGGAGCAGAGATCGAGACGACTCCAGGGGTTCCCGTGAGCCCAGCCCATCGAGAAAACTGGACAAGCTGGGCAAAGAATTCAAGGACTACAAAGATTACAAGTCCTACAAGGATGATAGGTAAGCACTGGCCACACACTTGTTGACCAATCCCATTATTCTTTCTAATTTCAGACTTTTTTAATGTAATCATTCTTTTCTGCAAATTTACTGCGATATTTATATGCAAATAAAATTTTGTTTTACAGCAGTAATCTTTTCTTTCTTGCGCCTTATGTTGGATGAGGACAGTTTGGATTAGCAAACAAAAATGACAAAATAAAATGTCAGATAACCCAGGCTACAGCAAGAGGTTGGACTTCATTGCAGTGCACTTCTTAAACTTATTGTGTAAGAGCTGCAGTTTGATATTGCATTTTGTTTCTTTCTTCTTCTTTATAACGGGACAGGAATTGGTGAATGTTGAGAGGTTATGCGGCACATCTGAACTGTTAATAATTTTCAGTTGGTATATACATGTATTTTTAATTTTTTCACAAGGACAAATTTTCCTCATGCTTGGCTTAAACTAATTATGAAAAGTGACAATATAAGTAGTGGGTAAATGTGTTCTGTCACAAAAATACATGTTTTATTTTGAGGTCATTTTTAGTGCTTGAATTATGTTCATAAGGTTGCCTGTTGATATGATGTCACTTGTGTAACTGTCCATACAGTTGACACCAAGTAGGAGAATGGTTTACAAGTTCCTGTAACATTTCATGAACAGTAACTACTGAAATGATTCCTTCCCAGCAAACACAAAAGCAAGGAAAGAGAGCGTTCAAGATCTTCCTCCTCGTCATCGCTGTCTCGAGAGGACAACAAGGATAGCCGGAAAGAACGGGATGAAGAGTACAAGTCCCATCACGAGCAGAAGGACTATGTGGGCTACCAAGGAGGAAACCGGGCACGGGGGACTTTTGTAAGTATTTGGAATAAGAAGCTCCTCCTTCATTTGCTTTTAATTTATCTGGAAAGCACTCTTAAATTATAAGAGTGCATTCATATTATTTCTATTTCACTGGCTCAAATGAACATTGTGCCTTGACCATGTCTAAGTAAGGCAGTTAAAAAATGAAAAGCTGGTTTGAAGCCATGAGAGTATTTGTACCAGAAATTGGAAAACGTGTTCTGTAGAAAATTAATCTTTTTCAATTCATTTCAACCACCAGACATATACAGAGTGGTAAGTGTGCAGTGGTACTCAAGGCCATTGCAGAAGCAAAGTTAGATAATTGAAACAAGTTTGAGTGGGAACCTTTTTAGACTGCAAGGACATATTTGACAAGGTTTGTTGCTTTTGATGTTCTTATTGTGTGTTTTACTTAAGCTTATTTGGATTTTTAGTTCAAGTTACCTGGTGACTTCTTTTCTCATTTTTTATTAGCAATTTCGCATCAGAGGCTCAAGAGGTCGGGGCCGTGGGGTCTTTTCAGGACCCAATCCTGGACCCAGTGTTCCCAACATCCCTTTCCAGAAAAGGCCCAAGGAGGAGGAATGGGATCCAGAATACACCCCAAAAAGCAAAAAATATTTTCTGGTGGGTAACTTTGATAAGTAATTCTTGTTTTTTTTTCCTGTTATACACAAAAGAATTGGCAAGTTATTTTATTTCCTGCTCCCTGTTTGTTCCCATTGGAGCCAATTGATAAAAGGAATGATATCTGGAATTATATCCTTTAGAACTATAGGAATTATATCTGATAGAACAATAGGTTTATTCCATGCTGAAAAGAAAAAAGAAAACGCAACGTTTCTTCAGCCTTCCCCACGGCTGAAACGTTGTGTTTTCTTTTTTCTCTTTTCAGCATGGAATAAACCTATTACTTGTTCCTTTGCAGCCTACGCATGCCGCCACAGCTGCCCACCTAAACTACTATATCTGATAGAACTTCACTAAATGCATGGTAATGTAATAATTAGTACAGGTCTGAATTATACAGATTTTTTGTGTGTTATGTATAGTGTTCGTGAATCTGATATCTTTGTCATAGTAGAATGTAAAGAGGATGCTATTCTTTAGTAGGTGAAATGCACATTAGCACTACACTTATTGAATGCGCACATTTGTCTTGTCTTGTAGCATGATGACAGGGATGATGGTGTCGATTACTGGGCCAAAAGAGGAAGGGGACGTGGCATCTTTCAGCGAGGCAGAGGGCGATTCAGTTTCAAAAAGTCCAGCAGCAGTCCCAAGTGGACACATGATAAGTATCAGTGTGAGGGAAATGTGGAAGACGATGATGATGATGTAGAGAACGACGAAGAGAGAAAAGATAAACGAAAAGATGAGAAGGTAGAGTCAGAGGGAATTTAAAAATTTCTTACTGCCAGCTTCAGGTGACTAAATCTATTTTCTTTGAATAATTGTGCAGTGCTTTTGTTAAATCTAAGTACAATGAAAGTGTACCTTCATTAATCTCCAAATAATGGATAAAAAAACGGGGTTTTGGATGGCAACCCGTTGCCTTCATCTTGCATGAGGATTATGGGTCATACAATTTCTGTAATGTTATGAAGGAGATTTACAGGTGAAAATAATTTAATGTGTTTTAGTTTCTAGGAGTCCAGTTTCAGAATAATTAGTTGACAAGTTTATGCTTCACTTTTGTATAACTGAAACGCAAGCAACAGCTGCAACCTCATTTTGCTATCACTTGACCACTAAGCGGATGAAGTGCTGTGGAGTCCACACCCCTTTTTGGACAACATTCAATGGAAAGTGTATTCAAGTTGGAAACAAAACTTATGTATTTCTTTTCTTCCCAGGAGTGACAAGTTGAACAGAGAAAATGAAACATGAAGTCTTCTATGCCACTCAATCACGTTCAACATCTTATTGCGATTTCTGTTCTCTATCAGTATTGAACTTTTTTTGTGTTAATGTTAGTTCACCATTTAAAATATACTTTTTCCTGTATCTGGCATATTAGACTGAATGTTAACTGTAACCAAAAAAAACAAATTAGATACCATATTTGTTAAATATGTGAATTCACTTTTAGAATTTAAGTAGTTGAATTCAATGTGGTTTAGTGACTGTTAATAAAATCTTATAACAGTTTCTTGTATTTGTATGTTTTTACTGAACTGTGAACCTACCATAAGTTATGTTTTGATCAAATACACCAGTTTGCATCTGCTTAAAGATTAACAGAGTACTCATTCACCACAATAGGATAAAAAGAGCTCAGTGGTATGGTTAAATGTATTCTAAATTAACTGGTGTTTAAGTAGTTGGAATTCATTCTGTACTCGTGGCATTACATAGGAACACTTATTTTCTGAACATTTAACATTTACTGGATAAGACTGTCATTTTATGCAGCAGTACATATGTAAATGATTTTCTAACCTTGTTCTTTTTTAAATGCTGGAATTCATATAAGTCAGTCTTGGAGCATGATTGCAGTGCAGTGCAGTTTAGTACTGCAAAACACTGCTGAAGGCTGCTAAGGACCTTCCAGCATGTTATACTTTACAGTATAATAAGCTGATAAGATAAAATCAGTATCATTGCACATGCAAGGTACAGAAGTGTCAGTGCACCCACTTTAGCTTTTCCCAAGATAGTGACAGTGTAGATTTGCCAGGAAAAAGAAAACTTATTTTGTGAGAGTACTTCAATGGTATATGGATGTTTTTCAAAGATGATACTGGCCCTTCACAGGTGTAAAAATTCACCTAGGACCTAGGAGATACAACTACAACTAAATGCACAATGCTTCCAAACAGAATTTCTGAAGGAAACCCATAATTATAAAAGCTAGTCCAAATGTGGTATTGAAGAAATATTTGAAGTGAATGTCAGTTTTTAACAAACATTTTATTGTGCAGTTACACAACTTCTAAGTAGACTGAAGGCATTCTTTAAACAGGTTTTGCAAAAGTGAAATATTAACAGCTAATGTACATTTTGAGTGTCCAGATTCAATTCAAAGGCTGTTCTTTTCATAGGCATACCATCAAATATAAGGAGAAATTAGTTCCTCTTATCCTGTATTCGTCACATGGTGCCAGTTGTTCTTGTGGAATGATTTTAGTTTTTTTATATTGCATCATTACTACTTCCCTTATAATTGTATCGTTCACAACATAGTGATATATGTAAGGAGGAAGGCAGCTTTCATTCTCTGTGGGCTTTTAAATGAATTGGTACTGTATACAAACTGCACTATCATAGTGTCCAGCAATTCCAATCCATTAAACTGACTATAAAACAACGTAGTGCAAAGCCTAAATCTTAAAAAACCTACTCTTGACTTGTTCCAAACATCTCAGTATTGAAAATATTTACATGTAAAAACAGTTAAAAGCGATTTACATTTCAAGACAACTGTACACACATAAATATCCATCACAGTTGGATACTGAAATCTGTAAGACAAAAGAGATACAATTTAAAACTAAAGAAAAACAAAAAATATTAATGTCTCTGACATCACCAGTAAAATGTTTTGGTTAGGAAACTTGCAGCAGCATTTAGCCAGCTTCCATTTGAATCCTCCTTTGCTCCAGTTCGTGAAATGGCCTTGTCTGCTTCTTTCTCTGGACTCTCATCTTCAGGCAGGTAATCTGGCAAAGAGGAGTTCTCTTGCACTGTGGCATTTGTAGCTCTGAGGGGAATTAAAACCTACATCCAAAATGAAACACAAACCTGTGAACAAGTAGCTTCCATGAAAATGTTAGTTTAACTTAATGGAGTCTTAAACTAAAGTTTGGGAAGATCTTAAACTTCCACTCACCTACAGTGCCTTCAGAAAGTATTCACCCCCTTGAATTTTTTCACATTTTGTTCCTGCTACACCTCCAAATTTTAACACATTGAAATATTTTTTTATAATATAATAGAAATTCAACACATTTAGGAATCAAAACATGTTTAATTCAAGAACATTTGTTTCTCTAGAATGAAAGACTTGCATGTCTCATTGACAAAAGTATTCACCCACCCCGAGTCGATACTTTGTACATAATCCTGTAGCAGCAATTACAGCCTTGGGTCTTCTTGGGTATGTCTGTATGAGCTTTGTACATTTAGATTGTGAAATTTGTGCCTATTCATTCAATGTAAATTTGCTCCAACTCTGCCAAATTAGATGGAGAGTGTCGGTGGACAGCAATTTTCAGGTCATACCACAGATTTTCAATTGGATTCAAGTCTGGGCTCTGGCTGGGCCATTCCAAAATACTAACCTTCTTTTTTTTTCAAGCCATTCCTTGATTGTTTTTGCCATGTGCTTTGGGTCAATGTCCTGCTGGAAAATGAATCTTCGCCCTAAACGCAGATCTCTGGCTGACTGGAACAGGTTCTCCTCAAGGATTTGCCTGTATTAGCCTCCATCCATGTTGCCCTTGATAGCAACAAGCTTTCCAGTTCCTCCTGCTGAAAATCAACCCCAGAGCATGATGCTGCCACAACCATGCTTGACGGTAGGGATGGCGCTCCTGGGTGTTGGGCTGTATTTGGTTTGCGCCAAACATAGCGCTTTGCTTTCAGGCTAAAGAGCTCAACTTAAGTCTCATCAGACTACAAACTTTTCTTCCAAAAGGTTTTATCACATGGCTTCTAGCAAACTCCAGGCGCGACTTAATATTGACCTTTCTCAGAAGTGGCTTCCTTCTAGCCACTCTCCCAAACAGGCCGAATCCGTGAAGTGCTGAAATGATTGTTGATGTCTGGACAGTGGCTCTGCAACTCTCTCAGTGTTGTAGCTGGCCTCTTGGTCACTTCTCTAACAATTGCCCTTCCTGTCCGGTTGCTCATTGTGGTAGGACGGCCTGATCTTAGTAGTGTCTGGTTTGTGCCATGTTTTTTCCATTTTGTTATAATGGACTTTCACGATGCTCCTAGGAAGGTTCAAAGCTTTGCCAATCTTTTTAAAACCTTCTCCAGCTTTTTTCCTCTGAACAACTTCATCTCAAATTTCCACGGGCAGTTCCTTGGTCTTCATGACAGCAGGACTGACCTGATCTGCTGTTTTAGTTGTGATACCTCACAAAGTCAGTGATATTTATTGTGCAATCAAGGATTCAAAATGAACACAGGTATACCTTGTTAATGTATTTAGTGTGATCTCTCAAGATAATTGAATAGCTTGTTAAAACAAAGGGGGTGAATACTTAAAATGTGGTCTGATCTTCAACTAAGTCACATAAATAGACAAACACGAAACTAATAACACACAAACAATTGTACTTCTTTACAGTACTGAACACATCGTATAAAACATTCAGTCTAGGCTGGAAAAGTATGTGAATCTTCACTTTCATGTAAAGATTCTGAAGACATCTAAATAATTTATTTCATTTTAACATTATCGATAATTACTTCTACAGGAGTGGAAAAAAATCCCATTTAAATATGCTTCAATTTGACTTTGCAACACAGCAAAATGAGAAAAAAATCAATGGGGGGTGAATACTTTCTGAAGTCACAGTATATTTCACATTTCTAGTGACCTACTTGTGCATTATCATTTTACATCCAATATATACCTTGCAACAGCTCCCTGGCTCGTTCCATGTAAAAAGAGTGGGGTTCTGACTGGACCTGCTGTTGATCCCTCACCCAGGTGAAACTAAAACATTAACTTTCATCTTCACACCTCATTACCAAGCATTTAGCAGGTCTGCCGAAAAGATAAATGGATTTATGGAGGTTCTTCAGACAAATTGTGACTGAAGTCACACAAAACTACTATGATGTAACACATGCACCACATTCCAGTACAGTGTGTGAGAGAACGCCAGTGCTCATGTGGCAGGACCCAGTACAGAAGGCACAGTCAGTGACTTGATTTTTGTTTATGGTAATTTAGAGCTGTGATTAACTGTTAAAACTGTGGATGTTTAAATGTGAATTAGCTTATTAAATGTTATATATATTAATTATGTAGTGAATTAGTGTGCTTTTAGACACACCTACAATACTGAAATAGTAAATATCATTCCTAAATTAAAAACTGACTAAGGGTGTGGGGGTGGCATTGTGGGCCAATGCACAATTTAAAATATCATGGGCACATTCAGAATTAGTGGGATTCAAATTTAGTCCTGTGCAGGACTTGAGTTCAGGCAGAATCACTAAGTCAAAAGAACTTAGCAGGACGAAACTAATAGGTGGGGAGAGAAACCTGTATAAAAGAGAATTCTGCCCAAAACTTTCTCAAAAACTAGAGACAGTATCATGTGTATTATTTATCTGCAATTCTCATTCTGCCATTTCATAAAGAAAAATGTCTAGGAATTACCCCAGACAACTATGATTCCCAAATCAATAAGATTTCTTTATTCTAAAGAAAAAATACTTTTTACCTCTTCTCCAGTTTCATTTTTCACAATCTGCTGCGCTGTAAGCACTTTAGTTGCTGCAATAGCTGATGCCAAAGACTGTAGACAGAAATGCATGTTCTAACTCATCAGAAAATCATGGAAAACTGCAATATGTTTATTCTATTAACTTTTCAAACAGAATACAAGAATAAAAGAAGATACTTTCCCCACTATACACAAAAGGCCACCCACCCACTCCCTTAATTGTATTCTCCTCCCAAGTTTCTACCAAAGGTCTATACTTTTACTATTTTTCAACCCCTACAATTACAAATATAGTCAACAACAATGGAGCTCCCATTGTTTTTTTGTCAGCAGTAGAACTCCAAGCCTCTACTGCCCCCTACTGGCATAATGGATCTCAGACAGACCAGAAAAATGATTAATACAAATTGATTGAGAGGCTTCCAACAAAGCACCAGCAACTTTTTAGTCACTGTCACACCAGACAACCAAATCTGTTCCTACTTCTGTGGGAGGCCCAGATTAGTGATAACACAGAACTACACCTTTTAGAATAATCAGCAAAGAAGATGATATCTACTCCATGTTTACAAACGTGCTCACAACATCCCTTGGACAGGTTTTACAGAAGATACCCTCTGAAGGAACATTCAAGTTCTTATAGCTGATATTTTTCGAGGCAGAATTTGTATTATTCCAAATATTGTCCCAGGAAATGCCTCAATCTTAATTTACTCTTCCAGCTAGGGCTTTATGAAGTACGCAATAAGAAGACTTAAAAGGAAGCCAATCCCTTTGTTTGATTGACAGATAATTCATTTGGTGCATGGAGAGCCACACACCCCAGCAAGGAGGATCATTAGTTCTAATTAACAGATTAATTTATTATCAGATATTGAAAATAACGACAGGTTTTTGAAACTGTTGATTCAAAAGGAGTTTCAGCAAACAGTCTTGTCAAATTTTAACACCCCATCTCAGCAATAAGGCCTGCAATTCAAGTACTTACTTCAGTAGGCAGATCAGACCGAATCCGCACAGTGCATCTCTTGAGGGCCATTTGAAATGTAAAGCTGATCACTCCTTTGACCCTCAGTAAAGCTTCTTCACAAAGGCCTCTGTGATCCTAAACATCAGTATAAACAGTTTCATGTGGACCAATATAAAATATTAGATTCCAAATTATAAAAATGACAAAAAGAGTACATCACAAATCCTGCCACAACTCACTGATGGTGAATTCTGACACAACAGATTTCACCACCTTCATGAACCCCATTTTTTAATGTAGAAGCCAAGTATTAGTAATAATACCTTAAAGTGTCTCCTTAATGTACATATGTATTTTTTCCTCAAAGATAAAATAAGAATAACCTCTTGAAAGAAGATATATGTTCTGTCAATACTGTATAACAAAAAAACATACCATACTGTCCAGTCCTTGGATATGAAGGGTGACTGATTTGGCCTTCTTGTTTGAACTATTAATGAAGAATTGTGGTTTCGCTTTCCTTTTGGGTCCATCTGGAGTTCTAGGTTCAGTGTTAATAGGACTGGTCAAAACCTCATAAACTTCCTTTGCTAAAAAAGGAATATCATTGTTGGGGCCTTCCCTACAACAAAATCCAAAAGGAAAATGTCTCAACATGGATTACAAATCCCAGAAAGCTTAAATAAATATGGACAAAATGTTGCAAAGGTCTGCTTTAATTCAGGCAGGCCATCAATCAGGACCAATTTTTTAGTAATTTGACAAATTGATACTCCAGATAAGTACATACATCTGTGCATCACTTCTTAAAGTTTCAGTTATAGATACCTGTTTGGTGTTCTCATACAAAACGTATCACCAAATGGAAAATTTGAAATTTTTGACACTCTGGTGCATTTTGTGCTTTTACATCCCTTATCATTTTTTTCTAATGAAGTTTAATTGGCCATATATAGTGAAAAAAATACATAAAATATACAGTTTTTGTCAATGTGAGTGCTAAGGGGATGCAAGAGGTGGGGAAAATGTTTGATGTTGCTTTCTTGCTGGAAAAAACAGAATCTGCTGAGATTAAAATACACAGTTTAGAAAGTGGTCTGCAATTTCATCCAGGGTAATTCACTCAGCACAATCAGCAAATATTTTGTCAGATTTTTTTTTTCAAAATATATGGTTAGATAATTTCATTTCCAAAAAAGCATAAAAGTTCTACTATTTCATACCTCATTTTCTCCCCTCTACCAATTGTATTCAAATTTCTAGTACTGTGGACTGTTGAAATCGACATGCAGGGTGGTTTTAGAAGCATTCAACAATAGGTGCCTTCTTCTGTGTTTTTTCTGCGTTAACTGGAAAATGTATTTCAATTGCCAGCTTTCTGTGTACAATTCAGCACCCCAAAATGCCTAGTAATATTTTGAAAGAAATCCATTTTAATTATGAATCCCTTCCCCTTATAATAGTACATCAAAAACCATAATTCATATATTTATCTGTAAAAAAAATCCTGTCACTTTCCATCTGAATGAAATGAAACATTTTTATAGCCTGGTGATAACTTACCTTTCCATTAAGTTCCTCAAGCTCACTATCATACCAAGTTCATTCTTCATTGTGTCTACATTTGAAGGACATTCTGCTAGGTAACGAAGAGTCTAAAATGTTAAACAAGAAAGCAAAGATGTATTTAACAATATTTGTTTACATATAAAGGTTTCACAACATTCATAATGTAATGTATTGCAGGTATGTGCTATGTCTGTTTAATGTATTAATACATCGCCTCTCAGTCTTTTTGGCACCATGTACACAGACAACTGAAAAGAGAAATCACATGAAAGAGAATGAAATAAACAATTAAAATGTTGACATAGCAGAGTTAATCTAATCTGACAGAAGCCCTTTCTGATGAGACCAGATGGCTCAAAGCCTTGTAAGAACAGTCTTATGAAGCGCCTGTTTCATTTCTTTTTCTGTAAATTCTCACATTAACAACATTCAAAAATCAAAAATGACATTTACAATACATCTTAAATTTCATGGTGTTGAAACCAAACATGAACATGTGTTTAAAAATGCAAAACCCCAAAGTCAATATAAGACGTGCATCTTAAGAACTTGTTTCGATTGTCATCAATATGCAATGGTATACAGATATATTAATTGTGATTAATATATCACAGTTCTCACTTCCATAATTCAGCTTGCACGGGCAATTTTACCACAGGCCCAAATGATATATTACAGATTACTACAGTAAATAATTTTCTTAAGAACCTTTATATGCAGTTTAATTAATATTATTTTCACTCATGTTCACACACATTTAACGTACAGCAAGATCTACATGTTACTACATGTTTTGCATTTATTTCTTTTTCCCTAGCTTAGCTTTTATGTTTGACATATGGAAATACTGCCATGCCCTCCAAAAGCAAATAGTGAGCTAGAGAGATGATTATCTTTAACTCTTTAACTAAAGCTAATAACTGTATAAAAAGCATGTGCCATGTTAACAAGCGACTTCACAGGATTTCAGTGCAGTAACGAAAAATGACCAGATTTCAAAATGGAAATAAGTTTATGGTCCTGAGTAGGAAGAAGCTACCTATAAAAAAATGTGTTTATGTTGAGTCATTTCTACTTTATGATGTCAGTTAACTGTCTGACAGTCTTAAAGAAAACTAAAGGGTTTGCAAGGTTAAGAACAGGTCTACATTAGGGAAAGTTAATCAATTTCCTCTCCGAATTGTCATAAACTCATTGCACACTAGAGGAGATGTCTAGTCAGTGTAATCCCAGCTAGAAGGGAATTTATAAAACACTAACGACAGGGGCATGAAAAATTGTGACCCGTGTACAATGTTATTAAAACTACTGTATAACATTTATAGAATTTTGGAGCAAGAAATGTTATACAATCTGTAAGTCTTTCTGCTGTTATGTCTATTGTCATATTCCATCAGAGGCAAGAATAAAATTGGAGGGCATTCTATTAGTATGTGTGTTTGGTTTGGTTTATTAATTTAGTACTTGTCTTTTATGCACTTGGCTGTTTATATATACATCACCAAATTAAGCAGAGAATTTAAAGAAGCAAAATACCATCTTTGGCATTCCCTGACTTGAATGCTAAACTTTAATAATCTGCTTGTACATTTTAAATATTATTTCAACTCAGACTGTTACTACTAACACCCCCTCTCTTCTAAAATATTAACAAAAATGTCCAAAAGAGATGTTTGTTGGCCACATCTTGCCTGTTTTGTTACTTTTAGCTTAGACAAATCTCAAAGAATGTCAAGAAATATGCTTCATCGGTACATTTTATATTTAGATGGATTAATATAGTTAAAGATATTTAAAAACAACATTCAATGTTATGAGATGAGTTAAATCAGATAAATAAAGATACAGAATTTGAATAAAAAAAACACTGCTGCCCTCCAGGAATTCAAAATGAAACCTTTGGGATTTCTAGCTTACTTTTAAAGATGTACAAAGACTTTAACCTTAGGTGAATATAGTACATATGTAAAGTATAAAGGTTTAATTTTAAAGGATTACATTATTTTATTACATTACATTATTTAACTGAAGTTAAAATATTCAAGAACTGCCACAAGGGAATGAGGTCATGGCACTGCTAGATTCAGTTTAACCAGTGGATCAAATCTTGAGCTAATGAAATAAGAGAAGACAATTAATAAAGGATCTTTATAATAAGGATCTTTTAATAAAGGATTAAAACAGTTGTATTCACAATCCTGCTTGTTTACAGTGTAATAGAGCCACTTTATGTCACGGGAGGTTTTGTTGCCTCGTTCTGAACCGCAGAATATGGCACTGCCCATACCTGGAAATTTTGGCTTTTTTGTGATGTAAATTGGAGGCTTTACATGTTACTGTGTACATTTTACTTTCATTGTGGTTTGAAATGCACTCATCAATGTCGATTCTTTCTAATCCCCAAATCTAAAATCTGCAGTTCCCTTTTAACTAGTATAAACACGTACATAAACACTACTGTCAGACCAACCTGCAATGTAGAGAACAGCACTTGTGCATCTTGATGGTCTAAAAATAAGACTAGTCCAGGAAGGCATCCCTGATCCCGGACTATAGCTTCCCTATTTTGTGGCTCTGAGGCCAAATCTCTCAGTTGTTTCACAACTGCCAGTGCGTCCATCATCTTTACAGGCTCTCGTTTATACTGCAACTGCAAAACAAAAAACACGCGACGTGGTTTTGGTTTTATACAAATATTGAATATTGAGAGTCATTCCATGTGTCAATCAAAATTAAAAATGTCATAATTTGTTTCAGATTTAAATGAAACATACTAGTAAAGTGATTTGATCGAAAACTCTCATTTGAGCCATCAAATCCTAATAGATCCTGGATAAGTGTTTATACATGGTCAGGGGATAGATAGCATCACCTACAATCGAGCGGATAAATTGTATTATGTCCACTGTCACTGACGTACAGCAGCTTTCCTATTCAGTGTTACCCTGTTCACAGCATGCAAGTGCTCAATTTCAATCAATGGTATCTTCACCCCCACCATACACCTCTATGTTGGTTTTCATGTCATCTGATTTAGTCAAATCTGGCACATCAGATTCCACAGAGCTGAATATTCTTATGATTACAGCATTTTTTATCATATAAGCAGAAATGCACATTAGAGATTACTTGGACATACTGTATTTTCAATGCTGAAGCTTTCAATCTCCTACAGCTTCTCTGTAGCACAAACAATTTCTAAAATGGCTTGTTCAGTCTTGGATTTCATCATATCACATGAAAAGATTTGGTTAAGATGTTTTTCATTTAACTTAAAAAAGTAGTTTGAATACCTCACTAACAATGGCCCCAACACCGATTAAAAGAAATTGGGGGGAGGTGGAATATTATTGTAAAAGTGATTACTTTTAAAAAGTCTACATACATTGTTTCAGAACTGAAAAGGCTATGATACAAACCGAGATACAGATATAGCTCAAGAATATGTTAGTAATATATTTGCTCTCTCAAAAGACGGGTAAATCACTTTTACCAACTTTGTGCCGTCTTTTATCTAAATATAACAAATACGGAGTAACCCTCCAGAGTGATGTTTTCCTGCCCGGTTCAATTTCTGTTTATCAGCATTTTATAGCGTGTATTAATGCAGTAAATTGTAACTTACATCATGCTTTTCTCAAAATATTTCAGTCCTCATATCAATAATACCTTTATTATTTTAGCAGTCGAATAGAGACTATGCCTTCTGCCTGTCAGAAATGGATATGTGTGGCGATGGTACAACAGTACTACTGTCAGTAGTTCCACCACTCCTGCGAGTTTTCCTCGGCCTTTGTTCAAGATCAGTTTGGGATTTGGAAACTCCGGACGCTGATGTCAACAACAAAGCTGTTAATCTTTTATTCTTGGTACTCAGAAACAGAGATAATCTAATCAACTGTTCCGTTAATATTCAGGATCTCTGTAAAACTATACCTACTGTACATTAAACTTAAAGCTAAAAATCAGTGTAACGAAATTTTAAAATACTACAGCTACTTTATACTGCATTGGTTTCAATGCAAAAACACAGTCAAATTAAAGACGATATAATTAAAGCTTTGAGAATAGTACAAATCCTGACTTAAAATGTTTTCTTTACTATATTGAATCTAACCACTGTACTGATTACGACTCCAAATGTGCGAAACAGGAGATCTGTTAGATATTAAAGTCAGTCGAGTTTATGACTACGGTAGTTTAAGATATCAAACCTGTATAACCTAAATTAGCCCCGCAATCAGTTAAACAACCACTTCAAATGAGAAATCTTAAACAAAAACGTTTTAGATTAAATATACCAAAATAACACAACATATATCTACCTTACCCTCAGCACAGCACTTCAGGGCCACGAGCAACATCAAATCCAAATTTTGAGAAACATAAACCGATTGGCGGGCAGTCTAAGTCCACGTATCAGAGACGTGTTCGTCAATTGGTCGTTCCGAACTACTAACTTGAACTGTCCAATCAGAACAACCTTTGCTGACGCGGCTTTATTTGAGTTCTGTCAAGGTGTAGGTGAGGTGAGTACTGTGCAATGGTGTCTGTATACAGTAACTATATTATTTAATGATTTTCACTTTTTTTTGAGCGCAGCGGAATGGTTGATTTAGAAAGTCCAAATATTATAATTTAGTATTGTAGTTAAGGTGACTTAGATATGAGGTTATTGAGAACTATTCTTTTTTCCACACGAATTAAATTGCGGAACTAACTTTATTTGTGCAGCTGGCTGATCGTCACTGTAAGTGTAGGATATAGTTAAGCACGAGTTATTCGTTGCAAATGGCATTGATATTCAAACACTATTTTTAGAAACCGTAACAAACCTTAGTCCGGGTTCTTAACCCGTCAGATTGTAAACGTGATTAATGGTAAATCATGTTCCTAACAGTTTTTGATATTCAATTTTCAGTTCTGAAACCTCCAACAGTCTAAGAATAGATAAACAATGCATGTGCTGTACGCTAATGTTTTTAAGCATGTGCAAACTGGGGACTAGCACTGTCAGGTCCTGATCCTATGAGGACTGTTTAGGCTGAGGATGTAAAGCTGTGCATAACAAACAGTTAGATTGGTAATTAAGTTACTGCAGTCTCCGCTTTCCCCGCGACCCTGTCTTGCAAAAAGCCAGGGATCGGGTTGTTAAGAAACGTGCTTGTAGACTTTTCTTTCAGGGCATAGTATGTTGGTTTGTGTATCTTGTTTTAAGTGTTTTATTATGTGAATTTATTTATTCTTACACCCTTAAGGATTTACACAGTGTTTTTTATACATTCGATTTCTCTCTACGTCTCTCAGCAAGGCACGGAGAAATTTACTTTCATTGTGTAATCGGAACAGTTGATTAAACAGTTATGTTTCTGTTTAATTTTTTGTTAATCTTTCTGTTTAATCTTTTGTTCGTTCATATTTAATCTTTGGATGATGAAATCTAATTTGCCTACTTCTCCTTCTCTTCCAAGCACTGGCGAAGATTTCCTGTGTCTCAGCAGGGGACAAACTTCTTACTTTGTTTGGTTGCCAGTTTTAAATGTCTCTCTTTGCGGATCTGTTAGACATTTTACGATACATACTTGATTATTTTGGAGTTCCACCTGATATGGTAAGCTTTCACCATCTTTTACCTTTTTCCCTAATGTTAGAATTAACAAAACGTTGTTCAGAAAATAACGTTTTACGTAATGATCTTTACAATTGTTTATAATCAACGTCGAATTTGCATGCAAATGGTAATAACTTTTCATAAAGTAAAGGCCTCTAGAGGTGGGGATTGCTTTACTCTTTGAATATTCTCAAATTAAACACATTGAGAGATTCCATTTTATTTGTTGTTGTTTTATTGTAATTTTGTGACAAAGCTCAGGAGAGAGATGTAAAGGGTTTCATGCTGACACATATTTTAGTAATAGGGTGAAAACAAATGAAAGTTGTATGAACTGCAAATAGCTTCCACTGGCAAAAGTTTGCTTCTAGAGAGTATTGCATTCTGTCTCTGGTTGCTTTTCTCCCCAGCTCCTGCCAGTATGGGAGAATCAGCTCTGTGGCCAGTACCGTAGTATTATCCGTATGATTGGAACAAATCTTCCTTTAAGTCCCTGTCCAAGGGTTCATTTTCAGGTTTGTGTTATTATTCTTCACTATCAGGAAGAAAAATACATCAAATGCAATGCGGTTGACAGGAACGACTTGCATTTGTTTTTTACAGTCCTCTTACAGACAACTTTTGTGTGGTGATTCCCATGGACCTGAATTATGTAGCTGACGTGCTTAGGGAAACTGGTCCATAAAACCCGTTAAACTATAGAAGTGCTGTTTATTTGTTTGTGGATTATGGAAACGTAGTAAATCTTTGCTGTGGGGAAATGCTGCAGGTAGAATAACCTTCTATTATTTTTAAACTTTGTTCTAGTTCCATACAATATAGTAAAATTCATTGATATCATTTTTTTTAATTTACAAACTCTTTTATGATTTTTTTAACAAGAAGAAAACAGCAGTTCACTGAGTTCTTGCCTCGTATTCAGACATATTTCCCTGCCAGTGAGTTTGTGACTGCCAGCGTCTTTGTTGGGGTATTATTGTGTACACAATGAAAATGCAAGACCTTTAGTTAAATACCCATTAAACATGCTTGGTTCTCAAAGTCTTATATTGTTTCAAGCTTGCCTCATGCTGTTATACAGAACTGACATCACTAGGTTAAGAATTTGCTCTAAAAAGAGTCTGAAATCAAAAGTTCTAGTACCATCAGTTCAGTCAGGAATGAAGAAATATGTATTGCTGTTGTTAAAGGAGTATGTGACACTACCAGTTGGAGCTGTAGCTTCCATGGAGTATTTCTTTACCTGGCTAAAAAAATGTAATAGCAATTGAAACTCCTGTTTTCATTAACATGAGGTGACATCTCTTGTACAACTTTCCTAATTAACATTCGTAATCTTAAGTACTCATGAACTCTTTAGAACTCTTTAGAATTATTTGTATAGGTTTTTGATGTAGGCCAGTAGTACACAACTCTGATCCGGAAGAGTCTGGTTTTCCTTCCACTTGAGCTTTTAATTACCTAATTCATTGGAGGAGAATTTGCCAATCTACTCTACCTTTCCTTGTTATTAAAAACCTAGAGATTTACAGAGACCCTCCTCTGGATAATAGCTCTTGAGTACAAGAGTTGGGCACTTGTGACTTGGACATAGGAGTTGCCTAAAATCTAGGTCTTCCAAGCAGCTGAAATGACAGCTGCTGCCTACTTGTGTTTTTGTGTGATTGCCATCCAACATAAAGGCAGCTTAATGAGGTCATCCTGGGTCATACTTAGTAACTTGAAGGTGCTTTTTCTTTAACAGATCCCTCTGCAGGCATGTGCGAGACCGAGCACTCTCAACTCTTCAGATGAAAACTGTGCTGTACCCTCTTTTGCAGATGTGATGTGGGTAGCACATGATGAGGGTGAATCGTATGCAAGGCTCAGGTAATTGAAAAAGATATCTGCGACATGTGAGTCAGACTATGCTAGTCATTTACTTTATGCACTACTCGGGCTGAGGACCCATTCATGCCTTGATCTAAGGAGATTTCAGAGAACCGAAGAAAAAGACGTTAGTTCTCATGGCTGAAGTGGGTTACAAAGCCTTTTCAATAAATGTGTTGCACCATTACAATGTCAGACAGATAGTCTCCAAATATGCCTCAATGTTTCTACTAATTGATTCGTGATTTAAATCTATGGAAGACATGCCTGAAGCCATTTTGCAGTTGGGATTGGCCATCTCAGTTAGAATCTAAATACCATTGATATGTTATGGCAGAACCTGAAGTTTTTCATGCAAGGAAACCTTCAAATGTCACAAAGCTGAAGAAGTTCTTTAAGAGTGTCCCAAAATTCCTAAAAGGTGGTGCAAAAGACTGATGAACAGCTACTGTACAAGAAAAGTCACATTCATTGCTGATCACAAATGTACCATTGCTTACTGTTGAATCATTTTAATTAAATCCAAATATATATCTTTGTCATACATTTACTTTTTCTCTCAAGACTTTAATGAACATCGGATTGTTCTAGGTCAAAATATCTGGATGGGGACCAACCAAAAGGCTTCTCAATCCTTTGCACCTTTCGTGTGTGCTGTATAACTTAAGTGATGAATGTACTGTAGTTGTTAACTGTATATCCAACCCTTTTCTATAAGTTTATTTTATGTAAATAAGTGTTTTTTTTTACACTGTTTATAAAAGGTTCTAATTTGTTTTCTAAAGACATTATAAAATGATGCACACTCTTGACTGTACAATATGGCCCTATGTACAAAGTAATATAAATGATTTAACACACAATTTGCATTCTCTGCGTAAAGATCACACAGGAGTAAGTGCTTTACAGTATTTGTCAAGAAACTGCAATTATCAAAATATGTACTCTTACTAGTGCCATGAAGATTTTCACCTAATAAGAAGCTCTTATTGTTAAAATAGGCTTTTTAAGCCATATCAAAAAGTGGTAAACCATTTATAATTTTATCAAAAAACTCAAGATTTGTTCAAACTTGTGGTCTGAGCACGAGTGTCTAGTCACTGCAGAACTCCACTTGCAGCGATTGATGGCAGCCTGACAACACAAACTTAAATCCTGGATCCTCACTTGCTTTCCTTCCGGCAGGCTCATCTTTATATTACAACATTTCAGCAGGGCATCACACATTCTCCTGTCACAGCAAGCTGTTCTTATATGGGCAGCAGCATTAGGACCTCACAGCCATGCCATGGATATTCTACTTGCCAGGCATGCACCCCATAGTTGTTGGGTGATCTGGGACAACGCATGACGTGCAGAGCTCAGAGGCACTTGCTTATCCAGGCTCTAAGAGAGGAATCCTACAAGACCGCATGTGCAACCTGGTGCACAATTGTGTTGCAACTTCTTTTGCTGTGGCTACACACACTGCTACTTTGTGACTCACAGTATACACCTCATTTTAATTTATGGTATTTTGTGTTTAATTACAAATGCTAATCAGCATTATGAATTTACCAGTTGGCCACAAAAAAAAGCCATTTTCCCAACAACTGTGTGAACTTGATACAGTTATGAGTTTCTTCCGATGTGCTGTGTATGATAATATCTAACCCTGACATTTGTTTAATTTTCAAGGAATGAGGTTCATCCTCTTGATGGCAAGCCTGTAGCATTTTTCACCGCCCCACCAACTTGTTTATCAGTTCCATCCCAGCACGCACAGGGAGTGTTAGAGAAAAAAACAACCCAGCCTCCTACAAACAGTGACGCCTTAAAGAAGATCACAGCCCTGGAGGATGAGCTCCTCAGGCTACGGGCACAAATTGCTATGATCGTAACCACGCCACCTGGTAAGAGTTGTGTTCAAACTGTTTTTTTTAACTTCCCATTTATAGCTTTGCTATCGCAAAATCTTGTCATTTACCAAACCGCTTTATACCATGTGGTGTGTTATGAAGGTTTTTTTTGTATTTTGTGTTTTACCAGTTAATGTGATAAATAGTAGATTACTACATTGTTTTAGCTAAACTGCATTTTATTTAGTATTTATTTTATATTGGGGGGTGATGCTTTTTGGTTTTTTGTCGCAATTGTATCTGCAATAGAAATGCTTAACTAGTGTAGTAATTGTAATTGGACTGACTATTGGTAAAAGTCAAATATTTGTTGCTATGTGACTTCAGGGTTCTTTATTGAAAGTTTTATTGAAGTTGAGAGGAGAAAAGTATTATTTTTGTGTTGCAGGTCCTCTCTGTTCTGAGTATGAAAGTGCTCGGGCTCCTGGTACCCCCAGGATGTCTCGTCTTCCTCAGGTGTTAACCTCTACTCCCGTCCCGGCTCCTCCACCTGCTCCCCCTCCTCTGGCACCTCCTTTACCGCCAGCACCCAGCTGTGCGACACCAGACCTTTCAGTTACTGACTTAATCAGACAGCGTCGGGCAGCCAGCAGAACTGAGCAGAGCCACAGGGAAAGGGCATTACCCTCCTCCTCCAGTCTCCCCAGCATGTTGGACGTCCTTAAGGATATGAATAAGGTTCGGCTGCGGACAGTAGAGAGGTATACTGTGTTTCAAGAGTTTTACCCTTTTTGTTTCAGGTTTGCTTAATACTGGGATCAACGTACAGGCAAGGAAAGTCTGGTACTGTTGACGTGTTGTCCAGTTCTTAAATACCCTTCTGTATGAAGTATCTACTGAGGTCAGTTAGGGCTTTAATTGACTGAAAATCACTAAGGTGTGAAGAACATCCTCCTAGACTGAGATTTCCCAAGTATCCTTTTTGTGAAACATATCAGATACATTATGGTTTAAAACATCTTCCATAAATAGTGTGCAGTTCAAGTACCACACAGTTTTTAATACACCGCTTGATTCTGGTATACCGCTAGTCCTTTCATATTGGACAGGTCTTAAGTGAAACTTCAATGTGATGATCACAGCCCCAAGTTATTCACTTTTATGTTCCATAAGGTCTGTCTTCTGAGACTCCTAAAACAAACTGACTTTTAGTTACCCCTTTAGTTACCCCTTCCAGCATTTATTTGTTGTGCATTTTGCAAAAGGCCATTTGGTAGTCTGTTCACCAGAGTGTACTTATCTTATCATTTTTGCAACAAGATACTGTTCACATAGAAATACCTCAAAAGGCAAGGAAATGGTTCTACCAGTGTTGCTCCAAAACAGTTGCTGCAATACAAGACCTTGGACAGGAGTTAAGATTGCACAATCTTCTCTAGGTCTGTGTTATTTTGGCCTTAATTCACAGAACTAAGCTCCATTTAATTTTGTTGGTGGATTCTAATACTCAAATTAAAAATGAAAAATGCAGCACTCCTTAAAAAGATTTTAGGGATAGATTTGTATTTAAGTTACTATGGAAAATACATGAAAACTAATTCATTTGTTAGATTTCTAATTTGAGATTTTTCTTGATTGTTAACTGCATATGATGAGATATTTACATAAACGTGATTGTTCTCAACTATCATACAAGATTTATCCTCAGCAGTGGTAAACTTGGTTATTTATGAAAAATGTTGATAACTTTATCTTGTGCTATGATATGGCCATGTATTTATACCTTAATTGAGGTTTGGATATCGAATATGTGTGTGAATCCCTTGACTTAACCTGTTTTAATTTACAACTGATGTGTATTCATTTTTTTTAAAACACTAATATAGCAATTAATGATTGCTGTACACTTTTGCAGAGTGTTTGGGTTCCTCTGCTTTAGACATTACTGATTTGTGATCCCTGGGAAATGTTTATTTCTTCTTTACCTTAATACTGTAGGTCCCCGGGAGGAACACCAGTAATGAAGAAAGACAAGAAAATAATCAGTTCTGCAGACCCAGCCGCACTGATTGCGGCTGCTCTGAAAAGAAAATTTGCACACAGATATAAAGAGGACTCCTTTGACAAAGAAAATCGACCGTTTGAGACCTCACCTTTTGGCAGTCCAGAGATTCCCAGAGTAAGTACTCATTAGTTTTTTTGCCAATATAAACCTTTTTCTTTTGGTGAAAACCAAGGAGGAGTAAATGCTTGATGAGCGTTATCTTGTTCTTCTTTGTGTAATTCCGGTAGACCCCACGTGGTGGTGCTAATTATCTAGTGGAAACTGATTATGAACTGATTATTCAGAAACAAAATTGTGCATTCTAAGATGCAAATGCCTACTGTTCATTGGGATCAATTGGTCCTACTACTCTCAATGCATCTTGCTCTTTACATGTAGGCTTTATATCATGACTTTTACAGACTTGTTTACCAAGTTGTTTAGGCTCATGGCAAAAAAAAAAAGCTTTTGGTAGAATCTTATTTACCTCACCTGTGTTGGGTGAGTTAAATATTAGTTCAAGACTACATATAATGTTTCAGGATGTTAGGTACAGGATGTCATGTAATAAGTACATAATCTAATCTTGAAATATGTGCACAACGTTCGACACAGCCAGCACAAAGCAACACTGTTTGGACTTCGGTGACCAATTGTCAGAAGTACACAATAGAAGCTGTAAAGTAATCTGGAAGAAAATACAGTACATAGGAACAGAGCAATGCACAGTTGTATGCAAAAGTTTGGGCACCCCTGGCCAAAGTACATGTTTTGTTGATTTTCTAAGTGAAAAGAAGTTAACAACCTCTGCAGCAAACAAACTTACGCTTGACATATTTCTGTTAATTTTAATGCACAGTTACGTTTTGCTGAATTTAACAGATTGAAAAAAATAAAACAGTCAATATGGCATGTGCAAACATTTGGACACCCCTCCAGTTGATCCACTAGTGATATTTGTTTGTAAGGTTCAGAAATATTCTTAGGTCATCTTGCACTGCAGATTTGAGATCTACCCACAGATTTTCAATAATATTCAAGTCTGCGGACTGTGAAGGACATTCCAAAACCTTAATCTTTTGTTTCTTGAAATAGTTCATGGTTGATTTTGCAGTATGTTTTGGATCATTGTCTTGTTGTAATGTCCAACCTCTTTTCAGCTTCAGTTTCTTCACTGACTGTGGGGCATTAGCTTCCAGGATTTGTTGATACTTGGTAGAATCCATTCTTCCCTCTATCTGCACAATATTTCCTGCGTGACTGGTTGCCGCACAACCCCAAAGCATAATAGATCCACCTCCATGCTTAACAGTTACCAAGGTGTTCTTTTCTTCAAATGCTTCTCATTTTTTCCTTCAAACGTACCTGTGGTGATTGTAGCCAAAGAGTTCAATTTTTACTTCATCAGACTACAGCACTTGGTTCTAAAACACATCTGGCTTATCTAAGTGTTGTTTTGCAACTTGACATTGACTTTTGTGATGAGATCGAAGGTAAGGTTTTCTTCTGATGACACTTCCAGATCATGTTTGTATAAGCAACGCTGGACAGTGGACTGGTGCACCACTACTCCCGTGCCAGCTAAATCTTCCTGCAGGTCCTTCACAGTGATATGGGGGTTTTGCTTTGCTTTCCTGACCAGTCTACAAGCAGTTCTATCGTAGATTTGTCTTGGTTTTCCAGATCTTGTCTTTACTTCAACAGTTCCAATTAACTTCCATTTCTTAATGACATTTCAGACAGTGATATCTTTTTATGGCCTTCCCCTGCTTTGTAAGAGTCAATTATCTTTATTTTCTGATCCTCAGTCAGCTGCTTAGAAGAGCCCATGGTTGTATAGTGTAAGCACAACACCCTGAGAGGTTAGAAGAGTCAGAGAATTTATTAAGCCCTGGCATATTTTCATCACCTGATTTAGATGAAGGCCTAATGAGTCAGTTAAGTTCTGAGACCTTACAAACAAATAACACTAGTGGATCAACTGGAGGGGTCCCCAAACGTTTGCAGATGCCAAATTTACTGTTTCTGGACACTCCACTCAAAGCGCTTTACAGGTAATGGGGACTCCCCTCCACCACCACCGATGTGCAGCATCCACCTGGATGATGTGATGGCAGCCATAGTGCACCAGAAGGCTCTTCACAACCTATTCAGTTAAAGTATACATATTGTTAAGGAGTGCCTCTGCTGACTAAGTTCAGTGGTGGCTCTGGGAGTTCTACTTGGGATGTAAAGGTGATATTGCTTGGCAAATATGCAAACACGAACTTGTATTCCTAGCCATTTCATTTCACTTCATGAAAACCGATCAGCGTAGCTGCAGTGTTTCCAGTTAATCTGTTTTATGTTCCCTTACGATCTGCTTTATCTGATTATTTTACAGCAGCACAAAACTCCTTTTAAAAAGCAATTGGCAGCTATGACATTGCATGCATGCTCTGTGGGTATAGGAAGTTTACCTGTCGTATACTAACAAGAATACATGTATGAAAGGAAATGTTCTATGGAATTAGTCTGGTTAATCAGCATTTAGCACCCAGAAAGACAGGATAAGAAGATGTAGGAGAAGCAGGAGAAGGAAATGAAGATAATTGAACAAAGAGCAACAGAGAGAAGGAAGAAAGGGAATATAAGAAGGTGTTCCCTATGTATATCCTCATGAAAAGAATCCCTACATATGTGCATAGGTTACAGGGTTAATATTCTGGATTTTCTGGGATTAGGTAGGAAAATACTGTAACTAGTGTTGCATAATGTGTTGTGATGTTTAGTTTGTGTTATTTTTAATATAGATTTTCTGTTTAGCCTCTGATTATCACTCTTCTGCCAAAGCTGTACCAGAGAACAAAACGCAGGTGCTTTAAATTATACCCACCACTTGGGTATATGCCTTATATTTGGTGGTTTTAATTACTTATTTTCCCCCTCTATTTTCTTAACCCCCTATCTGTACCAATATTTTAAATATTGGACTTGTGCTGAAGATACATCTTTAGTCTATTAAAAATGATGATATTGGGAGTTCTCATTCAACAACTGGCAAAAATAAATCTACAACCATATATCAGTTTGTAACCTGAAGGACTACAATGAGTGGACAGTGGGATTAGTGATAAGCATCACCTTTGAACTGTGCTTGAGGGATTTATGAGAGAAAACACTCTGTGGCTCAGAGGTTAAGTAAAAAGCAGCTAGCCTTGTTTCATTATCAGATCGCTTTCTTTTAAGCAAGATAAGAAAATATTGAATAGTCTGATATTTCCAGAAAACGCAAACTATTATCTTAATGTTCACAATTCACTTAGTCTGCTGCATATCAGATTAACTGAATACATGTCCTTTTCCAAATGCTTATTTGATTCCTAAAAAGTGTTCACGTTAGCTTGGATTATCTGTAAGGTAAAACCCCACAGGTAAAAGTCATGTTCAACTCAGGTGCTCCACAGCCATAAACAACCTGTAGGGAAAATATTAAGAGCTTTAGTGGCATAGTTCGTACAGAATGATGTTTATCTCCTGAGCTTTGGATTTCTACAGCTTTCTTTGTGAAGTCACAACAATGATTAGGGTTCACTGTAAACATGTTTTCATTATGTAATTGTCTACATTAAGAGTTTTTTCATTGGATTCTGGATACCACTTTAAATCCCCCTCTCTGGTCAATCTTTGAGAATAAATCTGTGTGTTCTTGCCATAATACATAAAGTTTATTTTATTTATAATTTATTTTCAGTACTAGTTATTATATGGAGTACCTGAATTTAGGATTTGCAAGTCCTATTCAAAAGAAATGTGTATGTTTCAACAGTTTTCTTCTCTGAAATTGTTTGTTGTACAATAAACTATAAAATGCCATGATTTTGGTCAGCATTGGCTTTAAGTAAAAGCATTGTTTTCTTTAATTTAGCTTTAAATTAAAAATGGACTTTTGTTAAATTCTTAAGTTTGATGTTTGTAGCTTTCACTTAGTGTCTGAAGAATTTTACATATCAGTCTGACTTTTTTGTTTTTCAGCTTCCATATCAAGTCACGAAAGGCACTGGAAAGCTTCCACCTTTAAAATCGGACCTCCTGAGTCTGACTCCTACAATAAAAGCTAATCGTACTTAAACCAGCGGTACTTCTTTTTTACATCAATGTTTTTACACACAATTATTGGGCTTGTTTAACTTTTATCATGCATTTTAGATATTTTATTATTCTTGATGTATATAAAGTAATGAGGATTGATTCTATGCTGCCCTTTAAATACTGTATATTTTGCTGTTAAGATATTTAGTTTAATGGTTTTGGTCATACTGCTGCAGAATCACCTGCTCAATTTCAGTTGTTGGTTTGAAATGTATAAAATGTTCTTGTAAGAATGGAAAAACTTTGAACATTTGTTAAAGAATAGAAGAATATCAACTGTTCTAACAATGCAATGAGAGATATAATGCAGCTCATTTGTTTTCCTGTCAAACTAAAATGTAATGGTACAAACTGAGCCCATATTCTGTGAATTGTTTAATATCATTTGTGGATCCTTTGCATCTGGCACTGTGTAAGAGGGTTTTCATTGTCAGGCTGGGTATTGACTAAAGCCATACATCAGTCTTCAGATTATGAATGTTCCCTCACACGGGCATGAAAGGCTGGCTTGAAACCAGTGAGAGCTAGTGTTATTGATATAAGGTAGGGAAGGCTGAGAGTAAAGATGCTACCTATGAAAAAGAACTGGATGTTTATGCTGTCATATTTTTCTAAAAATAGTGTGAGCAAGCAATAAAAAACAGAATGCCAGGATAATAGAGATGTACGATTTAAACTGAGGGATGTTAAAATTGTGAAATTCACTATTAAGACCTCATTTAGAATAGTCTGCACAATTGTGGTCTTCATGTTTTGAAATGTTCAATGCTGAGAGGCTGAAGGAACTGAACTTTTTTTTTCTTAGATACAAATGACAACAAGGTTGCTTAATCTTAAGTATTAAATATCTTTAAAGGTACTTACAGTGTTAGCCCAGAAAACTATTTCAGAAACAACCGTGAAATATGAACCTTGGGATTTGAGAAAACTATAGCCCCCCCCCCCAAGCCAAAGGTTAAGGTTAGAAGACACTGTGTGATGTTCTGTACATTTGTTAAAATAATGCATAAAGAGCCTACATATCATATTATTGTGCCAATGTAAATTATAAAATATATTTTTATTTTCAAAATAGTTTATTTACAAAATGGTTTACGGGACATGAGATGCACTTAAAGTGCAATCGGAAAAATACATTTCTTTAACAATATTTCATATTACATATTAGCAGGAGTAGTTACCCCAACGTTACTCAGGATGGTCTGAAACATCATTTTGAATGGATGTAAATATAGAATGTCTAACTTGACCCAGACAAACGAAGATGTATCTGAAATGTCACTATAGTTTAACTTGATTAGGGAGCAAGGGTAATTCATTCATTTTTGTACTTTTGCAGGTAGGGTAAGATGGTATGCAGTGTTTCAGAATAGGTTGAATTAAAGTACGTAATACATTGTACACACTTTAACATCGCAGTGTATGAGTAATTATGGTATGTGTGTACTTAATAAAACATTCTTCCAGGACAGCATTAGTGTGTAAGTTTCAAGGTTTTAAAACCAACTGAAGTTGTGCAGTGTATCATGGCAATATGGTGTTGCTTCAATAATATATTTAAACAGAAAAGCAGATAATGCAGTGTGATGGAACAACATGCTCTGCATGTTGAAAATATTTAACATGACAGCCCTGTGTGTAAATGTACAGTAAACATTATGTATAGTTTTAGGTATGACAATTTGTAAGATAGATTGGGATTGAAGTACTTTTGTCTTTCGGACACTATCGACCTCATCATATAAAGCAATCTTAACAGGCATATTGCAGCTATTAAAATATGAAACAGTGTAAATGGTGATAGAATTGGGGAAAATATCACAATGGGCTTAATCAGGGCATCTGATATCTTCAGTGCCCTCCACATTTATAATTCTGGTAAAATAGTATTCAATCCATAACTTACTGTTATATGATGGTTTGTACAGTATACCTGTCTTGCTTACAACAATTCTTGAATACTTCTTACCATAATTATAACACTATTGCACATAACAAAACTGGATTCCCAAAAAATACGAGAGCCCTATTTACACCCCTGTAGCTCATAGTTTGTAAATCATCTTCTGATGTGAATTACACATTTCTTCTGCAGGATACAACTTCCTCTTAAAATTATATTTTTTACAGATGTGGGGTTTTCACCACAATATGTGGGGTATTGTGAATGAATATGGAGGGCACAGTATACATGTCTCAAAAGCCATTAAAACTGTCATAAACCAGTACTGGAACCAATAGCATGTTTGTCATGACAACTATATAGTGCCCTCTGAAAGGTACAGTTAATTGTAGAGTTTTGTCTTTAATCATTTTTTGTCGGGAAAAAAACATGACTGATGAGCACAACTCATAAGTATTTTATTTTTAATAAAGTCAGTTCTGCCTTCTAGGGCAATTAAATTGTTTTTAATTTCATTTTAAAAGTGCTATAGCCATTTGGTTAGCAGATTTTCCCTTTATCTCAGGTATTATTGGGTAATTAGACAGTCAAAAGATCTGTGAACATCCAATCAACTTGTCTGACTATGACTTTGTCACTTGGAGTCAACAGTCAAAAGTCTAAATAAAAACCAAATAACTTTCTATTAAAGAAAAGCAGACTGAAGAATAAAAAAAAACACAATCAGAACCACAGCACAGAAACTGTGCATACTAAAAACTATTTGGAATATACTGTCCAAGAAAGGAATATCTGCAGTTTATAACCACTAGATATTAGGTGAAGGTATCAAAATTCAGTTTACAGACGGTTGAGGCAGCAGGTTACAACACATAATGCAAACCTCTCGGCAGCAAGAAAATCCATATTAGAATTTGCTCTGAAGTGCAAAGATGGGCCATGAAAGAGCAGTATGAAATAGTTTTATGGGCAGATGAGACCAAGATAACTATATTGAAGTGATAACAAGGTTAAAGTGTGAAGAAAGACAGGAACATCACCTCATCTGTCAAGCATGGTGGAGGTAATGTTAAGGTAATAGTAGTGTCTGGAACTGGTTCCTTCATCTTTATATTACTGATAATGATGGAAGTAGCAGGACAGAATCTGATATCTCGGAAGTGTTATGACTGGTTACGTAGAAGAAAATGCTTCCATACTTTCTGGGTGCCATTTCACTATGCAGCATTGCATAAAGTAACATATGGTATATTGTCAATGCTACTAAGCAGTTAATCAGGAGAAAAAAAATGTAAAACTACTTGGCTACTTGTCTAGTGACTGATTTAAAATCGATTGAGCATGCATTTTGCATGCTGAAGAAAGCGTTTAAGTCAGAGCAAGAATAGCCCAAATCTCAAAGTGGCTGCAGTGAAGTGTCTTAAATGATTCCAGTTTGTTAAGCCCGGTGGGATGTAGATTTTCATCCTGTTATTCCTTCAAAGAGACAGGCAATCAAATAAAATTCGATCAGCACGTTTTACACTATGAAACTTAATCCTCAAGTGAATGTGTCACAATACTTGGCAACTGGAAATTGCTGGATTGAACACTAAATTCTTATTTTAGTGCACAATGAGTTGAGTTTAACTCATTGAACATTTCTATGCATGGAATTCCCTAAAAATAAACCATTGTGCTTATCATTCACATCAATTTCATGATCACGAATGCAAGTTGTTTCACTGTAAAGCAGTTTTGACATGTAGATGTTTTTAAAGGACACTGTACATCATGTCATTTTAGAACATTTATCTAACTCACTTGAATTAAAACATGATTAATAATGAAAGTCTGTTTTAAATTTTAGAAAAATGTGAACATTTAATGATCACAGCATGTGAGCTTACTGGCTTGAAAAGAGTTGGAGTATGGAAAACACAAATGAGCACAGAAAGGAAGAGGAATGTTTGAGAACATCTGAGAACAGAGAGATGTTAGAAATGCCCTGCTATATTTAACTCTCAGTTCCTTTTGAACATGCATTTAGAATTTCTTAAAAAAATACAATTTAAATAATTTAAAAGTTTGTGCTAACAAGCAACAATTTAGAATGATAATGTTAAGGCTTCATTATGTGTGTGCACAATAATGAATTATGAAACTACAGTATATAAACTACTTGCAAATACCCTTTGTATTAAAAGTTAACAGTATTCATTTAATAGTAGCAATTGCCACCTTACTTTATACAGGTACCAATCTTCTACAGTAGTTTGGCATGTGAATCAGTAGCTTCATCATTTACAAAATGTACAACGGTAACCATTACCAGCAGACATAAAAGTATATAAAAAGCAAAAAGGTCGACATGGTGCTTGGTGAGGTCATACCTTTTGTTTCTTAAAAAATAGAGTCTTGTTTTAAATGTGTTCAAGTGCTTTTTAATTGAAGATTTAATAAAGGGAATTTAATTCATACTAAGTGGGCTGACGATCCATTACCGATGCAAACTGTAGAAAAAAGTGAAAAGAGTTGTAACTTTTAAAAAGAATCTGAAATACTTAATACTTAAAAAACTGAGTTTTTACACATAATGTCTTTTCAGTAGTTCCCAGTGTGCAGCCCAGCTGCCATTAGAAATTTGAATTGTGGAGATTTTTTTATCCTCTTCTTTCCCAAGAGCCTTTATTTACTTGTTTTCCTTCACCTTCGCTTTGTCTTTTTTCAATGGTATCATTTCAGAAAATGAACGCCCGCTGGTTCACTTAGCTGGTGGAAGCCTCAAAACCTCCCATCCCATGGGCCGGAGAAGAACATAGTAAGACAGGAAGATAAGGAAAATGAGGGGCTTGGTTGGATCTTTCATTTGCTTCTTTTCATCCTCATTTTTGGTGCTTCTTTTGCCTTTATTTCTGGCAATGCTACGTATGCCCTGCAGCTCCTAGAATTCATCATGGATATCACCATGAGAAAAAAAAAATGTTGTTCCCAGGTTGACGAAAGGCCCTTTTTTCTTGATCATGGTCCACCTCCTTCCACCCCCTCATTCAGAGACAGACTGGAGCTGTCTTCTTCTCTGTGGTGTTGCTTGTGTCTCAGATGCCGCCACCGTGCTTTGTTCTTCCTGAGGTGGCTCATCATCACTTCCGACAGGGCACTGTTGTCTGTGAATCGGCTCCATTCCTCAAAGAGTGGTTCTACTATATATGTCATGAAACCTGACCAAAATATGAAGGAAAAAGATGTTGGGATACAGTATACGATCAGGTTTGAGAGGAAGTTTAAAAGGAAACAGTTTAGATTCGCACTGATATTTCAGGCCAGAATAAAGTTCCGTGAAGATTTTGCATTAACGTAGTTTGTAAATTAATAGAGAACAAGTCGGGTTTAAAATGTAGTTGAAAGCTTCATTTTGTTTTTGATGTTGAAACATGCTCAGGGTTTTAAATACAGATCTACTGTAGGATGTCCCTTTGACATAACAATTACATTTCCTACTGTGGAAACCATCAATCAATTGCTAGCAGGCTTCACTTACCTATTTGTATTCCAGGGATTGTGTCTATTTGCTGATTACACAAGGGACTGACTTCAAGGTCAAATTTGCTCTCTAGGTCACCTAAAAAAGGAGAAAAAACTTTGCATTTTAAATGGAATTCACCAATAAAGGTCATTGTAAAACTGTTTATTATAGCAAGTCACAGAAGTCTTCAGGATTAAAATTCTTATTCCTGCAGGGTGTTGAAAATTAACTTCAAGTTCTTCATCTTTAAGAGAGTGTGTGAAGAAAATATCTCACAGGCAAGTCAGTAAATATAACTACCAAATGCCATGTTGTTTTTGAGACAACTAAATGGAACGAAATGAAAAGCAATCATTTAATATCAGCCATCAGTTTCTTGAACAATTAATAATACTTAGCGGTGTATCTGCATGCCACAAACCATACATCAGGAAAAAAAACAAATACTGCTTTTGTAAAAATAAGAAAAGTAGAAAAGTAACCACTAATTACACTTACATATAATTTCTTTCTTTAATTTTGTAACAAAAAAGCACAGAAAAGGCACAGACAAGGTTTTATCATTAAAATGTGTATCATTATCTCTGTGAAGTTGTCATTTTAAAATGTTATTGCAGGAACAGTTGTTGTTTGCTTCTTCTTTCAGTCTCATATGATTTACAAGTTATTTTCCATTCCCAAAATATCTATTTACATGGTGAATTTCTTCCAGAATGTTTACAAAAACATTAGTTTTTTTTCCTTTTTTCTTAAAGTACATTTCAAATGCAGTAAAAAAATTACAAGCAAATTATTGGGATTGTAAAAACAAAAGAATACATTTAAAAAGAACAGCTACATTCTCCAGATATTAAGGAAGCATCGCATGACAAAAGTCTATCTGCATAACGCTATACTGTCATGTGGCTTAGGGATACATTTCAGTGTATTTAAAACCTTAAAACCTTTTCAGCATGCCTGACCCTGCTGACTTTTCTCTTTCATGTATATACTTCAGCCAGCTGCAGAATGCTAACTATCTCACCATTGTCTTTGAGTACACTATTCTGTTTGGTCATGTGAGAATGACACCTTTGAGCTCCAATGAGTGTGCTTCTTCTTATTGGAGTGCATAGGACTAGTGAGGCCTAAAATGTAGCCTCCTGACATAGCCTCCTGGAATGAATAAATCACAGACCACTGCCAGCTAGAAAAGATTCCACTGTGTTTGGAAGCCTGCTCAACTAACTCAATACAAGAGTCACCCAGATGGATACCTTAAAGTTCAGGTACAGAATCAAGCAATCTTGGAAAAGCCTAATATAAATCAAATTAACTAAAATAAAAAAATAAAGATAAAATGAATAAATGTATAAAATGCAAGAAGAGCTAAAATATTTTCAGTGGCCTACATCTCCAGCAAATAAACATTCATATCACTATTTCTTTAATCTGTAATCCATGGAACACCTTATTTTAATTCCTTTTTGGAAGTAACTGAAAACAGAATTTTGTCGATACTGTTACAGTACATTTCCAATATATTATCATTCTGTCTTGCCACTTCTCAGGTTAAGGAAATGTTCATTATTTATTTAAAGGTAGAGTACCCTGAGGATGTGACTAATTACCACAGTAAAACCTCACTTTAGTAACCTATCATATTCTTTTATTATTTAAATTGGATTTGGCAATTATTTTTATTGTATACCCACCATTCTAGAATTGTTTGCTTTCTGTCAATGAATCCTGTACAGTACAGCTCAGAATACCCGTCAAGTCATTCATCATTAGGTAACTTCAAACTCCAGTGCGTTACAATTGATTTAGCACATCTCTTACCGATTCCAAAGCATGCTTACAGGCTTCTACCAAGACTCAGGAGTCAGTTTCACCAAGAGTTCATCTGAGTCTGCCAATTGAATCCAAGTGCTTGAGGGCTACTAGCCATGTTGACTAGTGACTTGACCAATCTGTGGGCTCAACATTTTACACCAGTACTCACTTGGGAGCCTTGCTGCCCGTGCCCATGTATACTGGCATGGAAGTAACTGTTTTCTCACAGTTCATAGGGAGTCCGCAAGAAAACACACACCCTGCCAAATCAGGCAATAAGGGAAGCTGAAACTTAGGCCAAAAGTTCAGAAGTGCTGTGGGGAATGAAAGCAATCCCATGATGTACAGGGATGGTTATTGTAATGTGGCAAGGATGAAATATCACATTCTGACGTATGTTTGTATCACTAGAGTGGAATGAAAACAAACTGAGCGCAATTAAAATAGAAAAATTGGAATAAAAATTAATAATCAGTTCTAAATGTCAACAATACAAAAATGAAAAACTTACTGAAGGGTCTGTTTTTTCTTTTCATCCCAAAGTGTGCTTTAATGTAGCAGTATAACCTGCAATGTGATTTTACCATTCTTTTCTAACTGTACAACATTCTATTTATTTAAAGGTTGATTTAATTAGATTTTCACTTCCATCAAATGCCTTTTATGAATATTGAGTTGAATTTGGTATTCCTTTTCACATAAAATAAGCACATGCTGAATATGAAGTACTGTATATGATACAGTTGAGAATCTGTTTATTCCATGCTGAAAAGAGAAAGAAGAAAACACAACATTTTGGCTTTGGAGACTTGTTCTGGTTTAAAAAAGCTAGGGCGGCCAACAAAGTTTATATAGCATAGGAGAACAAAAGCTGGGAGAGTGGAGGAGGCAGGAGCAGGGGAGAGGCAGAGTGGCCAATCAAGTGGTGCGAGGTCGAGAGAGGTGAGGAGAGGTGTGAAATGAAACCTACAAATGAATAGAGAGAATTAGAAGAAAACAAGTCTGTTATTGAGAGAAGGGGGAAGGTGTGAACCAAGTTTCAGGATAATTTTAGTTTCTGATGTCTTTCTGCTACAGGAGTTAAGACACCCTACTTTGAGAATGCAGATGGAGAGAGCAGTGTGAACATGGACGTCAGAGGTGAAATGAGAAACTATGGGCTTGGAGAAATCTTTAATTTTCACAGCCCTAACACGTTCTCTGAAGCCGTCGCCTAGTCTCTTTCTGGTTTCCCTATCATAGATAGCTGGGCATTTACTGCAAGAGATACAGTAAATGAGGTTGGTGGAGGTACAAGAGGTCACCTGGGTGATCGGGAATTTTCCTGAAGGGCCTTGAATGAGTGTGGTGTTAGATATATATTTGCAGGTGATGCAGTGAGCTCTGTTGCAGGGGAAAATGCCTGGCGAATAAATCAATGGTTTCATCTCTTTGTTATGAATACAGTACATCTCTCTACATCCCCAATATAAACATATTACGAGTAGGCCTGACAGCCGATGGAAATAATTATTTTTTTTATTCTTAGAATACATAACAATATTCCTGATAATATTTGAAATTTAAAGGTTCATATTAGGATTTAATTTTTACTGCTGTCGGCTAATTGCAGCCCCCTAATTTATTAGATGAGAAAATCGTAAAGTGGTCAGGTTTCTCAAAGTTGTTCACACTTATATAGCACGTTTCTGGACACTCCACTCAAAGCGCTTTACAGGTAATGGGGACTCCCCTCCACCACCACCACCACCGAGTCAGCTGGGATGATGCAGCTCTACACACCTAACCCTCATTCTCGTCTCCGCTCTGTTCGAGACCTCAGAGAGTTTGTCAAGGAGGCGACAGCCCCTTCTTGTGGAGAGGGGGAACCAGCTAGACCTGTTCCACGGGGGAAAATTCCTGCATCAAGGAGTGCGAGCCAAAAACCGTACACCTGAATGACAGTATTATTGATGAGATCTTTTTCAACATGCACCTGCCACCAAACAGCTTAATTCTGAAGATAGTTACACAAAAGGCCACACATTAAATCTAGCAAGGATATTATAAACACAAATAAGAGGTCTGAAAAGATTTGGTTGTGTTTAGAATGCAGATTTTATTGTTACTGCGTGTCAGTGAATCGTGCCAAAAAAGCCAATCGTGTAACCCTATTTGTAGATGGTTCTGTACTTGAGCTTCAGCCTAAATTGAAAAACCTTGGGGTTATATTCGATTCTGGCTTAACATTTGACCCACATGTGCAGCATATTGTCAAAACATATTTTTTCTTCACCTCAGAAATATCGCTAGACTATCACTAACTGTGGCTGAAAAGCTGATCAACACATTTGTGTTCTCCCAAATTGAATACTGTAATGCTCTACTCGCTGGGATAAATCTACATTGAACAAACTGCGGTATGTCCAAAATCCGGCAGCTAGAATTCTGGTCTCCTAACTGTCCCCCAAGCCCCCAAGACATTGTATGGGTGACAGGGCCTTCCCCTGTTATGCCCCCAAGCTCTGGAACTGTAACGAACAGTTCTTTCCGGACCCTATGCGGACGACACAGTCCGACGGAGTGGGGGAACACTGGGGAAACGTCATGCAGGAAAACGGGGCTGAAGACAGGGGGGCGTGTCCAAGGTGCGCTGGTGCACGGGGGAGGTGTGGCCGAGGCGAACAATCCAAGACAGTAGTCCTTTGGGAATATCCAAAACAGAAGGGTAAGTCCAAAACCAGAAGATCCATCAGATAAAAGAATTAAAAAACCACGAAGGCTGGGTCGGAACCGGCGGACGGGGAACAGGAACGGGAACGGGAACAGAGGTTAAAACCTTAATGGGACCAGGCGCTTCCAGGTCCCGGACTCGCACGATATGGAAATCAGCTGCAGAGCCCGGGTGAGCCTCAGCGTCTGGCTTTTAAGGTGGGCTGGGAATAGGGAACAGGTGCGGAGAATAAAGTCTTGAGTGATAGGGCTGGAGCACCCTTAAGGAGGGGGAACTAATATCGTGACAGGAACTCTCTCCCTAAGGATATCAGAGAGTCACCTTCTCTAAACTTCTTCAAATCCAGACTCAAAACCTTCTTCTTTAGAAGAGCCTTTATTTAACTTATTCTTCACCCCTCTGCTTTTCTTAGTACCACCACCCACGGTCTCCTCTGTATATTGAAATTGTGTTTTATTGTAATTGTGTATTCTTTTTTATTTATTGTTGTTGTCATTCTGCAAAGCGCTTTGAGAAGCCACCTTTAAAGGCTCTATATAAAATAAAGTTTATTATTATTAGTCATTATGGTTACTAGTAAGCAGGAAGGGCTGCATCACGTCGCAATTCATGGGAACTCAAATGCAAGTTTGTGACAGCATGGTGACTTACAGCACTTTAACAAAGTTCATGATTTTGTGGTTAATTTGAGATTTGTACAATTTCTTTGTAACCAAGATTTAATAACCGGTCTGAGAAATTGGGAATGCAGTTCCCCTTTGTCTCAAAGATCTAGGGTCCTGGATTCAATTCTGGACCTGGAGCACTGTCTGTATAGAGTCTGCATGCTCTCCCAGTGTTTCCTGTGGGTGCTCTGGTTTCCTCCCACAGTCCAAAGACATACTGTTAGGTTAATTGGCTTCTGGGAAATTTGGCCCCAGTGTGAGCGTGTGCTTGTTTTTGTGTGCTTGCATTGGACAGCCTCCTGTCCAGGGCTGGAAGATGGATGGAGTTCCCTGTGTGTTCCATGAGAAATGGAAAAAGATTGAAAAAACCTTTACTTGTTATTTACTTAGTGTCATTCAAGCTAAACTACAGAAGATAAATAGACTTCCTGTACCTTTCCAGATTTGTGCAAATAAAGGCAAATGAGGATATAGATGCAACTGAATTCTTCATAAAAATGTTAGCCTTTAGCTGAGGTACATATTTAGCTCTTAGATGCTGAAAAATGTCAGTGAAAAACTACGATTGAGAATAAAGAAATTTAAATCAGTCTGATGTAGCACTGTGTTCTAATTGACAAACTTGTACTAGAATGTTTGTTTTTGGTTATCCAGAGTTTGCATATGATGTAGTGACACCTGTGAATATTTTGGCATTTAAACAAGAATATAAAATAGATTTGTCTCAAAACACATAATTTTGTGTATCAGAATAATAGCTCGTCTGTTATACAGCTTATTAACAAAGGCAGTCTGTTCAGAATGCCCACGTTTGTGTGGTACGTGACCAGTCCACTGTCTTTAAGGAAGTGTGGTCTTCCTGTTTATCAGCCTATTTCCTGTCCTTGCACCTCACTACCATCTATAGAGACAGGGAAATCAGACCAGTGGCACCCACTGGCATTTCTGAGCCAGAAAAACAAAAGTAAACAGCAAAAAATAGATGGACGCAGTCCAGAAACAGTGCCTTTTATGACACTGGGAATCCTGTAACACCTCACTTGTGTGTTTGGTGTGTGGTTGTAAGAACATGTACAGTAGCTGCAGCCCCATACTTGGATGCTGACCTTGTCTGTAGAACTCCTCACAGACCCTCTCACTCCACTGCTTGCTCATCTCCCACACCCGGCAGGGGTTGCAAATGTCAGCGCACTTGAGAGCAATCTGAAAATCAACAGAATCATATAGAGCATTATGACAATGTAGGGGTCTACCAATTTCATAGGAGGAACCCATCTTCAATTTCAACACAGAACAAGTACTGAAGTACTATTTCAAAAAGGTGCTGCCTTTTGTCTCTTAGGCTTCTCTCTGTTTGGATGAGGGTACATTTAGCCTGTTACCCATTATTCTTATTTATATTTACATTTTACAGTACATTTTGCATATTTATCTGTGCTTTTCCTGAAAAAACTTGAATTAATTGGATAAAATTTATGAACCTCAGTTAAGAGGTGAATCCCTCTTTAAATTTGATTGGAAATCACTTTTTATAGATTTTCAATATTGCCAGACTTTTTTGGTATGTATAAGTATATTAAGTTTTATTACATTTTCTTTTCTCATGCAAGTTTTTTGGTCTTTTGAAACGGCTTGGCATTCCTTTATATCTGTGAAATGTACCCTGGGAGTAATATGAAAAGTAAGCTTTTGTTTGTTTTCCAATACCAGCCTTTACTGATCAAAGTTAAGTTAAGTTATCCTGTCAATGTTTGCTCCTCTAACAACATTTCTATCAACATGAAAAACTGGCAGGGCGAAGCAGCGCTTATTCTTGATCCTGTTAAGTGATGAAATTCCCTGGATAACTTGACGGGAGGCTGGCCTTTTGATGTAGCCAAGTTCAACATTGTTGGGAGGATGTGCAGTGTTGCTCAGAGCTGGGAGGTGATTGAGAGGTGGTGATTGAATCCGAGCAGTTGACGAGTTGCATTGGCCACAACAGCATAACATCTATCCATCCATTTTCTAACCACTTTTTCACTTTTTCCAATTTTGGCTCGTGAGGGACCTCAACCTCACGCAATGGTCTCCAGGCAGCGTACACACTGGATGAAATGCCAGTCCCTAGCAGGGCACAGAGACAAACCTGCACACACTCACACCAGAACAAATTTTTCCAGAAGTCAATTAACCTACCAGTGTGTCTTTGGACTGTGGGAAAAATCCAGTGCACCTGGAGGAAACCCATGTGAACACGGGGAGAACATATACACTCCACGCAACTAGTACCCCAGGTTAAGAATTGACCCCAGGGCCCTAGCAATGTGAGGCAGCAATGCTAACCACTGCACCTCCATCAGTCCTCATAACAAAACCAGGTTAAGAAAGTGTCAGACAGTTTTCCATAACCTAACTGACAAGCTCATCTTATTTTAATTGTGTTTATCATGTTCTAAATAATTATGCCAAATTTGCAATGAATTACAAACCTGCAACATGAAGTGTCTGTGTTCTGCATCCTCCAGACTCAAATCGTTGCTGTCCAGATGAGATTTAAAGTGACCAAGAAACTCGTTCTGTCGACTGATGTCTGTCGCCAGAATGAGTGAGCCCAACTGTTGTTCAATGTCCTGCCTGAGGAAAAACATTATGTTAATTGAAAGTCTTGTTAACAACCTTCTGTTAACAATGTCTATGGTGAGCTAATTTCAGCTGCATTTTGATCAGCAGCTCTGGCTATTTCAGACACATGCTGGCTCCTTGGAACACTTTTGAAAAAAGGTTTACACCAAAGAATATGACATTCCTTTTATTCATTTGTCCTTGATTTTTAATAATGTGATGCACACATCACTAAATCTTCATGTACTAGTACGTTTTCACAATATTGAAATCCTGCCCTTGAAGTTGTTCAACTTGAAACCTGAAATGTTTTGCTAAAAGCATTTAAACATCCTCCTATGACAGGTATTTTAATATAATGTGATAAAAAACTGCATTCTGAAGAACATTTGCCTGAAGACGTGAAGGTCATAGTGTTGTTTCCGTTTTACACCAGCAACCTAAATGTGCTCCCAGGTAAAGAGGTGGGCTTGCTCCAGGCACAACTGCAGCTCCTCCAAAAATTCAGGACGTGCTGTCTGACCGCCTACAGAATGATGGGCCCACTGGTCTGTGCAAATGCCAGTGCTTGTGGTGTGCACTCCTGTTTCTCAGTCTGATAGGTCAATAGTACTAGGAGCAAACACATTGCAATCCATGCCTTACACTGCATTAAAAAATATCAGCAGAAATTTCTTCCTGCCGGTATCTGTTCCCTAGCCTTCTCTTATTGTGTTTCCACAGATCTGCTTCAGCCTTCCGGGTTTTCTCCACTGAAACCCCTCTTGCTCTTCACCTCACAATAAGCAATGCAGTCAGTAGTGAAATAATGAAAATGCAGTCAGTGGCCATGATATTAATGTCTTCCACAATGAACACATTCAGCATCAATTCTGAGGGTTGGCTCATATGCTGGCCGCAACACTTGTATTCATCTGCTTCATTTGAGTCCTGTTTCTTATCCCAGTGTGAACTCCATGCTTACCCAAGTCCTGGTGCTTTCATCAAGTAGCCTCTGGTGAACCTTTTTGGTTTAACCCCGAGACTGGAGGGTTTTCTGGATCTGCCAGTGATCTGCACTGGACTTGCTGGCTTCTTGGACTTTTACTTCAACAGGCCTTCGACCCCAGGCAGGTACTGTACCTGTGTAGCTTGCTTGGATTTCCCAGCCAGAATTATGCTATTTCCCCCAGATGTTATCTCCTACCAGCTTTGCCCTGCTCCACCAGATGCAAACAGGTCTCTGAATTTGGACCATCCATCAGAAAAGCAACCAAGGCACAGACAACTGTCAACCCCACTGGGTAAGATCATTGCGGGCAGAAACCTTGTTCTCCCATCCTCTCTATTAATTCATCACCCCCCCCAAACTCACTATTTCCTTTTCAAAAGATTCACCATTCAACTAGTAGCTGCCGACACCTCACTCCCATGTCTGGCCAGTCTGTCTCTCGGACACACTGTGATGACTGGAGAGTCTTGCAGTCTGATGGCCCTGTTCCATTGGAAAACCTTTGGAAGCTCAAGCTATCATTAAGAGCTTAGAACCCTTCTGGGTCCCTGCAGCCTCTTCATCCTGCTGTCTTCTCTCACACCATTCACTCAGATGGGTGTGCACTGACCACAGCACCCAGCCCTGCCACCTTACAGGTGTAATGCAGCCACCAGCCTCCTGCTGATTGGATGTCTCTCACAATCACCGATGGATGGCAAAGATTCTTTCCAGCAATAAATCACTGCTTCTGTGGCATTCACAGGCAAGCAGCATCTTAGGCACTGCAGCCACATAGCACCCGCTTCTCATATATGCCTGCACTTCAGTAGCTCAGGACAAGCCAGGTCACGTGACAGGTGTGTGCACTCACAAACACAACCTCAGAAGCGTATCACACTAGCATCTGGATGAGAGAATCCTACACCGACACATCTCTGGGGAGAAATAGACATTCTCTCTGTAATATCTGCACAGGAGAGAGACAGGACAGAGACTGCAAGTCATGCAGAGGAGCAGGCAGGCCATATGAGTCACATTGCCCACATCTGTAGCTCATTAAACCACTAACTCCCTACAGCTGTGGGATCTTACAGCCACTCTGGATGATGACCTGTCAGAATGTGCATCCCATGTTCTATCAAACCCACAAAGGCAGAGCTCTTCTGCTTGCTGTTCACTGGTGGAGATGTGGTAAGAAATAGGAGTTTTGTTTTGCGGAGCTCTGTTGTATTGATGCTGATATACTGAGCCACCTGAAGATCATTGCTGATGTCCATATATTCTAGAGGTCAACCCCTCTCAAGAAACTGCAGCTGATGAGTTCCCTCTCCCCCGAATGATGCAGAAACTAGGAGTTTATGTGTGTTCCTGGAAGGTTTATGGTGTTGGCAGAACTCCTTATCGGTAGACTCGGTGGGTAAATCAAACAGAAAATAAAGAACCTGTGACACAGCAGGTGCTGAGCACAGATGAACAGTAATGGAAATCCCATGATTCAACGACAAGCCAGTGAAGGGGTACCCCTTTATATAGATGTTCTGGAGAGGAAGTGACACATTACATGAAGAGAGCTTTTTGGCAGGAACAGCATTACAAAACATGCCACCTAGGGGAAAGCCTTTATATTCATAAAGGAACATCCAATGGGACATTCTGTGCATTTTATCACCAATATAACCAGCTAAGGCTTAGTGTGTCTGTATCCTAAATGCCCACGCCTTGGTGGACAAACACTATGATTAAATTGGATTAAAGTGAGATGCCTATTATGGGGTCAACATATTTTAATTGGTTTTGTGACTAATATTAGTTATAACATGATGACAAGATCTTTTGCTGAGGGACAACTTCCAGTATTTCAATACTTCCTGCCATTTTAAAACTAAATAATCCTAGTAAAACTTAAATTATTTTCTGACAATAAAAAATTGAAAAACTACAAAATAAGAAGAATGAAAAAAAAATCACTTTATGTTTTCTTCTGTGGTTTAACGTTTGCTGCAGTTGAGGCTTGGAATTCCTGCAAACCTGTTTCAAATCCTGTCATTAACATTGTTGGCAAACCTGTTTCAAATCCAAATGACACAGTTCTGGTGTACAGGCAAAACAAATTTAATGTGTCCCCAACAACAGATGTTAGCACAGCAGAGACTACTGCAAAACTCTAATTGGCACTGCAGAATGGAGAAATCAATGTTGCCTTGTATTCTGAGAGGTTAGTGTTTGTTTTGCTGGCTTTTGGAAAACAGCCAGTCTATACAGAAGTGTGGAGCTGGCTACTGTCCCAGAGTTCTGTCGATAGCATTGAAACACGAGCGCCCTTTTGCAGCTGCTAGATTTCCATTAAACATTGAAGTATAATCATTGATTTCATGCTAGAAAGAGTGTCAAAGAGATTGTCATGAACAGTACTCACGTCGTCTCCGTTGGTAAGTGGGAAAGGAGCCCTGACTCTCTGAGCATACCCACTGTGGACCTCCAGTGATGGTTCTCCAAAACAGACACATTCTGAAAGGCAAAATACAGCAAGAATCTTCTTCTTCTGTAAGTTCTATCAAATGTTAACCAAGACACACTAATAACTTACCAGACTAAATTAGGGGCCACTTGCAAATGCCATACGTACCTGGTACAAACTAGCAAGGTGATGTTTGGTTTTGATCAGAAATGGCTGATTTACTCCTGGATGATCTACATCATGAGCAGCAGCTGCCATCAGCCCCAGAAAGATATCCAAGGGAGTAAGATACCTAGAAAGCTTGAACACATGTGTGAGATGATGCTGTGTCACCAATCTTTATTCTCTTGATCCTACACTTTAGCAAATCTTGCTGAACCTCTGAACTCAGAGCAGTAAATCTTGCTGCCCTTACTAGGTCAATGCCACAGTATAGGCTACAGTTTTGCAGGACAGGTAGAACGAAATCATGTAAGATAGTATGTGCTTTAGCAACCTTTTCTCTCCGACCATGTTAGGGGAAAAATATTGGAGTAAAGTTACATTTTAAAAACAGTACATACTGTAGTTCCTAATCTATTTCTGTTGCTTGTACTGTACGGATTAACTGGTCTTTGCTTAAAGCAGCGACTGATTCCTTCTCAAACCAAATTAAATGTATATCATTGGCTTGGAATACAGGAAACTACAGGAGAACATACCATTCCTCTGGCTCATTTGAAGCTTGCATCAGTGGGAATCAGTTTACCTCAAAATGAAGGGTTGCCCCCCACCATTTTATGTTTAATAGGCAACCAGAAGGCACCTTGTAAATTATTTTCCACAGTCTGAGGCTGTAAACACATCTAAGAGTGGTAGACAGGTCTGCAACTGTCAGCTTCTAAGTCAAGGTCAGCTATTTAAGCCATCAGTCAGACAGGCAGGCAACAAAAAGGGATCCCTCTTGTCATCATGCTAACCTTTAGCTTTTGGAGGAACTGCTGACATTCTTACCTTGGGCTCCTTTAGATAGCAATGCATGGCTTGAGTGACATCAGCTGCGTGAACGGCATTGTGGTATGGATTTTGGCTATGGTAATCTTCCTGCACCATCACTACTCAGAAATAAGAAAAAAGGCTATAAGCATTGTTGATCTGCACGGAGATATAAATTATCCAAATGAATGTCAAAATGTTAGACACAAAAGGCTTCTCTGAATGCAAAGCTCCTAGCTCCTTTACCAGTCAGAAGCTTGACTTATAACGATCAAAGGATTCATATTTATGGTTGACAGGGTGTCCTGTTTTGTATTCTGCATCGATTGTGACCTGACTGGTGAAGTGAAGGGTAATCAGGCATTGATACAAATTAGTCATCTGCTGCTGACGCTCTTTTCAGTCTGAACTCCCTTTTTCTCTTGAAGGTCAATGGAAGAGAGATGTCATGTGAAATTAGCTATACTTTAAAAGTTATGCCATTCTTGATAACAACTGTTAAATAGCTCTGAGCATCACTGAAGCATTCTCTTTTGAGATGCATCTTTAAAGCTTATACGTTTAGCTCATGTGCAGTTAATACAGTATATGAAATGTAAAAACGGAAAATTTGGAAACTGCACAGTAACAATATTTTTTATACATCAGCTCATGTTTTCTGATTGTTTTGAACTGATTCTTCCCAGTAATCAATTCCCAGTGGAATAATTCTTTCTGTAATGAAATTGTTGATAGTGGGTTTGATGACTTTGTTTAACTGTAACCTAAAATGCTGTAAAATGCATATTATGACAAAGAAAGCATTGATTTTTGTGAGGCCACTAGCTGAGAGGGCATAGAAAGTATTTTTTTTCCCCACATTTAGAACACAGGATTATCACAATCAGTACTAGGACACAAAATGTGTGTAAACTGCTAAATATGAAACAAGGCTGTAGGGCTAGCTGTGTATTCTAAAGTTATCTACTACAGATGAGAAACAACTTGTGGAACAAATGACTTAGTAATGGATATCAATGTTGGAATAAATGAACTACATCATGAAGTGGTAGGGCTGCCGGAGGGCCATGTCTAAGGACACTTTCTTAGGTTATGTAGTGCTAAAATTGTTTATTTAATACATTTTCATTATTTACAGCAAACAAGCTGTACAAGCAGGGTCATCTAAGAGTTTTATCCATCTTTTTTTTTGAGGGGGGGGGGGGCATTCTGGCTTCGCTCCCGTCTCTTACATTATGTTTTTAGTTCACTAGAAGGGACATACAGTATCTGTCCCTCTCCAAAAAACTCCAGTTATCTTAAAACACCACCTTACTAGCCAAAGTGTATGTGTGGGACCTTAAGTGATCTGGCAGACTACAATGTGGCTATAACATTGTAAAGACATGTATTAATCAATTGAACAAATTGAAATATAAACTCAATCACATGAATTTATAAGGAACGTTCAAACTTCAATAGTTGGAGCCTTTTGCAACTGTCTTCATAACTGACACAAGGACAATGATCTTTTTTTAATAAATCTTAAAGACAGATACCTTAGAATTAATGTATTGAAGTACCATATTACCCTTACATTTTTAAAGAGCGATATTTTATAAATTGACCACATACCTAAAAACCTGTACAGTTTGACCATATCTAGTTGAAAATGATGGATAAGTCCATGGCTGTTGAAGAGGTGGCACAAAAGTGTTACCAAACTGTTACCTGCAAAGACAATAGGTTCCAGATAATTTAATACATACGCTCCTGTTGAATTTATTATAGTGAATTGAAAGTACCAGCATACAGACATAAACAGTGAAGCCTCTAGGTATCAAAACAGATAAAAAAAGAAAATAGTGAGAAGCTACTGGCTAATTATAGAACACATAAGGGACAATTAATGTCCATTCTACAACAGATGTGTTTACGTTAAGGATATACAATCGCTTGACAATTGATCTTTAATAGGATAAGTACACATCAGTGATATTTTGATTACAATACATGTTTCATAAATCTAGAGTGAAATGACAAACCGAATGTTTACACAGAACACAAATGTGCAAGAACATTCAAGACAAGGATCTACTTTTAGGTGTTTAGGGATGTGTGGAACTACAGTAATTCCAAAACCTTACTATGAAGCAAAACATGAATAGTATCTCCCAGGAAACAACCTAATTGGAGTTTTAAAAAAATATTAAACTAATCATATCCAATTTACAAAGACTTCTTTTATTTACATTTCATTAAAAAAACAAGCTACAAACAAAAACAATCTAAACTGCAGACACATAATTTGATAAGGGTCTCTGGAATATGGAATTCTTTTGTCCAAGTTAGTTTTTAATAATATTCACTTTGACGCATTGAAGTAACTATTGAAAAAATTATTATGAAAATCTTTCCAGTTATACTGTAGTTTATCATTAGTTGTGCCTTATTCTTAATATATGACATTTTATTCCAATGAATCGTCTTCTGTTTTATAGCTTCATGGTTGTTTATTGACATGTTTTCCTTTGCATTGCTAAATGTTTTCTAGTTCTTCCCTGTCTGTTTTAAAGCTTTTTTTTTTTTACAAATAAAACAAATGCAGCTTCATTTTCATACTCTAACGTGACATCTTCAACATTACTGAACCCTGATCTTCATTGATATCTTTGGTAAATCAAAGGATCCAAGCTTCTCACTAACTTATTCATGCAGTGATTTTCTTTACCATTGGTAAGTCGATCAAACAGGAAAATGTCGAAATTCCATGTTCCAACTTTTGACAACATGTGCTGGAGGGAACAAAAAAGCATGCGTAGATTTTAGAAATCTATTTTAAAATTATCTAAAAATCTAAAAATTAGGACGTTACCCTTAAGAAATACTTTTTGTAATGAGCACAAATTATGATGCTCATACTAACTGCAAAGAAAATAAATAATACATCATTATTGCAATATCAACATAATATGTATGTAGATGTAACATTGCAAATCATTAAGTGGATTAATTAACCTTAGCTTTGTTAAAATGCAAGAGCGTTCTTGTTTTTTATTAAAAATAACACTGAATATAAAATTTTTAGTACACTGAAAGTGCTTTTTCAGAGAAGTAACAGTTTTTAACATTAAATTTCATATAGGGCAAAAATAAAACAAGATTTACTGTTACTAGGTTTTTACAGCAATTTCCTAAGTGAGATGTCTGATAATAAGTTCCTGTATTATGTAGCTAAGGTTATGTAACTAATGTTCTACAAAATCCCCCAAAGTGGATAAATCTTTCAATTAAAGAAGAGTTAAACTTTCACAATCACACAAGCATTAAGCGCTTGCTCACCGCGGCTTGTCCCAGATAGTCTTCGTCCAAAAGATGCAGAGAAGTCTGTGGTATAATTCCACGCAACAGTCTGGAAGCATGAAAATATCTCTGAAAACTCAAGAGTCTTTTCACTTTTTTCTTTGTGCCAATTTCACCTGAGTGTGCTGTAGCTGCAAGAAACATAATGGAACACATATTAAAAAATAGCATGGATGGATATTTATTATAATGTGCTACTTTTCAAATCAGTAAGTAAAGCCACATCTTGTAAATAATATTTGTCTTTCTTTGATTTAATTCAGATCAGAGTTTAAAGAATCCTTAGTACATTGAATATTTCATTGCCGAACGATGCACGAGATGTTGTTTCTTAGAAAAGTGTATAACACATTTCAGAACCCAAAAAAACCATATAATCAAAAGAAAAGGAGCTGGTTGAAGCTAAACACATGAAGCATTTTTAACAACCATAGGAATGAGTCAGCTGAGGTAAACCTACAGTACTTAGCAGGAAAAAAGCCATTTTCTAGAAAAATCATCATGTGTTTAGCTTCAAGCAGCTCCTTATGTCTTCCTTAAGATTTTACTTTTACTCTGGAGTGGTCACATATGTGTCCTTTGACCACTGTAACAGGGGAATGTATACCAGTACCTCTCTCTCATACACACATAATTCTCAAATTGGCTTTTTGTTTCATAAAAAAAATAGCTATTCTGCATGGAAACACTGTATGTGACACTAAAGTGTAAAAATGTCTGAATTATCAAGTCTTACAACTTTATAGGTTATTACTGAATGTGTTAGATCTTATCAACCCCCTAAACGCAAAAAAACAAACTGGTATAATTGAACACATGGTATTTCCTTACTGTTAAACTCTGTAATGAATTCAATACCATTACATTTTCTAAAGCTAAAAATGACTTTTAACTTACTCTTGTGCTTAGTGTAAAAGTAATACAAAAAGTAAATGTACCTACTGTATATCTTCAGCACAATAAGAGTCACAGTTAAAACGAACCACTTAAAAGAATCCTCTAATCGAACACAGTGGAAAGTATTTATAGATAAGTTTTCAACAAGGCCTCCAAAACAAATGGCATACCAAGACTATTATTATGCCAGTGAAAGATAAAAAGGGATTTTCAGCAGCCAGTGTCAGCTCTGGAAAACACAAAGCTCACAGGAGGAGCTTTAACCTGCTCACAGGAGGAGGAGAATGGATAATTCACCTTTAACCTGGTGTTAATGTATGTCTGTTACACAATACAAATACAAATGACCAATGGTCTTACTTTCACCTTTCAGTGCAAAAATCACTGAACCATTGAATTGACCACCCTTTTCTTTTGATTCACTCTCAACTAATTATGATCCAGAAGCTCAAAAGTGGTGCTTTTTCTCTTAGATTAAATCATTGATTTATTTGGTTAGTAAACTATAAAGGTTTGTGTAGCATGTTAAGTACAAGAGAACCATTAATATTTTCATTTTTTAATTAATTTTCACAGAAGGGGAGAAAGAGCTTCACAGATAATTTTTAACCAAAAGAACTTGCTTAACTTGCTTTCATTAAACAAAGAAATGACAGAAAAAATGCATGAAATAATAGGAAATAGTTATTGTGTTTAGAAACATTTAGAACTTTCCCTCTCTTGGATGTGTTGTTCTTGTTATTTTGGCTACTTTTAAGAAACTGATATCACATGGTACCTTAATATGAGATAAGCAGATCACTACAGATTGGTTGGTAAACTTTGTGAAATTATACACCAGACAACAGATTTAAAAGACTAATTGCACACCAGAATATTTAGCCCAGCTATAACACTATTGCCAATCAGAGACTGCAGAGAGAATTTATTAAAGCCTAGTATTTTGGTGAGTTTTAAGCTATTAATTTATGGACGACTTAAAAATGTACCTTAAAATGTAAAAGAGGTAAACTCAACATCTATATAATGTATACTGTAAGTATAGGGAAACTTGTGAATCAATCAAGTATTAAGTAGCACCTGTAGGCTACAAAAGAACAGGTAAAAGTTTATTCCATGTTGAAAAGAAAAGAGAGACTACAACACCTGAAGAATGGTCCACAGACACAATGTTGTGTCTTATTCCTTTTCTCTTTTCAGCATGGAATCAAGTATTGATATGATTGTTATTGTGAGTTTGTACTTTCTAAAGAACATAAGAAAGGTTAGAAAGGAGAAAAGGCCATCTAGCCACTTTTCTTCTTTTCTAGCCCCATTCCCTTTCTATAACATAGTGAAGACATAGTGGAGATCCTTCATGACATTTAGAGTGAAGAGGCACAACTAAATAGCAGAGGCTGTTAGAGTCTAACAAATCTGCATCCATCTCATTCTGTCAAACCTCGTCACACCAGCTTGACACAAAAAGGAAAGCTCTTCTTCACTGTACTGTAAAATGTTCTCTCACTCCTTGAACTTTTTAAAATTAGTCATTGAGAGCTTAATTAAGCTCTCCTTTTAGCTAAGCAGAGTATTCTCAGAAATTCCAGCACTTCGTAAGGATTGGAAGTCCTACATGTCACGTTGTCTAGCTCTAAACAATGTGACATGTAGGACTGTCACTGTCAATTACCTGATGAGGCAATTGAATTTGTCAGACTAATTTTATTGCAATATGAGTTATAGTTTGTTGCTGTGTCATGTGAGGACTAGAGATACTTTATACTATATGTAAATTGACCATCAATTTGCGCAATTCTATCAGTAGCCAAAGTTTAATTTTTACAGCTCTGCATTGAAGCATCAGACAGATTAATGTGGAAAAGATATGGAGTTGAAAAGCAAACACTTCCCAGACTGAACATATAATATCATATACGATATATTGTGAGACTTCTTATGTAAACTTAAATGGAAATTAAAATTGTGCACAGTGTTTCTCTTTAAAAGGGTTTTTGTGGGGGTTTCTAAAGCAGGCTATATTAAAATAAAATTCTTAAAAGAAAAAGAAAATATTCTTATTGAATAAGAAACTCCAGTACAATATGGTTATGCGTAAACTACTAAACAAACAATATCAAGAGCAAAATCCCCCTAAATAATTAATAGATTGCCAAGTTTTCCTAGTAGGCTAACTTAAAATTTAAGAAGATCAACAAATATTTTTTTTAAAGATAAGAATCTTGCTTATCTGGGGGTCATGCATTTGTAGAATTTACAGTGTCATTTCTTTCCATTCAATGTCCAAACATTTCACCATCTGTTCTCTAAATTGTTTATACTGTAAATAGCTTGTTTTATAAACACTTAATAATGTTGTCCAGTGCCCAGTGGGCACAATTTTATATCATGCAAGGAAGGAACAAAGAAACTAAGAGCAAGTACTAAAGAGAATGAACTGCATTTCCTACACCTAATTATTAGTACATGCATTATAGTTATTTATGAGACAGAAAGAATCAAACACTCTATTCGACAGACTAATTACACATCAGGTACTGTATACTGTATAACATGTTAGCTTAACTTTAATGTTAAGTTTTAACATTAACATCAACATTTTATTAATGCAGCTTAAAACTTTTGAGTGTGCCTCTGTTAGTATCTAAAGATATTTATTGATACAATCAATTCCTTTACCCAGGGGTGATATTATTAAAAACAAACTGAAATTTGTTTAAATTTACATTCACATTGTAATTACCATATCAGTTACATAATTATGGTGCAACTACTTGTAAGCATGTTATGAATACCCTAGCTGAGCTCCTATAAACAAAGTAACTAGTATGTACTGTAAATACAGGGAATTTAAATTTCCTGTACCTCTGTGTCATGAATTTCTCAAGTATGCCAAGAAACTGCTGTCAAGAGTCGTTAATCATCCAGTTAGTATATTACACTACCAAGTGAGCTCCTGAATAGCGTATTATTTCTAGGACTGATAAAAACATAATCAGTGAGAGCAGAGTGAACATACAAGAATTTCTCATCCATGGGTTCATATGTAATTTGTTGTTTTTTCCTTGAGCCTTAATCTTTAGGACTTGCTGGCTGTTTACTCTCCCAGGAAGGTAAATTATGAGACAACATTTAAAAAATATTCCTGAATGTGATCATAAATAAGTGAATTAATTGTTCATTACCAAACCTTTTTTTTAGTTTATAAACATTTTTAAAACTTCATTTTAATGTTTGGTAAATTCTGATAAAGACACATTTGTCAACGAGTTTATTTTTTTATATCAAGTTCTATCTCAGCTAACCCACCTGTGATTAAATAGACTTTAACTGATTAAATTAAACTCTGTTGCTCAGATTCTGATTTATAAAGGCACTGACAATAATCTGAATAGTCCTAATATCTATGCCAGAGCTTGGCATTCAGTGTGTTCAGAGCTTTTATAGTATGTTGGAGTTTTGTTTCTACAAGTCACGTACGCCTAATAGGAAAGGCTACAAATGAGAGACCATTTGACCTCTCTTACTTGTGTTTTTGCAAGTAGCTTATTAATTCAAGGATCCCAGGGAATATGAACAATAATGTAGTTAGGAAATAAATCCTGAAGCCTTGAAACATTGTGCACATGAGTGCTTCATAATTTCTGTCTTGAATATATGTCCATTTCTTCCATTTGAGTGTTCTCTGAAAATTCTGCACTCATTTTCAGCCTTCCCATGAACACAGTTTTATTTTTTTTGTGAACCAAATATAAAGTTAATAATCTTTACAAAGAATCTGAGAGTTTATGTTCATGTGCCTAGGGACAACCACATTCAAGGATTTACATTTTTGTGAATGCTTAGAATGCTTGGTGAGAAAAGTTTGGCTTAACCCATTGGGTTAACTGATAGCCTTCTGGTCATAGGACAAAGGGGCTCGAACCCCATTCAGACTGAGTGCACCAAGGGATAACTGCAAGGTGGAGATGAGCAAAGGAGAGATGCTTGAGCTGGATGAGAAGTGAGGCATTTACTGTAAGTTTAGTTCCTCTTGATAATTTGGTGGTGATGGGGATAAGGCAACAGGTGTGCGAGATTGACTTGTTGTTATCCTCCCCGAACTTCAGTTCAAAACGTCTTACATAGTGTTCAGTTTTGATTGCAACTCACAAAAAGAAAATACTGAAAAGTTCACAGAATTTTACTGAAGTCCGCTCCCTGGGATCCTTCATGAAGAGACTTAATGAGATGAAGTGTGGGATAGAAAGCTACCAGCAATCAAACAAACAAAAAAGGATGAAAAGTGATTTTTTTTACTGGAACCTTTACATATTTAGGATCATAACTGTTCAGGTTGAAAGTCAAGGGTTTATTTCCTTTCCTTGTTATTTCTAAGTTTTGTTTACACAGTAGAGCAACACAGGACCAAAAAGTCCTGGAAACATAATATTTAGTATATTATATATATATTATAGATAGCCAGCAGCCATGTCACCCTGCAACTCGCAGCTGGCAACCCACTGAAGCTAGGCAGGTGTGAGCCTGGTCAGTACCTGGTTTGGAGACCTACTGGGAAAAACAAAGGATGGTGCTGGAGGAGGTGTTAATGGGGCCAGCAGGGGGCGCTCACCCTTTGGTCTATGTGGGTCCTAATGCCCCAGTATAGTGAAGGGGACACTGTACTGTAAAAATACAAGTTTCCCATTGGCCTTTACCAATCATGACCTCCTACTAATTCCCATCTTTGAATTGGCTTCAGTACTCTGTTCTCCTCCCCACTGATAGCTGATGTGTGGTGAGTGTACTGGCACACTATTGCACATTAGTTGTGGTGGAGTGGAGTCCTCATTACCTGTAAAGTGCTTTGAGTGAAGTGTCCAGAAAACTTCTATATAAGTGTAAGTAATAATAATTTATTATTCTTATATTTACCATCTCATAATGTTAAGGTACAGATGCATTTAGAATTGATTGGAGAAATACTGTGTAATGGACCTGGGTGGTAAACGTTGCTCCTGCTTAAGGTCTTTCAGACAGAGGTTCCCAGAGATGTTCCGGGTTCTTGGAAGTCAAATCCAGTTTTCTATCAGCAGCTGGGCCAGCAGAATGGTTCAGCTGACAGTCAGGCCTTCACTTGTGTGATTTTAAAAGCAACACACAATAAGCAACATTTGCACATTGTAGTTTGTTAGTATTGCTTCCTTCCTGGATACATTTATATAGCCTGTGGCAATCAGTCATCACTGACTCATTGCAGATAGTTAATCTGGGATGTCTTGACTTGAAGAATAGTTGATGATACCACAAGGTATTGTTTTGAATGGTATTGCACTCAAGGTGGACTGAACTTACTGTTCAACAATCGGAAATCTATGAATGGGAACGACCCTCTACGCTCGGAGAGTACCCCGGTTGGCCCTCTTACTCTTCCATCTCCTGAAAGAAAACAAAGAGGTAGAGATAAAGGTCAAACCCTTGCCCATTGTATAGCTGAAATCTACTGTATGTCCATGGCTACTAATGGAAGAATTATGCTTTATTATTGTATATTAGGTGCACTGACTTCCTGTTTGCCTTTGACTCCCAATCAGAGTTATTTGAGCAGCTGCCAGTTTTCCACCAGAGGCTGTCAAGCAGTCAGAAACACAAAGGATATACGGCGTTGTTTTGTGTTAGAAAGCTAAGAAACCTCAGAAGAGACAACTCTGAGCTTCATGGGGGAGCAATTTCCTGGAAGGATGTTAGGCTGGATGATATATCTGTAACACACGGAAACAGAACCTGCTTGATAAGCAGAGCTGGCAAGTAGATAAAGCAGGCCAGCCCTCATTAACGCAGTGGTGTGCCTTAATGAGCATGAGCTGTGGTGGTGGGGGGAGTGTGAGGATGTACAGTATGTACTGTATACCACATAATTCTAAAACCCTACGCCTAAATTCAAGATGTTGGTTTATCTGGAACCCCAGAATCCCCTTGTTAAGACAAATGAACATGAATATAAACTATACCGTATATAGCTGTCTTATTATTTAACCTATATACAGAACTGTATATCTAACTGGGTTTTGCATTGTCGCTGTCTTCTGAAATTTGCCCATATTTCCCCATTCCACCTTCATGAAAAGCTAGATTTTCCACTACTGCTTTAATAACAACAACAACATAAACATTGATTAGTAATTGTTGACAGTGTTGTTCTTCGTAGTTTTCTGATCTAATATAATCAAATAAGTATCTGTATGGATCTTTAGGAATTACATGAAATGTAAAAACTCAGTTAGCTTTTAAACAGAATATATTTAAAGAAACAAACTTTTTTTGTTAACTTCACAACAACTGGGATATTTAGTGTTTATTATGATCTTCCTCAAAACGTTCAACACAGAAATCATGTTTAACAGATCTTGCATTGTTATTTAGTCAGAATGACTGATTTAAGTAAATGAGTTTTGGTGCTTTTTGGTAATATACTAATGAGATATGTGGATGATCTGATATTCTTGAAATTGTCTTGAAACCCATGAGTAGTTGGCAGTAGTTGGGGATAATGCCAATCAGGAGTTGAAAGGAAGTGAGTCTTTATAAGACACTAAACAGAACACAACGTTCTTGAATAAACCTGCAAAAGTCAAAAAGACAATGAAGACAACACCATAGAAAGCTACAGTAAGTGAAAAGTGTTCTTCTGTGTCAACAGTGGTGACTAGTATTTGTATGTACTAGTATTTGACTAGTATTTGTATGTATTCATTTTGTACAGCTTTGCTCAGTACCAAACAGTGGCGGTCTTTGGGGTTAGGAGTGTAGTCAAAACAGTGATTGTTTGAAAACAAAGTGTTTTGAAACAATTTTTCACATTTTTTTCTTACTTTATGAAGTAAATATCTATTTTTAAACATAATCAAATACTGTTATATATATATAGATTGAAGTCTTCCTTGAAAACTCAACATTTAAATTTGAATTTTATTAATTTACTTAAATATTTTTTGTTTGTCATAAGCCCTTTTTAAATGGCCAAAATTAAAGTACAGTATTCTAATATGTTACTAACATAAAATAGAATGAATTGACCTACAGTATATAGTCACAGGTGTATTGTCTTTCCCATTATTAATCATATCTGTCACACAAACAAGAAGAAACAATTACCAACTTTGAAAGCAGTACTTGAGAGCATACTAGCGTGCACAACTAATTGTTAGGACCAGCTGCTCTGCAGGACAGAGCATGCTAAATGGCTGCAAGAAGTTTAATAATTACTAAAGCCCTATTTGAATAATGCCTCATATTCCATTTATACTTTTAACAGGAGTTCTTTTTTCTGCTAGAATTGTGCTACAGTAAAACAGTGTAAAAAAGTGCAATGGTACAACTATTAAAAATCATTTAAAGGCAGATCCATTTTGTTTTGTCTCATATTTCTTATTTTCTATTTAGAAATTCTAAACGAAGAATTCTTCCTGGAATTTAAACTAATACAGCATTTAAAGAGAGACAAAATAAATACTGAGCTCTTGATCCCTAGAGCACTGTCATATGGCTGATTCCCACACTGGTGCTGTTATTTTTAATTTCTTCATTGCTTTTGTGCTCTTGTGCCTGTGGCACAAAGTGTACTAATAGTTCACTAGTTTTTCATGGAAATGAAAAAGAAAAACAGTTCAATCAAGTTTGTACTTTGAAGACACGCTCCACATTTTCCTTAAGGGGCTTTTAAAAATAAAAATAAAAATAATAATAAATACATAACTTTCAAGAGTAAAAATCCACTTATGGAATATGCTTGTGGTCCAAAATGTATTTCAGAGAACTCCAAATTCATCTGTTTTTTTTAAAATAAAGTTGTGACATTTTAAAGGTGGACACAGAATTACACCCAAATTTCTGCAAATAAAGTGCTTAGAAAGATTAAGACACAGACAATGTAATTTTAGTTGAATTTAATTAAGTCCTCCCCCCCCCTTCAACTAATCTTCTGTTGTCCTCTAAACTGCCCTGATGTGTGTGTCTGAAAAACTGAGAAGTCCTGGACTTTTCCTGAAGATTTTTCTCCTTGGTTCTGTCTTTGCAAAATTGCAAATAGCAGGGTAGTAAGAAAGTCTTGTTTTAACTCGTAAAACATTTGTGTCTATGTTAAAGGTTTTCAGGAAAGCCAGTTTTTTAACCTTTTTGTGAAGTTTTCTACTGCAGTAGCCATTTGATATGACCCAATAAACTGTTTGGGAAGGATATACAAAATTATATGGGGAATTACATTATTTCAATCAATTTTCTTTTACTTTATGTGTGATGTATGTTATTGTCATTATCCCCAAATACAAGTATGATCCGAGTAGTCATTTTAACTTTTGTTATAATGCAGGTGTGCTGAGAGGATACAGAGGTTCCAGTAGAGGGTGCTCCAGGAACAATCCAGCACAAATGCCTTCTGAGGAGAGAAAAACAGATTGTTCTAATTGTCTAATCTAATGACTGTTTTAGGTAAGCAAACCCCTCATATACTCATCAACTACTGCTCACCTGAAAACTATTGCTAATAACTGGAGAGAATTAAATATGGATATAATCTGTCTTCAAGAATAGAAAAGCATATTACGCCTATTAAAATAGTTTTATTACCATATTTGAATTAAACAATATTTTCATTTTTTAAAGAATACTGTCTTGTAAAAGATATT